TAGTGAGTTAACTTGCAATGTTTCCTTTTGAAATAGAAACTTTTCTGGTGTGTGTTATCATGCAGATAATTTGAAATTAGATTTAATTGGTCTTAACTGGATAGAACAACTTAACCTTTTTGAAATTCCCCCAAATCTGTGTTCAATACAGTTAACCTCACATCAGTTTCTGATATTGAAAATCATTTCACAGATGAATTTAAAAATAAGTTTAGTAATGTTTTTCAAGATGGACTTGAGTGCAGTACAAAAATTAAAGCTACTCAGAAATTAAAACAAGATTCTAAGCCAATTTTTAGACAAAAAAGGCCAGGACCCTATGCTGCTTTGAATATGGTTGAAAAGAACTGCAATGTCATCAACATGAAAGAGTAATAGAGCCTGTTAATTACTCTGTGTGAACAGTTCCTATTGTAGTTGTTAAAAAGGCAAATGGGAAAGTCTGGATATGTACTGATTACTTGACTGGTTTGAATGATTCTTTGGATGCACATCAGTATCCACTTCCAGTGCCGGAGGATCTTTTCACAAAACTCAGTGGCAGAATTTGCTTTGCAAAGGTTTATCTTTCTGATGCTTTTCTTCAACTGGAAGTTAACAAGGAGTTCAAAAAGCTCTTTACTATCAACACCCACAAGGGATTATTCAGATTTAACCATCTTAGCTTCAGTGTCAAACCAGCACTAGTCATTTTCCAAAAGACAGTGGACAACATGCTGACCAGATTGACAGGAGTTGCAGCATTCATTGATGACATCATTGTTGCAGGAAAAAATCAAGATGAACTCTTGTGATGTTTATTTTCTGTTTTCAGTTGAATTCAACAATTTGGATTCCATGTTAAAGCTGGAAAGTGTGAATTTTTCAAAGAACAAATCAAATATCTTAGGTTTATTTTCGGCAAAAATGGTAGATGACTAAACCTGGAAAATATCTCAGCAATAAAAAACATGCCAGCACCAACAATTGTAACAAAATTACCTTCTTTCCTTGGCTTGATTAGCCACTACAGTGTTTTTTTGTTTGAACTTCATCAAGTTTGTGCACCCTTCAAAAATCTTTTGAAAAACAATGTTGCATGGGAGTGATCTAACACATGTCAGGTAGCCTTCAAAAAGGTAAAGTCCTTATTTTCTTTGAATCTTTTGTTGACACTACAACCCATCAATGGATGTTGTAGTGGTCTCTGATGCCTCCAATTATGGTATTGGAGCTGTCACTTCTCACACTTTCCCTGATGGCAGCTAAAAAGCACATCCAGATCACTGATACCAGCAGAGCATAATTCTAGCCAAATTGAAAAAGAAGCATTAGCAATAGTCTTTTCTATTAAAAAGTTTAAAAAAAATGCTGTACAGACATCATTTCACTCTGATCACAGACCACAAGCCTCTTGTTAGTATTTTTGGATGGAAAAAAGTCATCCCTGTGTATACAGCAAATGGGCTACTATACTGTTAGATTATAATTTTTCTATAAAATATAATTTTAACAAATACAATTGATGATGTATTATCTAGGTTCATGACTACACAAAATAAAGTACCAGAAGACTCAGTCATCACAGCATTATCTCTAGAGCAAGAAGTCACTTCAGTGTTTGCATCCACTGTAAGAGCATTACCAGTCACTTCTATAATGATCTGTGAAGCCACAGCTTCTGACCCAGTGTTAAAAAAGTGATATGCTTCCCTCACACAAAATGGACAGAAGTATACACTGACAAAAGAATTCAGCCATTCTTTCAGCATCAATTTTAATTGTCAGAAGTTAACAGCCGTCTTCTTCATGCAGACCACGTGATTGTCCCATCTTCATTACATGAAAGAGTTATAAAGCAATTCCATTATGGTTATCAAGGTATTAGCCATATGAAATCCCTAGCACATAGCTATGTTTATTGGCCAAACATAGACAAGCAGTTGGAGGAATTAGTATGCTCATAAAATCAAAATCTTCCAGGAAAACTACATTCAGTACCTCGCCTATATTTGAATCACCCTGGTCATGCCTTCACATTGATTGCTGGACCCATCAACAGACAGTATTATTTTATCCACATTGATGCTTACAGTAAATGGTCAGAATATATTTTCAGCAGCACCTCAGATGAAACAATTGAGTTAAAACAAATCTTCAGTCAATTTGGAGTCTCAAAGACACTAGTTTCTGATAATGGCACTGCATTCACTTCAGCTGCATTTTCAATTTTCTGTGTACAGAATGGTATTCAACACATTAGAACACCACCTTTTCACCCACAATCAAATGAACAAATGCAGCATTTTGTAGATATCTTTAAGAGAGCACTCCTCAAACTCAAAAGGAAAGGAACCACACAAGAAATATTAAAAATATTCCTCAGAAGTTACAGAGCAACACCCATCTAAATGCACCTAATGGAAATTCACCAGCAGAAGCACTGATGAACTGTAAAGTTTGTTTACACATAGAAGTCATCCATCCAACTACAAACCATTCCCTAAAAAGGAACACGGTGATGGAAGAACAATTTAACCATCATCATGGAGCAAATATGTATCAGGACAACCTATACTTGCAAAAGATAACCACAATGGTAAAGAAAAATGAAGCCAAGGACATAATATACATAGCTCTGGAAATGTTACACATGATGTGAATATACAGTCTTCCGTCTGAGTTCCACATGCAAATAAATTACAACCATCAAACCTTCCAGAGACCAAATTAAACTCTACTTTACTGTTAGACATTCTATTGGACACTTTTGAACTGCCTCAACAAAGTTCTTAAGTAATGCCAAGGGACAAAAATAGGACTCCAGCAAAAAGCGCACAAAGGAAATCCCATCGACTACAAAGTAAGCCATACCCACTGCAAATAAATCCTAAATAAATCATAAAGGCTAAAAAGAGGAGGTGTTAATGTTACTTTACCCTATAAAAGATGATAAATCAAAATACAACTGAGTTATGGCCTTTTCTGCTAGTTGGAGCACAGCACTTCTGAATTCAACATCGTGATAAGCTGACACACATGCGAAATGCATTGTTTAAGTCCAAACAAATCCTTGCTTTTATTTAAATAAATCCTTGCTGTTAAAAGTAATTTTTATATGTGTTAAAATACATTTATCTTTTATTTTCATTCGTTTTTGTTCACCCCAACAACCTGGGATATAACAGGAGGCAATCATAACATCTGCTGTGTTCTTTCCTACAAGCTATGGCCTTGTAGTCTCCATTGCAATTCTCCATTTCACGTCTTATTGTTTACATGGTGTTCAAATAGCATTGAGCAGCTGTCATCACTGTGGTATTTTGATGCCCAACACAAATCATCATGATGCAGGTTACCTTTTTCCAATGGTTAGGTGGATTCCACTCATCCATGTTAGTTAACTTTGTCACCTCTAAAATTGTAGTGATTAGGTTTCACAATGCCATTCACTATTTACAGATATTCCAAACCAATTTGAAAAAATAAAAACATTAAACTCTATCAAATTTTTCCTGTACACTCTGTATATCATATATTATATTATATTATACTAGTGTACCCATGTTGTCAAAAATGCTTGTGAATATCTTTGCCTATCAACCTCACACTATGCCAGTAAATCTTGAGATAAGTGTAATCTCTGTCTTTGTTTTTCCTCTTGTTCTAATTTCTTCCTTTCTTCAAGGGAATTTTCCATTTTATGATGTTCACTGGACAAAATTTTCTTAAATACATAAGACAATGTCAAACAGGGAATTATTTAAATTTAATTCTACATTTATAGAGCAAGTTTGTGTTGAATCTTGGATACAAATGCAAAACTAAAATGTATTTAAATAATATGAGGACTTGGAATTACACCTACAATATTAATACTAAATTTATCTCTTAATAGTTATTCAATTATATATTTAGAGGATGAAAGTGTGTTGAATCTAGGATACTATAATTCACATATTCAGATAAAATGTTAGAAAAGTTTTAATAGTGTCATACAATGAAACAAAGATGACAAAGCCTATTTCAAGACTAAGTTGAAGCAAGATGATCACTTAATAGATAAAGATATCTGAGTGCCTCACATGAAAGGATTGAACAAATAAGACTGTAATCTAAGAAATGTACGAGTAAAGGGACTGATTAATTAAATGGTTTATTTTGCTCGGAAACTACTTTTGTCTAAATGCAGATAAATATTTTATTTGTATAGGTTATTAAAACAAGTAAAGGAAGTAATCACTCATAAATTTACTAACTTAAGTTGACTTACCTCCCTTCCCACTAAAGAAGGGACAGGAAATATATAAATAAATATACATTGATAATTATTATATGGTTTGATTATAGTATATTATAAAATATAAGTGCACACATGAGTAAGCTTCCTTTCTTAGAGAACCAGGATTGATTACAGTTATAGAGTGGGCATTATTTATTCTCTTTAATTTTCCAAATAGCTTTAGACTAAGTAGATGCCATTATGTGAGTAACCTGAACCTGAAAATAATGTAAGATATATTCAACCAAAATGTGAACAATATATTAATTATCTAGAAAAAGAAATTACAATATATGAAGAATCAGCAATACTATTGGCCCTGATCTGGTGGCTTGGCTTCAGTCACTTTCCCATTGCCATAAGGTTAACTCTCTGTGGCTTTACAATCTTGCATAGGGTGATATTGATTGAAAAAAGAAAAAAAGATTAATGCTTTCCTTTTTTTTTTTTTTTTGGGGGGGATTAATTGCTCATACAACTATGCATATCACCATTTAACTATTCAAAGCTAATCCAATTATCTGTGTATTGACCAATCACCACAGTGGGCTGAGTTTACACTGCAATAACACATTTGGAACTTTGTACACATAGACCAAACCACAGAATGTCAGGGTTTTTTTTATGACAAACTGGAATTGACTGCTTTTCAGGAAAGAAAAAATGATTGAAAAGGAGGTATTCTGTAAAACAAAGAAAAAATTTGCAATTAGATCTGTTTAGATAAGCATATACTGACCTTCGATCCATGCTGACATAAAGATCTTCAGCTTCATCAAATTTCTTAAAATAACAAAGTATCTCAGCTTTTCGTATGGATTCATTCTGAAGTAAAATAAGAAAGACTTCAGTCTAAAACAAAAAACAAACATTTATCTATTGTACGCAAGTTGCAAACTGGCAAGAATAATTAAATAAATTTTACACCAGTGAATAAAGAATTCCATTTTTATTCATCTCTCTTGAGCATTACATAAAACACCATTTGAAAATGAATTTTGTTTTTTTAATCATTTCACCCAGGCAAGGTGGGAGTGTCACTAGTACACAAGGGATTACAGATGGTGAAAGTGAGAGAAAAAATTGAGTATAGTGGGGATTGAGGAAAGAACAAAAGATGAACTGGATTCAAGAAGATGATGATTGGCATTGCATCTAAATTTTTGAAGATGGTAGTTATCAGGGAAGCAAGTAAACAAAAGAGCATTCCATAGACAGGAAGTGCAAGAAAAGAAACTGTTGGAGTAGAAGTGGTGGTTGCATTTAACTATTTCAACATTAAAAGGGTGGGACTTAAATGCCAATGTAGATGCCTAGGTGCCATGTAGTCGGGGCTCCTGGGGAAAAAAAGTTCATCAGAACAGTTGCCATAAAAATATTTGTAGAAAAGGCAGAGAGAAGACATGCCACATCATGAGAAAGTGACTAAAGTTAAGATGCCAAGTCAGGATGGATTACATTGCAGATCCTTCTTTGGATTTTGTCAAGAACCTCAAGATCAATAGCAGGAGCACCAGACTAGATATGGCAGCAGTATTTAGCCTAATAAACTATAAAATTACCATTTTTATTCTATTCATTCTTTAATAAGATGCTTGTATAGCAATGTTTTGTTCTCGTAAATAATGTAGGATTGCTTAATATAATTTTGAAAGAGATCTAAAATTGATTAATTCTAATTTAGTAGAAAAATGTTAAAGGGTTCAATAATAGGCTAAAGTAATTCCCACACAAAATTCATGTAAATTTTTTGTCAAGATTCTTTAACATTCTTTTAACTGAACAATATAAAGAAAAAAAAGCACATTGAGTTTCCACAAACATTAGAAAAGTAGTAAACAGCTGCTTGTTTATAGGCATGGCTCAATAATCCCTGCTCAGGCACATTCATGTTGCTTCAACACCTACAGAGCCAACCTATAGTCTACACTGCAACTAGGTTGAGCAAACCTTGGTTAGTTTCTAAGGGAGAGCACATAATTTTGCATGTTCAGCAGTTTTAAACAAAGTCAAACCCTCAGTCACAATGATTTGTAACTTTATGCTAGCACACCCATGACAGCTTCCAAACAGTTTCATCTACCCAATTTAACTAATATTATCAAGAAATCATCTCCTTGAGAAACGACCATGGGGAGATTCAAGACTGAGTCTCATGGTCGAAACACTAATATTCTAACCACTCAGTCACATGCCGATACAAGGTTTGGCAATATAATAACTATGATGAGTGTGACTATAAAATAAGGTTTCTCTTTATAAAACAAATTAACAATTTAAAAAATTAAAACTATATAACAAATTCAATATTTCTAACATAAAATTTAGGATTCTTATAAATAACAATAATAATAATATTCATGTATTATTTCAAAATATTGTTTTTGTTGGTATTATTATAGTCACGTTTCAACAAACTGCCCTCTAGTCGTCATCAAGTGTCCATTGATTGGATGCCTGTTCATAATTATGATATTTTGTTCCTATGATATCAGTTATTGTTCATTCCTGCTGAATTGAGGTGTCATTACCAGATCCAAGGACTGAACTCAGAACCACAAGATGACAGTAACACATGTATAACCAACTCCTATATCCACGACACCACCATATTTAGACAGATATTACTAGTGGGTATTTTATATTCAATATGAGATGGTTTTGATATTTTGTTATGATAGTGGGTTCGCTATAACTGATATCATAATAAATAAATAACTCATATCACAGGGACAAAATATCACAATAATCAACAGATATACCATATCAGTCAATCAATGGATGACCAGAGGGTGCTTGGTTGAAACATTGTGTCTATAATAATACATTCTTATTCTTATCTAAAGCTTGATAAACTTTCAGCAATTGACCTAGAGAAGCAAAAGTCATATTGCTTGTCTGAAAGAAGGCCGTGCGAGGTGAGATGCTTTACCAATTTGGAGTTGATTAGAGCCTTTAGTACTTTGCCAAAATGAGGTAGCAGGCTAATAGGCTGTTATTCAGAAGGATCAGATGAGTTCTTAAAGACTGGAAGCTACAGAAAAGAATTTCTAACAAGCAGGAAAGCAAGAAGCAGCAAGGCATTTATTGTAGAGTTTAGAGAGAACAGGAGGTTAATTATATATATATATTAAATAACATCTACAAAATTTCTGTTATTTAAAAAGGTAAATTTCATATTTGTTAGTGTAAAAATGTTGAATAAATCTGAAATGTATAAAAATACATATAATCTCTGGTACTAAAAGTAGAGAAATATCGTCCTGTAGAATTTGACTAGAAATATGTCCAATGTGGAAAAATTTAGAGAAATTGACAATTGAAATCTACATATTCAGAATTTAATGAGCTTTTTAATGATGCATGTTGTCAATTCACATCTATTGGGCAAAATAGTTATAGCACAAAATATAAAATACGTAATCTTTACTAGAATAATGAAAAAGCACGTTTTCATAAGATCATGCTTATATAGACATATTTTAAAATATTCTTATATTTAGATCTTTCAAAACATTCTTATAAATTTCATTTTTTAAAACATTCTTATTTTTACTTCTTTTAAATCATCCTCATACAGTAGAATCCCTCATATCCAGAGTGCCTTATATCCAGAATCCCACATATCCAGACATGATTTTGATGTGTATACTTGAACTATTTGGGTGATATGTAACTGATTTGAAATTTCTGTTCTTCAGGAAATTTACTTTGGATAATTGCTTATGTTTATTTCACCCTAATATCAATTTTCATAAAACTGAGGTAGTCAAAATAATAAAGCTGTTAAAACAATTGAATATCTAAAATTTAGAGTGAAATGTTTTCCATGTGTAAAATTAAATAAAATAAATAAAAAACAAATAAAATTTAAATGAATAAAATCATAAAATAAAAATTAGAGGTACTACTACTTAGGTTAAAAAAAAATATATATATTTTTTGCATTTCACCTTTAAAGCAATAAAATAAATTAACAATTCTCTTTTTCATTTCTCCTTTTTTTTTCTTTATCTAGTCACCCTATTCTTAAATACCTACCATCATTATTAAAAAAAATTAAAGTCAACAGATTACTGATAATTTCAAAGCCCATGTTTGACTCAGATGGCAATAGAGTAAACAGAAATTATCCAGTAACATGCATATGCTAAAAAAAATAAAGTGGGGAACTTACTGTTTGGTTGTTGAGTCTCTTAACAAACTGAATCCCATGATAGTCTTTACAGTGAACAAATGCTTGTTCAGCAACAGTCAAATTCATATTGTCCAGTGCTGCTTCAGCCAGAAGATACCTAAAACAAAAAAAAATCAAATGTTTACATTCAAAAGACAACTCCACAGGAATGATAAGAAGTATGCATTGCAAACACCTGGAGAACTAAACAGATGTCTCCTTGGAGAGGCACTATGCCTTGAGAGACTATTGGGCCCTCAACTCACACCTGACCTCAAATGAAACTCATACATACAAGTCATCATTAAAGATGTAGATAAAATGGTAGGCTCCCTGTACTGCTCCAGTAAGTACCTAACTGCACATACTATCCTCTACCTTTACAAGAGCCAGATCAGGTCAAAAATGGAATACAGTTGTTATAGTTGCATGGGACCTGAACAAATTGCACTTTCCACCCTTGATAGAGCCCAAAAGCATCTCCGAGTCCTTGTGGGTGATGAAATATTTTTCACCCTCCAACCTCTCTCTCACAGGTGGGATGTGGCAAGCCTCTTACTGCTCTATCACTATTTTCACAGAAAGTGCTGGATGATCTACATTCCTTGGTTCTACCAGGTCAAATTTTCACTGCAAGGACACACCATGACTCTTACATTGTAGCAAATCACCCCCATACTCCCTCTGTATTCCATTAGTGAGAAGTAAGTTCCACTCAAACAGCTTCTCCCCACAAACCACTGGTCTGTGGGAACGACTCCCAAGAAGATGTTTCCCCGATCACTACAATCTTAACCTGTTCAAATATAGGGTTAACTGTTATCTTCCTCTACTATCCTTACAAACTGCCTCCTAATGTAACTACCTCGAGTGAACCCTGGGCCTTGTATAGGGTCAACTTTACTGTAAAGAAAAAAAAACCTTTAAGCTAGTGAATACCAATTCCTGAGACATTGTAGAGAGAGCAATATCACACAGTGGGGTATTTTGCTGTTAATGTTATTGTTTTTTTTGTTTGTTTTTTTTTTGTTATTTTGTTTTCCTTTTCCTCTGTGACTGAAAATTTTGAATGAAAACTGTAAATATACAGCTGAACATTTGAAATTTAATTAAAAGTAAAAAGTACTTTGATATATTATAATAATAATAATAATAATAATAATAATAATAATGATAATAATGATACATCTGAGAAAATACATGAAAATTAAGAGAATTTTAAGTTTTTTTCAGGTTAGCAGAACTTCTACTGAAAAGCACATAATAGATAATTAGAGAACTATAATAGTCAATAAATTAAGATAAGTTCAAGTGACTTTTTTTCTTTCCTTTTATCATTTCACTCCAAGCAAGGCAATAATACTACTAGGACTCAAGGGGTTACTGGGAGTGAAATAAAGTGAGAAGTGAGGAGACAAGACAATACAAGAATAGAATTCAGGAAGACAGAAGATAGCAATTGGTGTTGCATTTAAATTTATGAAGATTGTAGTTGGCAAGAAATTGGAAGTCAGTTTCACATGCAAGAAAAGAAACTATTACAATAGAACATATATTTTCATCTATAAGTAGTACAACAGTAAAATTGTAAGACCTAATTAACAGTCTGGTAGCATGTTTAAATTCATGCAGTTGAGGCAACAAAGAAAGAAACAATGAAGGTCCAAGGATAGAGCCCTGGAGAACACCAGGATTAATGTGAAATAAACTAGAAGCATGTGCTTTCAACACAACCTTCATCACATGATTTGTTAGGAACAATTGGATTAAGCCAAATATTCGTCCAGAGACACCATTGCCCTTGATCCTGTGGAGAAGGCCAGCATGCCAAACCTTGTCAAATGCCTTTAAGATATCTACAGTCAATGCCTAAGCTTTACCATTCTTATCTAAAGCTTGATAGACAAATTCAGTGATACTTGTTAATACATTGGCAGTAGACCTGGAAAAACAGAAGCCATATTGTTTATCTAAAAGGAGGTCATGTGAAGAGAGGTGCTTAACCAATTTGGCATTGATTAGATCCTCTAGTACTTTATCAAAAGAGATAAGAGACTGATAGGGCAATAATTCAAGTGGTAAGAAAGATCCTCAGAGTTCTTAAAGACAGGAACTGTTGAAGAGGATTTCCAACAAGCTAGAAAGCAAGAAACAGCGAGACATCTATCGTAAAGTTTGGAGAGAACAGCAGCCAGTTCAGGAGCATATTTCTTTACAGTTATATCGATCTAGCTCAACTGTTAATTGATGCAATCTCACTGACAGTCTAGTATTGCACTTAAATTTATACAGTCTAGGTACCATAGTGAAGAGCTCATCTGAACAATTACCATGAAAGTATTTGTAAAAAAGTCATAGAGAGATAACCTTACAGCAGTGGGAAAGTGACTAAAGCCAAACTGCCAGATCAGGACCAATACTATTGCTGATTTTTCTTTGGACCTTATCAAGGAGCTGCAGTTAAATAGTAGGGGCACCGGACCATATATGCCAGCAATATACTAAGCATGGACAAATGGTAGACATAGATATGCAAGATAGATTCAATAGAGAATTGTTTTACCCAACACAGTGAACCAACTTTCTTAGCAGCTGACCTAGCAATGGATTCAATATAGTCTTTCCACTTCATGTCAGCTGAGAACGTTAGTCCTATATACATACACATATATATATATATATATATATATATATATATATATATATATATATATACATACATATATAAATACTTATATATAAATACATATATATATGATCTGCAAAAGCAGTAAACTAATCTGTAATTAGATTCAATTCCAATCTTTTCAGGTCTGTTATTCCATTGAATTATGTTTACCACTGTTAAGAGATCAACAAATTTTGACATTAAATAACCCATAAGGAGTTGACATGCTGCTAAACAAACAAATCATCACCTGCTTTCCAAAAACACAATCTTCCATCACATTTCTCTCTTCTATGTTTAGTTACTTCTGCCTGACTGGTGGCAATGACATCACAATCTATATTTGCATAAATAAATCACATTATCTGTGTACAGGGTGTCCCAAAAATAATTGACATCATTTAAAATGAGAATATCAAAGTAACTACATGTCACAGGCAAATGAAATTAAATAGGCTTCATGTTGACCAATAAAAGATTTATTTATCAAAATTCAAACAAGATAATCAAAGGTATGTAGATTTTATAACAAACCTGAATATGTGCACCACCTTTGTCATGACACATGTCAAGTCGGTTGTCCAGTTCCTGCCAAACACACTGTAGCATGTCTTGTATAACATTCACCAGTTCCTCAGTGATTCTCTGCTTAAGTTCCTCTAGACTTGTAGGAAAAGGTGGGGGTATATACACCCATCTTTTCACATAGCCCCATAGAAAAAAATCACAAGGTATCAAGTCAGGTGAACATGATGGCCATTTCAACAGCACATTGTCATTATCACAGGCGATGCCCAATCCATCTTCTTGGTAGATTCTTATTAGATAAGTCCTCACAGTCAACTTAGATTTTACACATCTTGTTAAAATTTGAGATCATTTGATCGAGAATTGGCTATGTTATTAGACTACAAAATGATGTCAATTTTTTGCAGGGACACCCTGTATAATAAACGCATTTAAACATATACCCAATTATTTTCCAACAATATTGATAGTATGGTTTTGTTATCTACAGCATCAAACAGCATAAAATCAAAATAAAAAAACATATAAAAACATTTTCATATGATGTTAACATTTAAACATCAATAAGAGTTATTCTTTCTTTTTAGAATCAACATGGATATGCATTTGGCATAGTGTCAACCAGTCTAGTAGAAGAACAACTCTAAATTCAAAACCAGTTTGACATGGGGTTTGTAACTCCACACTATAAAACAAAAACCTACTTGCTACAAAAAAACCACAGCAGCAACACCTAGCTTGATGAGTCTGTGGCCCTATTCTCCACAAAGGAATGGCCCTGATGATGATGTGGAGGAGGAAGATTAACATACCATAATCGGGGATGAGGATTATCTTCAATGAATTTTTGAGCTTCTTCAATGCCAACTTTTTCTAAGAGTCCTCGTGTGTCTCTTAAAGCCTGCAAAAAATTAATTAAAGGTAAAAAAAAAGTCACAAAAATTGTACTCTTTAGTCTATACAGATTGTAATCATTAGAAGCCCTGGAATATTTTTCTATGCATTTCATAATTAAGAATAATATTCAACATATATAATCTGTAAAGCTGAAAACGTCAAACATGATATCAATCTTTGTTGTAAGAATTCCGGTGCAGAAAAATTAATTTTGTGTAATTCTTTCATCAAATACACATGGTATTTTAATTTGTAGACTTTCTGGAAGTTAACTGTATTTTCTGTGATTATGGTATTTATATTAAAAAACACCATACAATTTAAAAATATTCTCTTTTAATCACTCAAACTAAGCTGAAATTTCCAGGTTCACAAAACAGTACCCATAAATTTCAAAGAATAACATTTTGTATATATCCCACAAAACACATTCTAACACAAGAAACATGCAGTACCAAGAACAAAACTATACTATCAACATAAATAACTGACTTTCACTGGTATAGACCAGAATTTTCCAAACTGGTGTGTCATGATGCTTAAGTATATATAATTACTCATACTTTCTTTAATTGTTAACTAAATTTGTTAGTGAATCATTTCTTTTTTATATAGATTTTGAATTATATATTTTGCTTGGGCAACAAAACTTAAGGGATATATAACAGATATTGGTATAGAAGGTAGAATCAGTGTGCCAAATTCAAAGTCCAGGTTAGTCTGTGGCATTCACTTTCACTCACATGCTATTAGGAAAGGCGTTAATCTGTTTCTCCCCCTGCCCAGCTATGGGTTAACTAGCAGAGTAGACTGGGCTTTCTGAGCTTGGGTGGCAACCATTCTAAGAAGCCATGGCAATTCACAGATAATAAAGAATTGGAATTTGTGGAAAAGACAATGATAACCAGTCCTTTGCCTTTCACAAGAAGTTATGGCAATTCACAGATAATAAAGAAAAGGAATCTGTGGAGAGTCATGATCTCTTATATCCTGAAGAGATATGGCATTAGAAATAACTTGCATAATGTGTGGCAAATAATGTTATTTTTAAAAAATGCATTGCCAAGGTAAAAAGTTTGGAAAGTTCTTTTTGATATGCTTGATTCGTGTGCTTTGTATTAGTGCCTTTTATCTCCTCACATATTAAAGCCCAGCTTTACTTTTATGAGCAAAATACCAGTATTTTTAAGCAACTGAACTATTTGCTTTTACCTTTGATGAATAATTCAATCAATAAAAAAAATAAATAGCCCAAATACTGACTAGATGAATGAGGTGAGTTTAGAAAAAGGAAATAAATGACTCACCACAGAGACTTTGAGGAATAGGGTGACTCACTTTGGTGCATAAGGTACACAACAAATCAGATGACTTCAATGATTAAAGTAATTAGATAAGCAACTGTGAAATTTACATAAATATGTCTTTTGATATGAAGCACTAATTATAAAGCAGTAGCTAATAAGGTAACCTCACAAGTCAATTATAAAGATTTTTGTTTTTCTTCTATGTGCCATGTCCCTTTAGGATGTGGGCAATCATGGCTCTCCACAATTTCCTGTCTTACCCATCTGTAAAACCACATTTCTGTTGCTTCAAGTCCATCTGCAAGGAGATTGTTCAGCATCCACTGCCAAATAGGAAGACTAATATTATATTACAACACAGTACTAATTTTTTTTTGTTCCTAATAAATTTTTCCTGTTTCTTAATACTTTGCTTAGCTTTTGGAAGGCTTCTTTCACTATCCCAATGTGCCTTCAGCTTTCCATGTTCCACTTCCCAGATATTAAAATTGTTGTACTTGTTTGCTTTGATTTACTGTCTCAAATTCAAAAATATCTATTGCTTCTCTGGTGTATTTGTTCTTCATATTTCTCTGGCAAATTTGATAGCAAGGTTATTTAAAGCCATAAAATATTTTTGTATTCTAATAACTTATTGGAGATAATAATGATTTACTGATACAATTCTTACTAATTAACCCATAGCTGGTGGGGGTGGGAAAAGGTGGATTCATACTTTTCGCAAAATTATTTGCATGTAAGTGAATATAACGAACACAGCTGGAATTGAAACTCAGCTCTCCAATCTTCAATTCTGAGCTGTTATCCATTACACCACCCGCACATCCAAGCCTACAGCATCTGGTATTCCCAAGTGGTCACTCATCTAGGTACTGACTAATGACAGTAAAAACATTTGGAAATTAATAAATTTATTTATTCAGTTGTAATAAAGTCATGTTTCACAATTTAATCAGTTTTATTGAGGCAAATAATCCTAAGATTTCATCTTTACATAATCATCCATTTTCATCACAGAATGAAAAACAGAATAAAATTACCTTAAAATAGGTACCTCCATGAGATTGTTAAAAAAGAGCATAGCATGAAGAAAAAGACACCAAACTTGACGAAAACAAAATTTTATCATCTAAATGTTTATGTTATTATCAAGAGGAAAGGAGTCAGCAAAATTGACTATTTTTTTCCATTTTATAAAAAAACTGAAAATCTCCCTTTGAAATTCTTTTAAATATCAATTATCATTTTTTCAAAACTTATTTTAAGAAAATTAGAAATTATAATGTTTATTTAAAATATTTTGAAGCAAGCTTAACTTCGCTTCTATACTGAAAAGATGTAATTTGAAAATAAAACAAAGCAGGTCATAAACTTTCACGTCACTTGACTGGTGATGAATGACATATTGATGGATTCCATGAGGATAGTTTGTTCTACGGAAGGAGAAAGTGAAATTATTTACATTTAAATGAACAAATTATTTACCTCGTTATTTTTAAGGAAAACTTTCAGCACCCTAATTTTTTTTGTACTTAGCTTTCACCTTTACATTTACAATGCTTTATGGAAAATATATTATAAAGAAATTAAAATAAGACTGTTAAAAGTGAGATTAAATTTCATATTTTATAAGAAAAGTATCTAATTAATTTATAGGTACCTTTCTTATAAAATTTTATCAGAAGTGTACATAAAATACTATAATTTTATGTACATTTATTAAATTTTACTGTGTTATTTGTATTTCCATTCATTTTGTTATTAATTTTGATATTTCATTTATGGAAAAATGTCCTAATTGAGATTAATATAAAAATAAGATCATATAAATTTCATAAGATGATAGTGATACTTGTAGGTACCCTCAGTTGAAATTGAAAAATCAAATTAACTTCTCCACAAGTGTTTCACAAAAGTAAAGGCTTTAACAGCGGAGAACAATGCTTAACTCAAATAATGCAACTTAATTGTATTCTGGTTGGTCTTCCATACTTTATAATTACAAATTATAAACACAAAATTACATTTCTTAATTACTGCGGATCTTCTGATTAGTCAAAATGATACAATTTACAACGCACTAAAAAAAGATGTATCTCATATGGACACTTAGGAAACCCGATGCGGCTTTTAACTAATTTTATAATATTTTAACAACTTAAATGTAAAAATCTATTATAATTAAAAAATAACAAATAATTGTCTGCTTTCAGAAAATATTGTCCAGATTCATAAAAAAACTGAAAACAAATAAAAGCATTTGAAATTAAATAATATCTTTGTTTTATTGAGTTTTGTATGTTACAATTCACAGCTGATTTTCAAATACTGCGGATCCAATTAAAAACAAAAAAAACATGATTTGCATTCCTCAAAGCCTTGTGCTTTTAACTATTGTAATCACTAAACCTGACACGATCGAATTTCTAGCATTTTGATAAAATTAGTTGGGGGGGTTAATAAATATAAAAAAATATTTCTGCCATGACTTTAATAAAAAAAACATATTTATAATAATTTCAATCATCTGTGAATAGTTTCAGAAAGTTTCATTAACATACAACAATTATTTTTATTTTTGCAAGATTTTCCAAATTAATGTGTGTCACACAAAAAGAAAAGTGCTAAAAATTGTATGTTATTTTACTAGTTCCGGTAATACAAAGAAAAACAAGGTTTTTTAATCAAAATTTAGAATGTTCTAAAAAGAAGGAAAAATTTTTTAAAATAATTAAAATAAACATTGATCTTTCCTCTTAATAATAATATAAACATTTAGATGATAAAATTTTGTTTTTGTCAAATTTGGCATCTTTTTCATCATGCTATGCTCTTTTTTTAGCGATCTCATGGAGGTACCTACCTTAAAACCAATAATAATATAAAATAACTTAAAAGGAGTCCAGTATTTTAAAACAAAATGAAATAAAATAGCTATGTCCTGCAGCAACAGACTTTTGTGGGTAAGGAATTAATCTGTTGCAGCACTGCTCCTTCTACTCTTATATGTGTACCATGTCTCCTCAGGACATAGGTAATCATGGCTATCCCCAACTTCCTGTCCCTTGTAGCTCTTAATAAACTTTGTCTTTCTGTTATTTCTCCTAAGCCCTATTCCACCATCCATTTGTTCAAGCTCATTAAGAATGTTATGTGTTGTTTTCCTCAGTCCCTCTTGCCTTCTATTTGTCTTGTGAGTATCAGATTTCTTAAGCGCTCCTTCCACATTATATGCCCCAGAAATCTCAATTGTTTCTTTCTGATGTTAACTATTAGTTTCCTTTTTGTTTCCATTTTTTCAAAAACTTTGTCATTACTCACATGTTTGGTCCACAGTATCCTCAGCATCCTTCTGTAGAACCACATTTCTGTTGCTTCACATCTCCTCTTTATCTTTGAGGAGATCGTCCAGCACTGACTGCCATACAGAACAGATATCATATAGCAGTTTAGTACTCTTTTCCTTGTTTCTAGCAAAGTTTTCCTATTTCTTAGTACTTTGCTTAGCTTTTGGAATGCTTCCTTGTCTATACCAATAAGCCTTTGGGTTTCAATGTTGATCTTTCTGCCTTCTGTTAAAACACTTCTCACATATTTAAATTTAAGCACTTGTTTGATTTTGGTACCTTGGATTTGCAATTCATACTTTGGGCTCATCCTTTTGCTAACAACCATGCATTCTGTCTTCTTACAGTTGATGTTTAATTCTTTTTTCTCACTTTTTTTTCACTACCTTCTGTAGAAGTTTTTATAGCTTTCTTTCTGTGTCTGCTATCAACACTGTGTCATCTGCATACCTTATGTTGTTAAGATTGTGGCTGACAATAATTAATCCTGGTAGGACTTCTAGTTCTCTCAGACAGAATCACCTCACTGTATAGGTTGAATAAGTCCGGTGAGAAGACACATCCTTGTCTTACTGCTCATAGTTAGACTAAAAGTGGTGACAAATAAAATTTACACATGCAAATTATGAGTGTAGGAAATAGAGACAATATTTTATAATTTTGTTTTTATATAACTGAGTAACAAAGAAGAAAAAAATACACTAGTATACATGCAAAAGAAAGTTAAAGAATTGTGTAGGTGATACCTGCACATGTGTGTGTATGTGAAAGTTCAGTCACTAAGAGGAAAGATATCCCCATGCCCGGGACAGCTTGGTGGGTTTACTTCTACTGCATACTAGGAAAAAAAAGAGAGAGAGGACAGGAATTGTTTCGTTTTTATAACTGTTTTTATCACCTAACAACTTCTTGGTGAAACTGGCAAATCTATGTGATGGTAACCCACAAATCCAACAATTACTTCTTTTTGTATCTATATTATAATGATTTTATTTCTGTAGGCTCATATGTTTGTTAGCATTATACAGCAAAAACATCACATTGTCACATAATTTTTGTTAGTATGATGCCATTAAAATGCTCCAACTTGGAGAATAAGGCAATTTTTATTCAATTGAGCCACCAGTTCTGGTCAGTTAAATGCTATTGCAGTCATTTCCCTTAAGTTTTTTTTATTTTCTCATTAAGTGAAATAAGAAGATTCTGTGGGAAAATGAAATAAAATCAATACATAAAATAATAATGAAGAATAAAAAAAAAAAAGAAAAAAAGAAATACATTTTCCCATGATCCTAGTAATAAAGGAACGAGAAAGGGTTTTGGTCAACTGCACAATTTTATTACCCCACTTGGCTTTGCCAAATGCGTGTTAGGTGGTGCTATTTAAATTCTATAAAAAGACAAACATTTACTTCATCTTTCTTGCATACAGCCTTATCACAGTGAAACATCAGTTCTTGTACAATCACTGAAGTTAAGCAACATTGACCCTGGTTAGTAACTAGGTGGGTGACCACTTGGGAATAACAAGTGCTGTAAGTTTGGATGTGCAGGTGCAACAGCTTGGAATTGGAGATCAGAGGGCTGAGTTCCAATTTCAGTTATGTTCATTATATTCACTTACATGCAAATAATCTGAAACACCAGTTCTTGTATGATTACCGAAGGTCATAAATGTCAAGCCTAGTCAGTACCTAAATGAGTGACCACTAGGGAATACGAGGTGCTGTAAGCTTGGATGTGTGGGTGGTGTAATGGATAACAGCTCAGAATTGAAGATTGGAGAGCTGAGTTTCAATTCCAGCTGTGTTCGTTATATTCAATTAATGAAAATAATCTTGAGAAAAGTATGAATCCACCTCTTCCCACCAGCTATGGGTTAATTAGTAAGACTTGTATCAGTAAATCATTATTATTTCCAATAAGTTATTACAATCTAAAAATATTTTATGGCTTTAAATAATCTGCAAAAAGTTGATAGGCCATAAAAAACAAAATCAATCAGCATTCCTCTTTCTCTTGGACGCATTTTGCAGAACTACCATTCATGAAGTAAGTACAATCTTTATTTGGTCGTTCAACTCAGCACAAAGTTAACTTGAGCTCAATCATTATAACCATTTTTATTGTTACTTACCTAACTTACTTTTGGACCAAAAAAAAGAAAGTGGACATCCCCAAGAGATACTGAGAATTTGGTTTCCCTACAATTTCTATAAAAAACAAATACACAGTCCATAGTAAAAACCCAAGTTTTTTTTAGTGTCATTTAGCATTTGCAAATAATTTTAATATGAATTTTTAATAGTAAGTGACTTAACATCAAAAGGCAACATTTAAGCAAGTTCAAATAAAAAAAGAAAAACAGAAAAATTGAAACATCCAAATTTACCTTGATTTCTATGTCAACCACTAGTCCTTTGGTTGGATTTTCAGGATAAAGCATTATGTCATCTAAAAGGACAGTTTTGATCTGTAAATCTGAGAATTGACAGATATAACCTTTACAAATGACAGGTTCCTGGAAAGAAAAGTAAAACCAATTTAATCAGATTGTGGTAGAGTACAGTACTAGACCATGCAAGCTAAATAATTCAAAAGTTTGGGAATAAGTAAACAAACAAAAGTACTTCCTATAAGATAGATTAGAAGAAGACAGACTTGAATTCTAGTTAAAAATAGCCATTTTGTAAATTTACTATATAATAATGATAGCAATTGAGATATTGCTTTTCCATACTTTGGTATTAGTCTATAGGTAAAAGACAAGTAAGACTTGCTTATTATTTTTTTAATTGTTTCACCCTAATGAAGGCAATAATGCCACTAAGATGCAACGGGTTACTGGAAGTAAAAGAGAATGACAAGACTAGTGAAGAGAAAAGACATTAAAAGACAGGTTTCAGGAAAATAGAAGATTGTGATTAATGATGCATTTAAATTTTTGAAGATTGTAGGTGGCAGAGAAACAAGAAACCAGAAGAGAGTCCCACTAGTGAAAAGTATAAGAGAAACTATTACAATAGAACCTATGGTTACATCTGTCTAATTCAACAGTAAAATAGTGAGACCTAGTTGCCAATCTAGTAGTATGTTGAAATTAATGTGGCCAAGGTACCAGGGAAGAAAGCTCATTAGAACAATTGCCATGAAAATATTTAAAGAAAAGACAGAGAAGCCATGTTACAGCAGTGGGAAAGTGATTAAAGTTGAGATATCAGGTCAGGATCAATTACATGACATTATAGACTCGTCTTTGGATTTTGCCAACAATCTTGAGATATATAGCAGGAGCACTAGACCAATTATGGCAGCAATATTCAATGCATTAATAAAAGGTAGATTTATAAACAGGCAAGATGGATTCTGATGAGAAAAAATTGTCATGCATGACACAGTGAAGCAACTTTCCTAGCAGCAGACCTAACAATTGATTCAATAACTCTACCTGAGATGAAGAAGGTGCAATAAGTTGCTCTCTTGGGGGTTAGCACCAGCCATGACAAAAAAGTTCCTCTATGGTGATTAAAAGATAGCAGTTTCATTCTGAAGGCATTAAAATTCACAAGCCCTCCCGTGCCCCTGATTGGAGTTCATGTTCAAGAGAAGCTGCCAGTTTTACTTTATCCGACCTATCAGAATTACTATGAAGACACGGGATATATAAGTACCATAACAAAATGTTTATTCAAAATAATATATTTCATTATTAATAAATTTGAAAATCAATATATTGCAATATTAAAAAATAGGGTAGTGATAATTTCACTAATTTCAATCTTTTTTTCACCAATTTTGCTAAAATTCAGTAAAAAATTTAGTTCTTTTTAATTAGATTTGAAAAATGTTTTGTATCTTAATATTGATTAAATTTTAATAAGATTTTATAAATTCTGATCTAAGTTTATGTTCCAACTTTTTCTACTATGTGATACTTAATCACTACTTGGATTTATTGCAATAAGAAAACACTAATAAATCCAAAGTGAATCAAATATACCAGCTTCAACTCATTTTTTAATCTTTCATTTTCTTTCTCTTTTATTATTAATTTTTATCAATACAAACAAAAGCATCAATCTTATAAAAGTTTCCATTTTTTCAGATTAAAACAAATAAATAAAATAATAATCTATTTAAATTAGATACCACCACTTTTTCACTAAAAAAAGCATGATGAAAAAGACCCCAAACTTGATGAAAACAAAGTTTTATCGTCAAAATGTTTATGTTATTATTAAGAGAACCAAAGAAGTTATTATTAGAGACCAAAGTGTTTTTATTATTTTATTAAAATTATTTAATCTTTTCTAGCACGTTCAAAATTTTGGTTAAATATCTTGTTTTTCTTGCATTAGTATTAAGTAGTTTTAGTTCCTTTATTGTGGTAAAAACCACATTGTTTTGAAAATTCTAGCAAAAATCAAATAATTGTCAGATTTTAATGAAATTTTCAGGATATTCATGAATGAATGAAATCATTTTTAAAATTTTATTTTTTAGAAAATTGTTAAAATGTTCTTTTTTTTACATCTGTTATTTTCACTTATTGAAATTTCTTAAAATTAAGTTAAGTTAAAATTTCAGCATCTTCTTATAGTAGTTAAAAACAGGACTCCTTGGAGAATTTAAATCATCAATTTAATACGATCTATTGCTTCAGACAAAATAAATTCCTTTTGTAATTTATCACTTTTAAATTATCATAAAGTGAAGCTAATATAGTGCGTGCACTTGATGAGCATATACAAACAGTTCTGGACCGTACAAATTCAAATATGATCAGAAATATTAGCAAAACACTCATTATGAATTATCTCCCTTGAACAAAGCTCAAGCTTCATGACTTTTATATTTGACTTCTATGATCTCTAATCAAAAAGTGATTAATACATTATAATATTGCTAAAAAAAATAGATCTAATGTTAGCAAGAGTGAAATATCCCCAGTTTGTCATTGAAACATATTTACAAAGCACTACAATACTACTATTATATTGTACAGGAGATGGTCCAAAAGTAATGCCTCCTATTTGTTTTCATTGATGCTACAATAAATTAAAGGAGCACAATAACACCATTGGATAGAAAAGGTTAAACACTATTTTTCCATTCAGTCACTATTATTGGCTATGCATTTTTGTCAGCAATGAACAAGAGCCCTTTGTTTTATAGATTGACCGGTATGTTGGGCCATCCATAATATCACTTATCACACACATGACTGTTGAAACTATCTATATAGGTAAGAAAAAATTATAGGTTAGTGGTAAGAAGATTCACCATCTACTGCCATACCACCAATATAATAAAATAAGAAAAATACAAAGTATTATTTTCAAAACAACCACTGCATATCACATTGCCATGTTCACACACCTCTCAAGATAGGAGTAGATAGGTTCACCTATCGTCTGGTTCACACCTCCTCCTTGGTCTTTTGAACAGGAGTAGAGGTTTATCCCTTGTTTCCTGTATAAGATTGGGTTTCCAGTTCCTTCTAAAGTCTACTTCAACTCTATACTTTTAATGTCTCCACCTAAACTCTGAAATTTTATTCAATATTTATTTTTTATTTATTTATTTTTCCTCAATAGGAGTAGATTTTTTTGCCAATCATCCAATTCATAATCCTCCTCAGTCTGTTGAACAGGAGTAGAGGTTTATCCTTTGTTTCCTATTTAGGATTGAGTTTCTGGTTCCTTCTAAATTCTTCTCATTCTCTTTCACTCCCAATAACCCCTTTCATCTTAGTGGCATTATGGCCTTGCCTGGAGTGAATTGATTTTAAAAAAAAATAAAATAAAAGGCAACAAGAAAGTTTCGGGTTAATTAATTATGCAAGTTAAATTCTAAATTCATCCTGTTCCTTCAAGGGAGATAACTTGATCTGTACAAGGAGACTAACAAATTTTTTCAATCCATATTAAAAAAAAAGAAGAGCTAATTCTTTCTTTGTCATGCTTTCTCTACATGTGACTTGGCATGCAAGTATATAATGCATCTGCATATGTCTATGTTGTGCATGAATGACTTACATGTGCTTGTGCCATTTAATGTATACACAAGCAAACACCTGCCCACAATTTAACCGAGTTTAAAATAAAACACTTGAATATTACATTCTTCTCCCACTCATTCTGGACTACACCTACTTTGGGCTGAGCAATAAAGTCATAAAGTTAAAGACAATAAAAAAAATAATTTTTTAGACACTAAAACATCAGATAATTATACAATTTTATTGTTTTTTTAGAAATTATTTGGTAATAAAGATTATGTTTTAAAGCTTTTATAAATTTTGTAAAAATATTTTTAGGTCTTTTGCTGATTTAAAATAGACATTCAGTTGAATGATATTGAAATGGGTACCTGTGACAAGAGTGCTAATTTCCCTTTTGTCCTGTGGCACTGGGAAACAGGAAAAAAGTATAAGCCAAAATGCATGTCTCTTTAAAATTATTTTTATCACTCATTCTTTGTTCAAACTGAATATATTTTCTAATAAAAATAGTATTTTAAATGACAAACAATTTAGATTTTAAATTTGATCATCTTGCCATCAGTGAAGCAACAGGTAGATATTAAACAACTAATTAATATCAAAACAACTAGTAGATATTAACTTCACTAGAATTTCTAGCCAATCTAAAAATCCTAGACTTGTCAGTGCCTAATATAAATATTTTTTTTTAATCAATTCACCCCAAACCAAGTGATAATGCCACTAAGATGCAAGGGGCTACTGGGAGTGAAAGAAAATGAGAAAACTTTATAAGGAACCAAAAACTCAATCCTAAACAGGAATCAAGGGATGAACCTCTACTCCTGTTCATAAGTGTGGGGAGGAGTGTGAACTGGTCAGTAGGTGAACTTACCCACTCCTTTTGAGAAGAGAAATAAAAAAAGGAAATAAATAAATATTGAATAAAATTTCAGAGTTGAGATGGAGACATCAAAAGTACGGAGTTGAAGTAGATTTTAGAAGGAGCCTAAAACCTAATCCTAAACAGGAAACAAGGGATAAATTTCTACTCCTGTTCAAAAAACCATGGAGAAGTGTGAATTGGGTGATAATTGAGATTAATCAAAAAAAAAATATATAACAAAATTAAGTGGCAACTAAAATGATGGAAATAATATCTTTTGAGCAACTATGCAATGCTAATAATAAAAAATTAGTTACCTCTGGATCAAGTCCTCGAATTACATACATTCTATCTTTTTCCATCATAGCAAATAGATCAGGATTATCCTGAAATAAAAAGTAAATATAGAAGACATATGACAAATTAAAAAGCAAAGCAACAAGATGAACAACTTTGTTTTATATCTATATTAAAGAAATTAATAAAATACTGGTTATAGGTATCTGTTTCAGGCACATGCTTTAAAATTAAATGTATTGTTTTTAATATGCTATTTGAAATAAAGACTGTATGTCATAGTTCAGATTTGATAGGTGTCACTTGATGAGTGATATACATTCTTGCCATGGTTCTATCTAACTATAGCAATAATGCATATCTCTGGAGTATGAAATCCGAATCTTAAAATATTACAAAAAAGCAATTCTTTCACTTTGCCTTTTCAACATCATAAAATAGATTCAAATAACAAGTTAGATCAAAGTTAACACTGTGAATGAAGTAATATAGAAATGAAATTCCCCAAATAAAAAAGATGAAAATACATTAAGCATTATACATATAACTGCTTTATTCTCTCTGTAATGCATGCTTCAATTCTAGACTACTGACAATCGATTTTTTCTTGATTTTTTTAAAAATGCAAAACAGTTGATGAAAATTGCTGAAACAAATTTTAGGTCAAAAATAAAAATAATTCAGTATCTAATTATCAACATCCCATAGCCACTAGAAATATTAAGTGTGTTAACACAGAAAATAATTAAAACTAAGTGGGGAAGTAGAAGTAAAGTAAGTGGACAGCAATAAGCAAAAACATATAACTGCTGAAGACATGATAAATTAAAAACAAAAGCTGTTATATTAACAACATGAACAACTTTGTTTTATTTGGTTGAAATACAGTCAATGTTAAACCTTGGTTCAAATGCAGTTAGTGCTATTACTTGGTCCAAATGCAGTTAGTGATAAAATTTGGTCCAAATGCAGTTAGTGCTAAAATACAACCATGATTGTTTTCATTTTCGCCTTTTATTACTAGAACTTGTGTCACTATGATTATAATCATTGGAGCAGTGTTTCTCAACCAGTGTTCCCAGGAATCCTAGGGTTCTTCAAGAGATCATTAGGGGTTCAACAAGAAATAGGCTAAATAAATGCATTTTTGAGTAATTCTTTTAATTTCATATTCATAATTTTACTATATACATACAACATATTGTTGGAAAATCCTTGGTTGTTATAATAAAGGCTTCAATGGCATCAGTGTGAAACCACCTTCCCTGGTTAGTGGACAAGACCTAATAATGGTATATAATTTTTAAGCATGGGTTCCCTGAAACATGAAAACTATTTCAAGGGTTCCACAGGGTAAAAAGGTTGAGAAATGCTGCATTAGATTGTATGAAAATGTTAACATATTTTGACATTTTCTACTTGTAATGTTATTATGCTAATGGAAGTGCAAGTGGTGTTGTGGTTAGTGGCTGAGAAATTTGTGAGCTGAGTTCAAATTCTAGTCAAGTACATTAAACTCATTTTTGCACAAATACCATTGGAAAAGTTAGGAACCCATCACTTCTCATCTCTATGGGTTAAACAACAGGTACATTGGGATCTTTAGTTGTGGCTAGCAACCAGTCTAGGAGAAAAACAATTCTGAATTCAAAACCCAGCAACCTGAAGCTCTACAGAGATGGTTACACATGAGGTGCAGATCTATGTTGGTAAAACAAAACATGAGAGATTTTGTTATAATCTTCCTAAACCAAATCTTCTTCTGATTAACATTATACAAATTTCCACCACTGGCCAGATGTGAACGCTCCAAAACCCAAGACCAAACTAAAAATTCTATCAAACACACATTGGCTCCACACACACCTTCCACTTTCCTCACCCCCACAAAAAAAAAACATACAATCCAATTTTTTACCCAATAGTACCCACTCCTGCCTAAAGAAGTGAAATAGGAATTGGGGCTTATCTGAGCCTATGAAAGGACTTAAAAGCCCATCAAAGAGACATCTTCAGCAATTGGTCAGCACAACAGCCAGGGTTCACACGCTCGTCAGAATGCCATCTCCACACACAACGACAGCTGGCCTCCCATCTCCAAAGCCCATCGCCGCAAGAGGTCACAAATCACCCTCCCTCTACTAACATAAGCCACTGCAGACGGATTTACTTATGTCTTTCTTTCAACGAAAGACTTTCACACCACTTCACCATTTGTTGTGTTTTTTGTTAATACAATTATTTATTTCTTAAACCTCTGTCATTTCTTGTTTCTGCTACCAATTTCAAAACACAACAGATTTCAAAACACAATAGATTTTCATGATGGATGATCCCACTGAAGAGTGATTATCCAGAATATTGTTGAAACCAATGAGCATTGGGCCCAAGGAAGGATGAATTGAATGTCATATAAGCAGATAACTTCCCACAAAATAACATACTGATAAATTTCTTGCACTGTGGTTGAGTGAAATAATATGCTTTTACTATTTGTCTTATAATATAAATGGATATTAAAATTTAAAATACCATGAGTCCATTAAAAGCATTGATTTTTGTTGTCATTTTTAGTCTTGCTCAATATCTTCTTCTTCTACATGCCATGTCTCTTCAGATATCCCTTCAGGATATAGGCAATCATGGCTCTCTACAACTTCCTGCCCTTTGTAGCCTTTAGTAAAGTTTGTCTTTTTCCTATATCTCCCAATCCTTGTTCTGCTAACAATTTACACAATATCGTTAGCTTTCCTCTGTCCCACTTGCTTTCAATGTCTTATGAGTGTCAAATTCTCCTAGACCTCTTTCCTCATTATATGCTCTAGATATTTCAACTGTTTCTTTCTAATTCTAAGTGTTGTTTTTGTTTCCATTGTTGTTAAAACTTCCTCATTATATGTTCAGTCCATGGTATTCTCGGCAACCTTCTGTAGAACCACATTTGTTATCTCAAGTTTCTTCTTCATCTGTGAGGAGATTGTCCAGCATTCACTGCTATATAGAAACACCAATATTACATGACAATTTGGAAATCTTTTCATTGTTTCTAATGAAGTTTTCCTGTTTTTTAATACTTGCTTACCTTTTGGTAGGCAATATACTTATCAGAAAAGTATATTTTCTAAATCAAATTGCTACAAATGTCAAACATTGTTTTTTTAAAAACCTTTTAAAATATCCAAAATTTCCTAAATATAGAAACAAAAGAGTAAAGCAAATCCAAGTTCCTCACTGAATAAATAAAATGTGCAGATTATAGAATGACAATCTGTGAGTTGTAATAAAAACTTGTAGAACATAAGATGATGGAAATACTAATCAAAAACTAATATGAATTAAAATATACAGGTGTTAAAAAAGAGATACATTTGTGATGATGCACTTCTGCACGTGACTGCCCAAGCTGTGATGACATCCAGTGTCAGCTGTATGCATATACACCCAGCTCGCTATGTTCACAGGTTTGTCTTACTGTGATCGAATTCAACAAAGAATAACGACAAATGCTTTTCAAGATACTGATTGGGAAGTAGCGAAAAATATGATTTCTCCCTTAATCAACAAGGTTTTCCTTCAGCTTTGAGAAGGTGAACTGCTATATTACTAACTTCAGTCCAAGGAAAAAGAACCCATACACTCATTGCCTGACCATCTCGGTGACTGCTGACTTACTCACTTCTGGTCCCTTCCTGACTGATTATATGGATACTGGCTGAGGTACCATCACCTCTATCCATCCACTTGTGTTCCAGAAAAGGAAACCACCTATTCAGCTTTTGGGTGGTTAGTTTTTCAAAGGACTCTAAAATTAAGATTATCTAAAATCACTAACAAAATCTTATGTTTGCTAATTCAAAGGCAGGCTAGAGACAGGATTCCTGAAAAATTCTGGTCATTAAATTGACTCAAAGATGAGCTGGAAGCAAGATTCCTAAGAACACTGGTCATTAAATTGACTTAAAAAGAAAAACAATCTATCTATCTCCTAAGGATGTGTGAGAAATTGTATTGCTACACATTAATGTAAAAGTAATTATAAATTGTAACTTATTTACTCACGCTGGCCCATTTAATGTTCCAAACATCTTTGCGTTCAAACTTGAGTCGTTCTCCAACAAACTCTTTGCCTGTTGTTCCACTTGAATTCTGGCCTTCCAGCTGGTAGAATGTCAGCACTCCAAAGTTATCAACTATGGCTAGAATTCTAATGAAGTCATTGTAAAAAGAACATAGTTATTTTAAAAATTAATTTCTGTAAATGAAAAATTAAATTAATTTTTAAAAACTGAGATAAATTATTAAAATATAATAATATATTGTTCTATGTAAATCAAAATGTATAGTGAAAATAAAAAATTCAGAATTTAAGTTCCCGGCTCTAAAATCTATGTAATGGAAATGTTGTGATTTACAATGTTTAACTTAGATATGACACAACAGACTTTTTTTGTTTTCTATGTGCCCTGTCCCTTCAGGACATTGGTGATCATGGCTCTCCATAATTTCCTGTCCTTTGTAGCTCTTAATAAATTTTGTCTTTTTGCTATCTCTCATAAACCCTATTTTGCTATTCATTTACACAAGTTCATTAGGTAGGTTATGCACTGCTCTCCTCTGTCCCTCTTGCCCTGTGAGTGTCAAATTTTCCAAGACCTTTTCCCTCATTATGTGCCCTAACTCCTACTAAGTTATAATTGATCTAACAAGACAAGTTTGCTAACCATTATACCATATTGAAGTAATAGAACCATACATACCATTATACTCTCTGTAATTGTATATATAAAATTTTGCTAAGTTGGGTATTATGTCAGGTGACTCTAAAAGTGATATCAGTACCATGTAACTTAGTACTACCTGTTGCAAGGTTGGGTCATGATATGGTTAGGAATTATATCAGTGAAACTGGTTCAGAATTCCATCTTTGGTTTAATAACTACAAGAAAAGTATCAGAGACAAGAACATCAATTTTCTGTCTAGCTGTACATTTCCACCAATTGGGCTACAGGATTGATAACGCTAGATGTATACTTTAGCTACCTCATTTTAGCGTCCAACAAAAATGCCATAAATCAGAGTTAAAATTCATTTTTAAAATAAATCTACACATTCTAGGTTTAAATAAAAATTTAGCCATGCCCAATGAATATAGTTTCCATAAAAAAGCCATCTGTGAATGTCTCACAACCCTGATCATAACTGAGAAATAACCAAAAAGTACTAGTAAAATAAATCACTCACAGACACTGAAACTATCACATGCGTTCAGACATATTAATGAATATGAAAATCCTATATCCACCAGAGAAGGTGGATTGGGAAATCATAAAAAAATGACCTTACTTCCTCCAGTTAGTTGAAAATGATATAGACTAACTGAAATAATCCCATACTCTCTATCCTAAGGCTGACTGTTGACTATTTTTCACAAGCACTTTAAATAAATAAATGAATCGTGCAAAACAACACTCTTTCCCAAAAAGAAGTCCATTTTATTTTTCATTGAGAAAGGATATTATTATTATTGTGTATTTTCAAATTTCTCTCATCAACCTACTACACCTACACCTGGCCACAACTTTGATTTTACTAATGCCACCCTAATTAAAAAAGAACATGATTCTTTAAGGAGAAAATGCTTTGAAAGCTTAATAATACAGATAGTAGGTACATTAGAATACCACCCCACTACACTGACTGACCACACAAAAGTGAAAACATTAGAACTCCTCCTACTAGACAGACACACATACACAATTGTGAATACACATTACCAGCTGATGCCCACTTAGACATATTAGAATTTTTACAAACTTACATACATATAGAATTATCTATGGATTTAATTCATGTGATACATGACTGACCAATGAGAATTGAACCAAACAAAAGTGAAAATACCAAAGTTCCGTCTTTTTCTCTGTTCTTTCTCAATCTCTGGCTAAGCTTTAATAAAAGGTTGATAAACGTTTCCTGTTTATTCTTTATCTTATCATATTCATATATATATATATATATATATATATATATATATATATATAAAGAACAAATAGGAAATGTTTATCAATCTTTTATTAATATATAACATATATATATATTAATAGATCACAAAGGTGTGAGACCCAGGGTCACAAACTCACATCAATCCAACTATATATATATATATATATATATATATATATATATATATATATATATATATATATATATTCCTTAATAACTATAAAATTTGTAATTAAAATTAAATGATAGTGACTATTCTAAATCAGTCTTAAATCTAAATTTTGAACATTATTTTGTAGTTAAGTATTTTCTGATGGTATTTAAAAAAGTAAAATGCTAAAACAATATATAACATAAATGAATTACTATTATTATTATTATTATTATTATTATACACTCACTGTTTATTCAAGCTTTATTATGCTATCAATACAAGTCTACTTACGTGGAATTAGAGTTGATAGCCATTTGACTGGGGAGAACGTTGAAGTTGTATTTGTGTTCCAACATTACATGTGGAAGACTGTAATGATGTATAACTCCATTTTCTCTGGCCTAGGAAAACAAACAGCTATAAGTTAAAAAAAAAACTCATCTTTTCTATTCTACATATGAAAAGGAAGTTTTATCAAACATTAAAAAATACCAATGAAAATCTTTTAACAGGCTTTGTTAAGTTCAATTTATTGCATTGCTAGGCAGAAGGTTTCCTAGACTGAATATTCAAGAAATCTTGTTAGAAAAATATGCACCCTCTGGCGGGATTCAAACCTGCATCCCTGAAAGGAAACCATCTTTAGATCTGACATGCTTTGACCTCTGAGCCATGTAGGACCTCCTGATCAAACAAGGCCCCAATAGTGCTTTTGAACACACATCTTTCCCAATTCTCAAAATATACTTTGTTTCATATCCTGACGTAAACAAAGACAATTTTTTAGGAAATGGATTAAATCTTTCTAGTCCCTCTTGGAATTTTACCATTATCTATTTAACAAGCAGCTTTTGTCAGTATTTATTACATAAAATATATTTTTTAGGAAATGGATTAAATCTTTCTAGTCCCTCCTGGAATTTTACCATTATCTATTTAACAAGCAGCTTTTGTCAGTATTTATTACATAAAAAATATTTTTTAGGAAATAGATTAAATCCAACATATTTTTAATTTATTTGTTTAAACGTTATTTTTAATGGATACTCATATTTAAGTAGATGCTCTGTTTTTATTATTAAACAGCATATTTATTCATCTGCATCTACTGGCCTGAATATTTGAGAAATTTTGTTAGAAAAATATGCCTCTGTTTTCTAACAAGATTTCTTGAATATTCAGCTGGTAGATGTACATAAATAAATATACTGTTTAATAAAAACAGAGCATTTACTGAAATATGAATATCCATTAAAAATAACCTTTAAACAAATAAATTAAAAATATGTTGGATTTAATCCATTTCCTAAAAAATATATATATATACATTATTATTTATTATTAGCTATGATCACAGATGGAAAATGCAGCAATATGTTTTATATTAGCAAATAAATTTTAGTATGGTTATAAACTTAAAGGTTTTAGATGCATGCGAAAGTTTTCAGCACCCTGTTTTCTGTTCTTTTTTTAAACTAAAGACTTAATACACAGTAGAAAAGCAGGGATACTTTTAAAATAAATAAAAAAATGCTGGAAATTTTTACACACTCTCCAGCTATAATATTTTGGTATTACATAATAAAAGGAACTATTGTATGTAATAAATACTGACAAAAGCTGCTTGATAAATAAATAATGGTAAAATTCCAAGAGGAACTAGAAGGATATATATATATATATATTTACTTCTATATTAAAATAATTTCAAGTTAATGTTATTAATTAAATTATATAAAATAATATTTTACAAATTTGTTAATTTTTCACTCGATGAATCAAAAAATGTTAGGAAGCACCACGCCATCATAAGTTCCCAAATTAATAATGGAATCACGAATTGTCGAAGCGTTCTATTCCAGGGAGATAACTCTCATTATTTTTTAATAATTGTCTAACTTGAAATTTGAAACCTAATTTTCCCGTCATTATAATATGCATCAAATAGTCTAGTAGATCTTTACATCTGTGTACTGAATTCGATTGCACTAAGTATCCTACTTTTGTGATTTCACAGTAAAACCAAGCTAAATACGTAAAATATTCTAATATGGATGTTTGCCAGGCAAGATTTTCCTGTTTTCTAAATAATTATTACAAGAGCTATTCAACTTACAAACAGTTCAAATAGTACATAAGTACAGTGTAACCCGGATATAAAAGAGTTGTCGGGACCGGAGAAGAAGTCTCTTATATCCGGGTTTCTCTTATATCCGGGTTTGGTCTATTTTATATACATTAACACAGGCTCTAATTTGGGACCAGAGAAAATCTCTCTTATATCCGGGTTACACTGTATATAACAATAAAGATATTTTATATTATTATACTTTATTCCTGATTTTGCTTCTCTTGCTTGAAGGAAAATCCAAATAATTATATTTGTTCCCATAAAGGCTATTTAAATTCTTTCAGTTGATATAAAAAATTTCTATTATAAATAGTTATACATTTCTACATTGGTGTCTTCTCTCACTAATGAAGATTGCTGATTTATTTGTTTCTAACATATTCTTAAACCATACCACACCTTTACTCTTGCTGCTCAGTATAAACTATTTATGTTGCTACTGCTTGCCAAGTAGATAAGAAAGATTAAAGACTAATTTCCAACTATAACAACTATCACATAGTGTTATGAAGGTTAAGAGGTTGCATGTGTGTGTGTGTGTGTGTGTGTGTGTGTGTTCACATATGATAAACAAAAAGGAGGCATACAAAAACTTGAATTTTGTACATTTTCTTTTTATGGTGACTATAGTGAAACAATGTTCTCAATGTCTTTTCAGTGTGTCTGTTTTTTTTTTAGGTTCAGAAGCAAGTAAGGAAAACAATAGTAAGAATGGTTAACCTCGAGTCCGCTTTGTGCTGAATTGGAACAACCAATTCTCTTACTTCATGAGTATGGCTACAAGGTATGTTTAAATGATGTCATTGGAAAGTGGACAGAGAGTTCAGTCATCAGTGAACTGGAGAAACTAACATTCCCAATGGAAACATAAATATCATGTGGTGCTACATCTTGGAGCAAAGGAGAATAAAGCAGGAAATGTTTGCCTTTTTATAAACTTCAACAGCACCACTTAATGGCATTTTTTGAAGGCAAGTGAGGGTAATCATATTTCTGGTTCCTTTACTCTTAGCATCATGGGAAATTTTTTTTCTTTTCTCTTTTTTTTTATTATTCATTATTACCATTTTATTTATCAATTTTATTTTATTTCCCCACAGTATCTTTTGCATACAGCACTTGCTGAAGTTCCAATATAAAGACCACACATTGACAACCCATTATCCATTAGGCCCAGTTTATTGCCCATTTCCTATTTTGGAAGAGAAGCATGTTCATATGGACCAGGTTCTGGTTAATGGCGGTCAGCCAGCAATATCTCAGTTGGCCTGAAACATTCCATCCAATTTTTTTCAGTCCCTGTCTTTTACAGATTAGCAAGGATAATGGTGCTCAGCCAGCAATATCTTGGTTGGCCTGAAATATTCCATCCAATTTTTTTCAGTCCCTGTCTTTTAGCAAGGATCCTTCTTTATTAAATAAGGAGTCTTGTTGTTCATTTCAGTTATTGAAGAGTGATCAATACTGAAGTAAAAATATGCTTGCTATGTTAGCAGATAATATCATTCTTCACAAACGGAAAACATTTGACACCAAAGATCTGCATGTAAAATAGTATCTTATACTTGTAAAAAATGCTAACAAGACCCTAAAAAAAGTAGCAGATAGTTAAGCAAAAAAAAAGTTTCTTATTTGTTTTCCATCAGCACAGCTGATGCAAACCTCCAAGAGAGTGATTTGTTCCATTGACATGAAGTGGAAAGATTATATTGAATCAATTGCTAGGTCTGCTGTTAGGAAAGTTGGTTCATTGTGTATTTTTCTCACCAGAATCTATCTTACACATTTATAAGTCTACCATTTGTCCATGCATTGAATATTACTGTCACATCTGGTCTGTTGCTTCTGCTATGTACTTAGAGTCTTGATAAAATCCAAAGAAGAAGTGCTGACCTTGCATCTCAGCTTTAGTCACTTTCCTAATACTGTAACATAGCTTCCCTGTACCTTTTCTATGAATATTTTCATAAAAATTTTTGTAATTGTTCTAATGAGCTTTTCTCCTTGGTACATAGACTTTATGAATTTAAGCAGAGTACCAGATTGGCAGCTAGGTCTCATCATTATACAGTTGAAATAAATAGATGTTACAGGTAGGAATATTTATTGTGTAGCAGTTGAACTCTTGAACTAGTACGATGTTCCAGTTTGAATCTACAAACAGGTTTGTTTGCATCAGTGTAAGTTTGTTGATGTGATCATTTGTAAGCGACCACCTGTATTTCTTTTTCCCAAAAATGATGTCTCTAAATTTCTTTTTCAAATATTTGCCCAATACAAGCCCAAAGGGCCACTCAAGGTAGACAGTTACTGAATGATGCTGGTGTATGGACATAAGTGCAGATTATGAGGATATGTAGGATAGATAATGATTGACCCTAGACTTGAAGGAGTTAAGATTGTACTGACTGGAGAAGCAACCTCCCAGGAGTCTGTTCCACAAAGTAGAAGATTTAGGGAAGAAGTTGTCTAAGTGGAACTTCCTTCTTGCCAATGGAATATGAGGAAAATGAGGATGATCCAGTACTGTGTATGTGGAATGGCGAGTCTAAACTGGTGGAACTAGGGCATCTAGTTCATTTGAAGATTTTCCATGGAAATAGTGATAGAGTAGTGATAGGCTTGCAAAATTCTCTGTAGGAAAGGGGCTGTAGGCTTGAAAATAATTCATCACCCACAAGATGCTTTTGAACTCTGACAAGGCTAATACTGATTAAGACTCCTTTATCCGATATACTTGGGACCAGAAGTGTTTCAGTTTTTTTTTAGTTTTTTTATTTTGGAATACAGGCTATTTAATTTGTATATAGCATCTATAAAATGAAGCAGTTTGGGAATGGAACCCAAGCATAAACACAATATCTTTTACATTTCATAATACAGCTTATATATATACACTGTAGTTATATATAAGTGGCATATATTCACTCTGACACTGACAAATTTACTCCATCAATACACAATTGAGATCATCTTTTTTTGCTCTGTGTAGTCTTTCTATTTTTCATTAATTTCTGTTCATCATTTTCAGCATAAAGCTTCAAGAATTTCTCCTTCTGTTTCCTTAGTTTGTATATGGTGTTTGTTCCAACACCAAATTTCTCAGTCAGGCACTTCACACTTACATGTCTGTCTAATTTTTCCAACAGTTTGACTTTCTTTGGTATTGATAAACATAAATGCTTTCTTTTTTTGTTTTCACTACCCATATGCATATCTTCAGAACCTTTTGACATTTTGAATAATATCTTTATTGAGCACAAAACACCTAGTAACTTCCACTCAAGATAGATAAGGTCACTTACAACAGCTGCACATCCCCTAGTAACCTTCCCAGTGCTTTCTGAAATTTTTCATTGGTGGCAAGTCACATCAGCACCTGAAAAACTTTCAGATTTTGGAGGTTTTCAGATTTTGGAATTTCAGATAAAGGTTACTCAATCTGTATACACAATGTGAAGTAATGTTACTGATAGTTTTACTTTAACCACCCATTCAGTAACACAAAATTTCTTGTTTCATTATATATCAAAGAAGAGCATTATATTTACAACTGAAAATCTATTTGATTTCAAATAAAATGTTTCCCTCACAATGTCTGGTTAAGAAGGGTACTAATCTGGAAATGTGAATACAGCTTCAAGTTTTATAATAGATGTTATATTAATGAATGTCACCTTTCAATTAAGGTAGAGGTGTTGCTAATAATTTCCCTTTATTTTTTTTATACCAAATGTTTCCTTACAAAGGAAGCCTTTACTGTCTAATATGTTATTGCCTGAGCAATGATAGCAGTTATAAAGGCAAAAGGTATTTCAAGAAACATTGATTACACACCAATGCCTTCTTAAATCATTTAATTAAAGTTTAAAATAATACAATGTTACTTTTAACTGAATCAGCAGTATACTTACAATCAAAATGATTTTATCTGATGCACAAATGGCACAAATTGGATTAGTGGTTGTCTGAAATTAGAATTTGTAAATTATAAAAAAGAATGTTTTTAAAGGTGGTTTTTTTAAATCAATTTTTAAATTTTAGCATTATGACATTCATGCATTAAGATAGAGTAACACATAATGCAACATGCAAGCAAATCTGGGCAGAATAAACCAATTAATTGTTAAATACATTCAAAATCCCAATAAAAACAACCAGCATCTACAATCAAAGTTTTGTTTGAAAGCTTTTAATGCGTTTGTTTTTTTTTTTATAATGGCTAAATGAATAGCAAAACGCCCTCAATCAAAAACATTTTGGACAGTTTTTGAATACACTGGCCTCTGATCTATGTTTACTTTATACAGAATCATAATTCGCAAATACGCTTTTAAGTAGGCGCCCAAGGGGGTCGTCAGTGATGTTTTTGACTTGGTTCATCAGGGAGTTTCGGGTCTTTCAACATCATACTCCTCATCACCAAGTCAACCCAATCAGAGAAGATCAACCCCTGATTTCCCCTTCTAATTAAACGCTAACAGCCACTCTGGCTTTTTTAAAGAATAAGAGGAAGAAAGACCACATATTCCGCACATCCGATTGGATGTTTGTAACAACCAATCCGGTGCATGAAATATCTTTTAAATGGCCCGCGGTGGGGACTGGCTTCTTTTCTTATTTATAAAAGGTTATGTGAAAAATAAAAAAATAAAAAAATTCTTTGTTTGTAGCCTTTGATCTAATATAGGAATAAAAACGTGTTTTTAAGTATTAAATTTTTATATAATATTTGATAACATTATATATACATTTTATATAACATTTGATTTTTTTCTGGTCTTACTTATTAAACCTTTAATCAGAGTTTAAACTCTAATAGTCATGAAGATAAATGTATGTATGTAATTAGTATTATGATGTGCATATAACATAGCGGTTATCAGCGCATGGAAGTGGGATTGGCATGTCAAATTCAAATTTCAGCCAATGCCATTGTATTTGCTTTCACACAAATACCTTTTGGAAAGGTATGAATCTATCTCTTCTCAGGTGTTAATGGTAGGGGAGACTAGGCTCCCTAGCTTTGTTTGGAAAACCAGTCTATGAGAAAGACAACTCTGAATTCAAAGCCATTTGTATATGGGCTCAACAACTCCATTCTATAAAAACATCCTACTTGCTATAGAAATCACAGTGGCAACACCTGGAATAGTGAGACTGTGGTCCTATACTCAACAGGGAGTCTACAAGGTTAAAAACAACTTGTATTAGAAAAAGGTTTCCATTTAAATGTTAGAGTCTAAAGAGGATTTTGAGCTACAATATGAGATTAATCAATACAAATAGATTTCCTACTCTCACTATGTTTTGTTTATTTCTATTTGGTTCCATCTTGTGTTATTGAAGACAGAACTCACAAAATTATCCATAACAAGCTTGATCCCAAAAGCAATTTAACCTTGCCAAGGTAGTTTTGGATGTGTGCATAGCAATGCAGATATCAGCATAGTAATGTGGGATTGGTGTGTAGAGTTCAAATTCCAGTTGATGCCTTTGCATTCACTTTCACACAGATACTCTTGGAATTGGAAAGGTGTAAATCTATATCTTCTTCACTCTAGGAGTTAATAGCAGCGCAGGCTGGGCTCTCCAGCTTTGGTTGGAAAACCATCTAGAAGAAGGACAACTCTGAATTCAAAGCCAGTTGTGTATGGAGTTAGCAACTGCACCCCATAAAAAATCCTACTTGCTATGGAAATTACAATGGTAACAACTGGCATAGTGAGGGTGTGGTCTTATACTCAACAGGGAGTCTACAAGGTTAAAAACAACTAGTATTAGAAAAAGTTTCCACTTAAATGTTACAAAAAATACAATAATGTTTCCAGCAAAATACAGTAACAATAACAACAAAATACATAAGCAAAATACAGTAACAACAACAACAACAACAAAATACATAAGCAAAATACAGTAACAACAACAACAAAATACATAAGCAAAATACAGTAACAACAACAACAACAACAAAATACATAAGCAAAATACAGTAACAACAACAACAAAATACATAAGCAAAATACAGTAACAACAACAACAACAAAATAATAAAGTTGCTTCCATATGCCTTTTCTATAAAATGGCTTTTCTGCAAATATACTTTCATGGCAATTGTTCAGATGAGCTCTTCAGTATGGTACCTAGACTTTATAAATTTAAGTGCAGTACTAGACTGACAACAAGGTCTCATCAATTTACTGTTGAATTGGCTAAATGTAACTGTAAATTCTATGCTAACAGTTTCTTTTCTCACACTTCTCACTTGTGGAACAATATTCCAGCTCCATACTTTCTTGATCTTCAAAAATTTAAATGCAACCTCAATCATTATCTAATGTCTTCCTGATTACTCTTCTATTGTTCCCACTCCTTAGTAATGTTTCTGTTTTTTAATTCTTTCACACCCAGTATCCCCTTATGTCTTAGTGGCTTTACTGACTTCTTGGAGTAAATTTGATTAAATAAAAAAATATATAAAAAACAAGTTAAATACGTGTGAATAATTAATGCAAACTGAACATTTTTAATGGGTTGATTTTAAAATACAGCTCAAAATATACAAAAGTAAACATGGTAAACAAATATACAAAAAACAGACAAACAAATATACAAAAGTAAACAAGGCAAACAATTATACAAAAGCAGACAAGGTAAACAATTATACAAAGTGTAGACAAAAATAAACAATTGTACAATAGTAAACAAATATACAAAAGCAGACATGGTAAACAATTATACAAAAGCAAAGTAAACAATTATACAAACCAAACAGGGTAAACAAATATACAAAAGTGAAGAATTATGCAAAAGCAAACAAGGCAAACAATTATACAAAAGCAGACAAAATATACAAATATACCTAAGTAAACAAGGTAAACAATTATACAAAATCAGACAATGTAAACAATTGTATGAAAGCAGACAAGGCAAACAATTATATGAAAGCAAACAAAATAAACAATTATACAAAAGCAGACAAGGTAAACAATTGTACAAAAGTAGGAAAAGTAAATATTAAAAAAGTAAACAAGGTAAACAAATATACAAAAGCAGACAATGTAAACAATTATACAAAAGTAGAGATGGTAAATAAATAAGCAAAAACAAACAAGGCAAACAAATATATAAAAGCAAACAAGATAAATATGAGTGAAAATTTGGCATCACAAAAACAGCTGGGAAGCCAACCTTTGATTAATTGATGTAACAACTGGTCTGCTACATATAAGAAATCTAAGCTGCACTTAGAATATACCAACTGCATTCCCTAAAAATGAGTAAAATTTCCCCTGCTAGAGGGGCGACCTACCAGGGGGATACTTACAGATTTGGGTATAAATCCAACCATTGTCTGCTTCTTTTTACTCTAGTACAAACCAGACCTGTCTCTACCCTTTTTGAAAATTCACTGTGATTTTTGTCCTGTCAACATTAAATAACCCAAAAAGGGTTAAAATGTCATTAAACCCACAAATCTAACTTAACTTTTTCTTATGATAACCATAATTTTCAGCATTCCTAAAAATATGCGCAAACTTTACACACTACCATCTTACTTATTATAAAATGCAGGTTGTGTGTGTGTGTGTGTGTGTGTCTGTAACGTTTATATATTGGATCGAATTTCCTACATTTTTTAGCCGATTTCAACAAAACTTCAAAGGACTACATAAAATTACCTTGTGGTGGTTCTAACGGCGCCGAAAATGGGAAAAACACAATTGTTTTTTAACAAAATCAATTTGAAAACACGATTAAGACACATCGTGAGAATGAAAAAGGGACAACTCACCCACGAAAAGGTAAACAAAAGAGCATAGCATGATGAAAAAAAAGCCGAACTTGACGAAAACAAAATTTTATCGTCTAATGTTCATATTATTATTAAAGAGGAAAGATCAAAGTATTTTGGGGGTATTTTTTTTACATTTTTTAATCGTTCCTAGCACATCTGAAATTTTCGTTAAAAATATTGTTTTTTTTTTGGTCAAAAAAAACGACAGATAATCAATCATTTTCAATCATTTTTTTCGATTTGATAAAAAAGATTAAAATCTGACTTTGATATTCTTTTAAAAATCAATTATCATTTTTTTCAAAACTGATCTTAATAAAAACAGAAATTATACTGTTTAATTAAAATATTTTGAACCAAGCTTAACTTAGCTTCTGCGCCGAAAAAATGTAATTTGAAAATAAAACAAAGCAGGTCATAACCTTTCGCGTTGCTTGACGATTGACGAAAGGCACATTCATGACGTTTAGATAACTTACAGGAGGATAATTCTTTCTATGGATGGAAGGAAGTGAAATTATTTAAGTGAACAAATTATTTACCTCGTTACTTTTAAGGAAAACTTTCAGCGCTCTAATTTTTTATTTTTATTTTTATTTTTGTACTTAGCTTTCATTTTTACGTTTACGATGCTTTATGGAAAATATAAAGAAATTAAAAAATAAGACCGTTAATAGTGAGATTAAATTTCATAAGAAAAAGGTATCTAATTAATTTAGGTACCTTTCTTATGAAATTTTATCAGAAGTGTACATAAAATACTATAATTTTATGTACATTTATTACATTTTACTGTGTTATTTGTATTTCCATTCATTTTATTATTAATTTTGATATTTCATTTATGGAAAAAAATGTCATAACTGAGATTAATATAAAAATAAGATCATATAAATTAAAGTTTAGCAGTAGTTAAATTTCATAAGATGATACTGTTACTTGTAGGTACCCTTCTCAGTTGAAATTGAAAACTCAAATTAACTTCTCCATACGTGTTTTCAAGAAAAGTAAAGGGCTTAACAGCTGAGAACAATGCTGAACTCAAATAATGCAACTAAATTGTATTCTGGTTGGTCTTCCATACTTGATAATTACTGTCCAACTATAAACACAAAAATTACATTTCTTAATTACCATGGCTAATCTGATTGATCCAAATTATACAATTTTCAAAGCACTAGACAATGACAATCTCACACGGACATTTTGAAAGGTTGATGTTGCTTTTTAACTAATGTTAAAATATTTTTTAAAATTCAATTTAAAAATTTTTAAAAAAATTTTTAAAATTAAAGAAATAAGAAATAATTGTATTAAAAATTCAATTTTCATTGAAAAAATTTTTTGCTTTCAGAAAATATTGTCCATATTCATAAAAACAAATTAAAACAAATAAAAGCATTTGAAAATAAATAATATATTTGTTTTATTGAGTTTTGTATGTTACAATTCACAGCTGATTTTCAGGTACGTTGGCCAAATAAAAAAAAAAAAAACATGAATTGCATTCTTCAAAGCCTTGTGCTTTTAACTATTGTAATCACTAAAACCGATGGTCTCGAATTTCTAGAGTTTTTCATAAAATTAGTTATGGGGGTGATAATAAATATAAAAAAAAATATTTCTGCCATGACTTTAATAAAAAAAAACATATTTATAATAATTTCGATCATCTGTGAATAGTTTCTGAAAGTTTCATTAACATCTGACAATTATTTTTATTTTTGAAGGTTTTCCAAATTAATGTGTGTAAATACAAAAAAAACGCGCTAAAAATTATCTATGTTATTTACTACCCCTTGTTGCGACAAAGAGAAACAAGGTTTTTTAAATCAAAATTTAGAATATTCTAAAAAGATGGAAAAATTTTTTAAAATAATTAAAAAAAAAATTTAGTCTATCCTCTTCATAAAAACATAAGCATTTTGACGATAAAATTTTGTTTTCATAAACTTTGGCATCTTTTTCATCAGACTATGCTCTATGTTTTAGCGATTCCATGGAGTGACTTAGGTTAAAAAACCCAGGTTGTTTGTGTGTGTGTGTGTGTGTGTGTGTGTTCCTTTATATATGGGATCAGATTTCTTACATTTTTCAGCCGATAAAACAAACATCCACTTTTTTTTTGGCAGGTAGTGTTTCTTATTGTCTTGCACACTTTTTCTTTTATTTATACATTCAGAATACTTTAAAATTCCATTTACAAGACAATTGTTTATAATAAAATTCTAATTCTATTCAATCGGGGGACTCATCATAACGATTCAAAACAATGTTTTTGTTTGAGTTTGGGTTTGACCAATTCGTAAAAAAAAAAAAACTAAGACATGCGTGTCCATCAACCTAAACAATAATCTGTGTGAAAGTGAATGCAAAGGCATCAACTGGAATTTACAAGACAATTGTTTATAATAAAATTCTATTCACCAATCGATAGACTCATAACGATTGTAAACAATGTTTTTGTTTGAATTTGGGTTTGACCAATTCGTAAAAAAAAAAAAAATAATTAAGACATGCGTGTCCGTCAACCTTAAACAATAATCTTTGTCAATTTTATTTTTCAGTCTTTATGATGGTCGATACTTGATCTATCTCTTACTGTTACATCCCCGGGCAACGCCGGGCTCTACTGCTAGTCTGCTATAAGCATAAACAATGGCAATTATAATGAATGTAACTTCTCTGGAACATCTTTAAATTTAATTTTCACTTTTAATTTTAAAGTTATATTTTTCTGAAATTTAAATTGAAAACTCATTGAAAATTCATTAAAATGCATTTATTAAATAATTTTATCAACTACTGCAGTGAAAATAACAATGCCTCCAACAAAACTTTTATCAGATGATGACCCTATGGATTGATTCATTCATTCATTTTCTACAGCTTATCAACCCTTTGCAAGTTATTTAAAGCCAAAAAATATTTTTAGATTCTAAAAATGTTTTCAGAAAGTGAGATATTAATGGTTTAGTGATAGAAGTCTTACTAGTCAACCCATATCTTCAGGGAGAAGAGGTTAATTCATGCCTCTCCCAAGGGTATTTGCACGTAAGTGAATATAACGAACCCAATGGAAATTGGAAACTCAGCTCTACAATTAACAATTCCAAGCCATTATCCATTACACATCCAAGCTTATAGCACCTGGTATTCCCAAGCAGTCACCCATTTAGGTATTAACCAGATTCAACATTGCTTAACTTCCTTGATCATACAGGAACTGGTGTTTCAACATGATGTGGCCATAAGAGATGGTTTGGGAACTAAAACATCATTCCTATTAACCCAAAATACACTATCAATACCTAACCAGGTTTTATTGATTTTCTGTGAGAATGCAAATGTATCTTCTATTCAATTTTGGAGTCTCTTTATCTATTTTCTTCTTTCCTAATCTACATATTTCAATTATTTACACTATTTACATTCAAACTATTGTCCACATCTTGGTATTGTTATCACAATGTTTCAGCCATTGTCCCCACCACCCTTCATCAGGTCTATATCAATCTAGGTAACTTACAGAGAATTCCAAACTTTTTCCATTATTTAATCTATGGAGGTAGACTGTTCTTGTTCCACTGCCCATGTCTAGGGATATCTCATCTAGTTCTTGCTTTTAGTATTGATCAGTTATTGCTCACCCCATTTCCACTGAGTCCAAGTACACACTGCCCAGCCCAGAGATTGAACTCACAATTACTATGCCACCAAATTCCCAAACCAATGCTTTAATCCACTAGGCTATTTTCTTGTACTGAACTTTGAAAAATTCTATTTAAACACTTACTTCTATAAGTTAGAGATATATTGTAACTATTTTCATGCATGTATTTTCATAATTCTAAAAGCTCAAAAAAACATCATGAAGACATAACATATATGCATATATTTTGTGAGTTAAAATTTGACATAACTTACAACATTAGCCAAGTTGAAATCAATATTTTCATTTTGTGTAGATGGGCCAGGGACTTTATCAATGTGAAATAACCTGAAAAAAATTATAAGTAAAGTGTACAGAAAACTGAACTGAAAATATGTACCATACAATACAATAAAAAAATCTATGATACCAGTAATATGTGAACCATACAAAATGATGCTGGAATGATGAGCCTTATATGTGTGTTTTTTAATATAAAAATATAATTTCCATTAACAAACACATAAATAAAATGCAAAGAATATATATATTATCTTGATCTTGATTAACTAAACATTTTGAGTGAACATAAACTTGGGAAATATGGAGAATATATTTAGATTTAGATAATATTATTGGGAGAATATAAATTCTATATATCAGACTGATGGTGGGTAATTGAATGAAAAAATGAAATATCTATGTAACATGTTTTGGCCTTTCATCCTTCAAAAGAACTTAATCAAGCTAAAATAATGTTCTTATTAATGGAATTGTATTCTTTATCCAACATTATTTCTTATTACTAAAAATGTTATTTTTAGTAGATACACATGTTTAAGCTGTTAGCCCTGTTTTTTTTAAACAGTGAAATTAATAACAATCAGCCTAAATATTCCTATTAAAGAAAAAAATCTGTCTCCGACATGAATTGTACCTGCATCCCTCAAGGAAAATACTTCTTAAGCTGAAGTGAGCCTCTACAAGTTCAGTCACAGAGCCAGATAGACAGAACAAAATAATGTCCTTATTGATGGAATTATATATAATTTCATCAATAAAAATATGTTGGGGGAATGTACAAAAATATAAGAGGATATATGAACATGAAAGGGACCTTTTGCAAAACAATACACTCACTGCATTAAGAAGTTATCATAATGACTCTGACCATAATTTTGACTTAAATTAAGAGAGGAAGTAATTTACTAGAGCAAAAATGTATAGAAAGTGCACTAATTTCTTAGTCTTGCATGCTAAATTTGCATACAGGTTCATACATTTCACCTTTCTTAACAAATCTACTGCTATCACAATGTGGGATATTTAAAACCAACAATAATAATAAAAATAAAGGGATTGAGAAGCTGAATGTAATCAGCTAGGCTGTATATCTAGACACATCAGATATCAGAATTTCAAAATTTAAAGTTTAGTGTTCCTACTTCTTCAGAATGTTCTTACTAATGAAATTATGAAGGGCAAAATGTGTTTGGCCCTGTGATAATAAAGACACTATCCCATCCTACTCATTTCAATACTAACCACCCAGTATAAAAGTCCATTTAATTACTAATGATTCCGTTTGCTGAATAAATTGTAATGCATAAACAATGGCAGATATTTGCTGAATAAATCTTAAGTTTATATTCAGCATTGATTATTCATTACAGACCCAAAACAATTGGGCACACTACCAACAAAAATTCTATGGAAACTGAGCAGATATTTCTTTTGATTAAAGATTTGCAAAAGAGTTACAAAAGCTTTGGAGCAATGAAAAAAAAGAGAATATCTTACTTTTCGCGCCGGGATCTTCGACTTGATAAATGTACCGAAGTAATTTTCTTTGGATTCTGGAACTGCCACATATAAAAAACTTCCCTTGATGCAACAATCACATATGACTTGGTCATCTCTAAAAACATTGGCTCCATGTCAATATCTTTCTGTTCCAATGGAGTTCCAATAGAATTGCACAAAACTAGTATATACTGCAAGAGAATTATAAAAATCAAGTGAACTTCAAAAAAAAGATTCTTAATTTTATTTTAGACTGATATAGTCATTCTTTATATTTTCTCACAAAACAATGTTTTTTGTAAATGTTTTTATCATAATACAAGTTTTTACCGGTTTTTCTCACAATGTTTACTTGTTTTTCTCATAATACAATGTTTTTCTTGTACTTGTTTTTCTCATAATACAGTATTTTTCTACTTATTTTTCTTATAATACAATGTTTTACTTGTACTTGTTTTTCTCATAATGTTTTACTTACAATACAATCCTTTTCTCATAATACAATGGTTTTCTTGTACTATCCAAAAACTACTTTTGCAAAAATTAAAAATATTATTTAGACAAATCTGTGCAAATAGACTTCATGCAACTAATTCTGAAGATTGAACTTCAGTTGCCTCCTCCAATACTCTACCACTGAAAATAAGCCAAGAAGGAATAAATACATACAAAGAAAAAGAAAGAAATGAATAGAACAATCCTACCTGACCAGCTGTCTCTTCATTTTTGGTAATTAAACAACAATACTCTCCATGACTGATCAGATTGGTCAAACTTTTCATGTATTTTATGAATTTCTGAGGTAAAAATAAAGGAAGATATATTAGACACATGTGGAGATATGCTAAATTATGCATTTGAAAGATAAACTTAGATGAAATACACTTAAATTATGAAAACTGAAGCCTTCATGGACCCTGTTTACAGTAATTTATGCCAGAATCTATCTTATATATTTATAAATCTACCATTCATCCTTGCTTTGAATATTGCTGCCAAATCTGGTCTGGTACTCCTGTTATATATTTAGAGATTCTTGATAAAATCCAGAGAAGAGCATGCAATGTTATTGGTCCTGACCGGTCTTGGCTTTGTCCCTTTCACACTGCCATAACATAGCTTCTCTGTGCATTTTCTATAAATACTTTTGTGGTAATTATTCTGATGAACTTTCCTGTATGGTACCTCGGGTTTTTGAATTTAAATGCAGTGCTAGATTGGCAACAATGTTGTCCCATCATTTTGCAGTTGAAATAGCTAGATGTAGCTGTAAGTTCTATGCTAACAGTTTCTTCTATTGCACTTCTTACTTGTAGAACTCTTTTCCAGCTTATTGCTTTCCAGTCAACTTTGATCTTTAAAAATTTAAATTCAATGTCAATCATTATATTGCGGGTAGCTTCTTTGAAGAATCTTCAAGTACTGTGATTTGTACTTTCACGGACAGCACAAGGTTTATTGTCAGAGTCTTTCTTCAGCGACAACTGGTTTTAACTTCAAGTATTTTTGTCTGTACTTTCACGGACGACACAAGGTTATTCATCAGAGTCTTTCTTCTTCAGCAGATAATTATTATTATTTTTATCATTAAGTTGGCAAGCAGCATTATATCAGAAATCTCTTTCTCCCAGTCGCAACCTCACTGTGACTGCAATGGCAACTGCAACTGGCTGGCCCCAACTAACTTTGGCCCACGTGGGCACTTGTATTTATAGGTGTCCCTTTCAACTGGTGTGGTGTGGGCAAATAGGTGGGTTTTATGCAAATCTCCCAAAATTCAACCAGTTGTTTTCTTTCGTTTTCTATTTCACATTTCCAATTTTGGAAGATCCCCTCCTCCTTTGGAAGGAGCCATCATATGATGTCAACATTTCTGACATCATCTCCTGCTTTTATTTTGTTTACAATTATAATTTTTTTTCTCAGGGAAATTTTCTTTCTCAGGGGAATTTTGGCCGACAACTTCTCAGCACGTAGTCAATCCGGACATCTTTCAACAGCTGACCTTAACCTCTGGCCCCCAACCTGCCAGCTGTGTTTAGCAAAGTCGCGTTGTGTAACTTTTTTCAACAAAATTCATACATCTATTCCCATATTCTGGGAAAATAATTCTCTTTCTGACAAAAATTTAAAATCGTTTTGTTTTAACCCTTTTCATCCGTACACCATAGTAAAAATATTGTTACAATAGAACTGTCCAACAAATAGAATTGACAAAGCAATAACAAGAAAAATAAAAGAAAAGAACAGGGAAAAAAATAATAGAAAGCAAGCAAACAAGGTAAATTAAACATAATCAGGCAAAGTAACAATAACATGGCAAAAAGTTTACAAACTAAGAATTGAGGTTGACACACAAAAGCAAGTTTGAACAAACAAACATAGCATTCTGACTTCAATACAAGACAGATCAGGACTGAGTCAGATGAAACTGAGAACTGGCTTATTTTATTGGCGAGGAAAAAATCCCAACATGCATTTGCATGTTTCTGTGTATAAATTGGGGAGGCAGGGGGTTCAGTCATTCTCATACAAGATTGGAACCAACACATTTGCCACACAAATTTGTGTCTAAGGACATCTGAGATCAAATTAAGGAAGAAGGTAAGAAACACTGAAGGATTTTATTTATTGTTCAGGACAAAGACAAGATGATTTCAAGTTAAATTTTAGAGAAGCTCTGAAAAAATACAAAGATTTAACTGTGAATAAATGCATTCACTGTGAAAATAAAAAAGGATGGCATTATGAGTCATAAGCATAGAGGTATTGAAGAGCTGTTCAGGATTGTTATTGTAAAGATTGTTGAGAATAGCAATTTGTATATGAAAGTAGCTAAAAAAAAATGAACAAACCAAACAGAAAGTAAGCATTATTCTGAAGAAGTCAAATCATTCTATCAGCAAGTCAAGAAGCAGCATAAAGACACTTTCTAAGCCTTTAGTATCAGCTAAGTATTGAACATTCTGTAACTCAAAATATAATATGCAAAGTGTGAAAAATAACTTATAACTTTCATTACCTCAAAAAAAAAAAGAAGCTAGTATCTATTCATCACTATCAAATAAACACTAACTTTTTTCCAGTCATGATAAATGGTTGCACTTTCAATAAGGCTCCATGCTTTGAATGTCTATTCAGCCTCAAGTTTTTTTTGTCAACTTTGTAAGACTTGTGGTAATGGACATTTTTAGTGTAACAGTTTCCAGTGAAAAACATTAATTTGGAAATTCTTGCAAAAATCAAATAATTGTCTGATTTTAATGAAACTTTCAGGACTTCTTCAAAAATGAATGAATTTATTTTTGAAATTTTTATTTTTAGAAAATCTTGATAAAAATATTTTTTTTACATCTGTTACCCTCGCCCCCACATAGCTTAATCTCATAAAATTTTCTAGAATTTCAAAGAGTATGAAAATTGTTTTATATTACCTATACGCAGAACTCCTTGGAGAAAGTAAATCATCAATTTTTTTTTCACAACTACTCTCAAATTTTTAAAAATTTGCTCCAAATTGTAAAATAAAAACTGCAATAAAACTATCTAATTTGCTTTTATAAATAATATACATTAAGGACATTATTGTCTGAAGAAAAAAATTTTTTCAATGAATAATGAATTTTTACAAGAATTGTTTGCATTTTTCTTTAATTTTTTTCAAGAATTGTTTTCACTTTTCTTTAAGATTAAAAACGTTTTAAAATTCTTCCAAACAGAGTAAGGGTAGGTTATTAACTTATTAATTGAAGACTATATTTACTAAGTGAAAATTAAAATCTTAGTACAAATCATACACCCAAAACTTTTTACTATAATTAAAGATATTTTTTTTTGCGCACATCAAAATATATTTTTTTTGCGCACATCAAAATATATTTTTTTTGTATGGTGTATCATAAGTGATATTGTGGTTAAAAGGTCACGTGTTTCAAGGCTTGTCCACCTTAGAGAAAACTCCTTGACATAAAGGGTTTTGCCTGCAGGCAATATTTTCATTTTGCTTCTGTGTTTCATCATTTCTACATTTCAACAGGCTTCTTTTTAAATCTTCAAGCGATGATTTCTAAAGATTTTTTTCCTATTTCCCTAAATATTTTAAATTTTGTTTTGTATTCATCTTATTTTATATAGTGTGTATACTTTTCATAGGGTGTGTCATGCATAATTTGTTTTATTCATTAGTTTTTTAGTTAGTTACGAAAAATAATTTAATTTGTTTTTAGTTTTTTTAAGTTTCTTTTCTTTTTTGCAACATAAATGAAATAACTTTAACAATTCATAACGATCAAAGTATAGTAATTAATAATAAAGAATAAAATATATTATCTCAGTTAAAAATTTAATGAGTGAGAGTGAGTTAATAATTTCATTTTAAATTTAATAACTGAAATAATATAATTAAAATTATTATATTATCTTGGTTATCAATTTAAAAATTGAATAATTGAGAGTGAAATAGTTATTAAATTATTCCACTCTCAGTTATTAAATTAAAAATTAAATTGAGATAATAAAATTATATCATTTATCAATTTAAATAATTAATAAGTGAGTGAGATAATTTAATTATTAATATAATAAAAATTTTATTAATTATTATCTCAGTTATTAAATTAAAATGTAATAGCTTAATGCAATATTAATAATTAATAAAATTATTTATCATTATCTTAGCTATTAAATAATGAAATACCATTTTATGGTATTTTAAATTACTATAAGAAACAAACAAAAAAAACATTCTTACTTAGAATTTGTAAATTTATGTCAATTCTGGTGCATCAGCCTAAACCTGTCAACAGATTCAGCTATCAAATTATGAGAGACATGAAAATAACAAGTCCCCAAGGTCGAGAAATGTTTGCCTCAAAAATTTTATGCTATAAGTGATATTTGTTTCATAACAGATTAATTTAACTTTAAATTTGCTAATTTTATGACAGTAATGTTTCAAAAATGTATATTTTATTTTAGCAGGATTTTCAAAACCGAAAAATAAGTTTTGTTTACATTTCTCTAAAAACATTCAAAATGGCTGTTTTGAATGTTTTTTCCAGAAGAATCGGCTAAAAATCAATCAAATTTCTATTTGAAATACTCCACAGTATTTGTTTTACTTTCTGGAATTAGAAAATTTAATCCTTTAGCTTTCAATTAAAGCTGGGGGAAAGCTTTAAAAAAGTTTTTTCCTTTATGAAAAATACATTTAAACCTTAGGCATACGAATTGAGAGAGAGAGAGAGAGAGAGAGAGAGAGAGAAAAAAAATTATAAATGTATTCTTACCTCATCTTTAGTTGTTTCCCAGAATACCACAGAAGTTTCTGATCGATCAGGTTTTGTGAAACTGTACACAACACTAGTACTGCAATAGCCCCACTGGAATAAGCAATGTTTACAACTATGGAGATCTCAGATTTTACAAATAGATGAATAAATTAACAAGAATGTAAAAAGAGGACATAAAAAAATTTACACAGTGATTTTTGATTATCTTAAATTTAATCAAGTAGTAAGAAGTTAACAGGGTTATTAGTTGAGGATCCAAGTACAATAATTGTAATAGTTTGTATAAAGTCCACATTAGATATACACAAGATTAAGACATAATAACGGAGGTGTAAATATACACTGTATATTTTCAATTGTTTCTTTCACAGATGATCCATACATTATTCTCACATAAAACTACATAGATAAATCAATAAGGACTATGTATTTTTCAACATAATCTCTTTCTTTGTCAATGCACTCAATCCAATATATATCTATTAAACATAAATCAAATATTATACAGTGAAAATTTCAAATCAAAATTCAGCTAATAACTGTGTCAGGCTATGAATTTATTGATTCAACTAATACTTTTTAACTTATTGAATTTAATGAGGAATATATCTTGAATACAAAAGGGTGGAAAAAAACTCAGTAAAAAGAGATATTATTACAGAGAGCCAATGAATTTTGAATTGGCCAATGGCTGTTCATTTAATAGGTACAATAAAAACCATCTAAATGTGTTCAGAGAAAAAAATTGGTCTTTTTACCAAAACTAGTATCAGCAGTAAATAAAATTTTATCACTATCTTGGATAACTAATGCAACTGTTGTGGAGGAGTATGTTATTAGGAATATATATATATATATATATATATATATATATATATATATAAGGTATTATTTGTGTTGGCTGCATGAATAGAGACTTATCCACAAACATTTAACTTTGGTATGGCACAAGGTCATCAATGATAAAATATAAAACAAACAATATTCCTTTTTTAGAAAAACAAGAATAAAGCATTTATATAACAAATATATACAACATGAGACTGAGAATGTTCTTTAGGTCAAATAGAAGACTTGTTCAGTGTTCCTGTCAGTAAAAGGATTTTCAATGAATTAATCAGTTCAGATTAATTAATATTTTACATCGTAAATTTCTGTTAAGGTTTGTTATTGAAGATTAAGGTGAGAGTTGTCTCCCTTTACCTGTTGAATATATATATATATTTTTTTTTGTTAATGAAACAAAAAGATTGGAAGTTCAAATATTACATAAATTAAGTTGATTCAACAATTGAGTAAAGTCCTTTGAAGAAAGTAAGTTGTGTTCTTCTAGGAAAGTTTGTTGTAATCGAAATTGGTGAATGAAATGTTGGTTGATATCAAAAGTTGAATTTATGGTTAAAAGATAAACTTTTAAGCTTATAACTTTTGAGTAAACTGTGTATTAAATATTAAGAATCTTTTGGCTGTAAGATAGTTGACTCGAAGTAAGTTTGTGTTAGGTTATGTTCAAAGTTGTTTTTCGAATAAAATGTTTGTTTAGCTAACTGTATGTTCTTTGAGTAAAGTTCTTGTTGACTCGATAAAATCATAGACGTTAAATTTGAAATGTAGTTTGTTGGTGAGTGAGTGAATTCGAAGTTTGGGATTATATTAGGAAATCTAACTTAGAAACTTCAAAGATTTGAATGGCGTGAATTTGTTTAGCTGATTAGCGTCCCATTCTCGTAGTTATTTACTTTCAAGTCACGTGGTAGGCTCCAGGAGTGGTTTTGTTTTTTTTGGCGGTAAATTAATTTTAACCGTGTGGACATAAATGAAAGCATGATATCAGTATTAATTGGCCAATCAGGAGTTTGAGAAATATCAAGGCTCTGTGACCCACATTTTTATAGATTTTGTCAATTGCAGTACTGTTATGTAAGAAATGTATTGGAATCTTTTTTAACTAATGAAATTAGATCACAAATAAAATATTTTAAATTGAACTAGAACACTAAACAACCATCTGAACATGATTTTTATAGAAAAATATATCTCACAATAAAATCACAAATCAACATAAGCTATATTACAAATGAAGAGATAATTCTTTGTTCATCTGATCTGCAAGGTGACTTTGGATGCATGTATATAATGTATATGCATACGTCTGTGGTGTGTGTGTTTGTGAATGACTTAATATATACACAAGCACACACACACACGATTTAAGTCAGTTTGAAATAAGACATTGAAATAATATATTTCCCTTGAACTCAGTTCAGCCTAGAAAACTCTTACTCTGAGCTGAGCAATGAAAACATTAATTTTAGAAACAAAAAAAGTAATTAGTTTTTTAAACCCTAAAAAATCTGATGATTATAAAATTCAATTGAACTTTTTGAAAATTATACAGTAGTAGATTTAGATTTTTTTAAATATTTTTAGGTCTGTCATTAAAATATACATGCAAACACACAAACATATATATACACACACAATTAGAATAAAACTGAAATGGACATATGTGTTGCGGGAGAGCTAATTTCTTTTTCAGTGTGGCAACAACCATTGGTTAATAGGAAAAAAGCTGAAATGTGCAACCCTTGGATCCATCATACCTCTTACATTTTCTACAAAAACCAAATATTGAGTGCTCAACAGACCAAAGCAGACTGTGTAAATACATTTTCTGTATATTGGCTCCACACATAATCCGCTTTAACCAAAACAAAATTAATAATATCTTATGACCAGTCAGAGACACTCCCACTCAAAAACAAAAATTTCAAGCTGACTAAAAACTATTATACCCAAATTCAAACAGACTCAATACAGACCAGTATTTGGTGTCAACACCAACACAACATGCTGAAAAAGGAAGACACAACACTGAGAGAGACTATGTCCACCACCATCACCATCACCACCACCATCACCATCACCATCACCAATGTCCATTTCACTTCTAATTTCAACACTCAGATAGAAATTACCAGTTTTTGTATGTATTTAAATAAACTATACATTTATTAACCCCTATTCAATGTCATCTTTTGTTTGACACTTGGATTTACATAAGGCAGAGAAGGAATTTACTTCCACAACATTAACAACAACAAGGTTCTTCGTCTTCCAAGTGTTATATTAAGTGTATGGTGGCAGAACAAAGAAGAAATGATGGAGGTTTAAGAAATAAATAATTGTATTAACAAAAATGCAACAAATGGTGAATTGGTGTAAATGTCTCTCGTTGAAAGAAAGAAATAAGTAGAATCGTAAAGTCATCCACAGAAAACGTACAGCAGGAGAGGAAGGATGAGTTGTGAATTACTGCAGCCTTTGGAGAGTTGTCCTCGGAGATGGGATGCCGCATTCTGACGAGCGTGTGAATCCTGGATGTTGTGCTGACCGACTGCCAAAGATGTCCTTTTGATGGACTTTTATGTCCTTTTCTCCAATTTTTATTTTGTTTCTTTAGGCAGGAGTAGGTACTAATGGGTGGGAATTCTGGATTGTATTTTTCTTTAAGTGTGTTAGTAAAACGGAAACCATGTGCAGAGCCAATATGCAGTTGATGAAATTTTTAGTTCAGTCTTGGGTTTCGGAGCATTCACATCCAGCCAGTGGTGGAAATTTGTGCAACAGGAATCAGAAGATCTGGTTTTAGGAAGATCATAATACAAGTTACCCATTCGCGTCTCTGTAACAGATTTCATTTTATGACTCCTGTATTTAAACTGAATATATTTTCTATTAAATGTAGCATTTTAAATGGACAAACTATTTAGGTTTGAAATTTGATCCTCTTGCCATCAGTGAAGTGACAAATACTGAACTTGTATACATAATTAGATGAAGGACTCAAAATGTATTTGTTCAATAAAACAAGCTGAAATTTAGGACTTCTCAAGAACTGAAATATAGAATGATTGAAATTTCTGACAAAGAAAGATGAAAAGATTTACCTTATAATCTGGTTTAATATTTGCAAAATACACCAAATGATCCACAGTGACTGCCAACCTCAAGCCAAATCCTTCCCAAGCACAGCTTTTTAGTTCTTTGCCAGGAATTTTTAAGCTCCTTAAATGCTAAAAGAAAATATTATCAAAATGGGAAAGTTTAGATGAACAGTTACAACCATAGAATTTAAAAGGTGAAAATTTAATACAATCAAGAAAGTTCCTCTGGGTCAAAGTAAGCTCATAAATTAGTTTTGAAAACAGCACACAACTTTCAATTTCTAGGCAATTCTTCAAAATTCACTGCATTACCACCAAATGTTTGGCCTTGTGTGTGTCTGTCTGTCTGTCTGTGTGTATATATATATATATATATATACACACACACACACACACACACACACACACAAAAGAAAAACCAATGACGTTGGTCTGATCAACAGACAACTGTCCAGAGAACCTAACACCTTAGATAAGAAAAAATCTCAAACAAGGGTAGAAAAAGAAATAAAGACCAAAAAAAAAATGACAAGGAACATTTTGGGAAAGCTCAGAGCTTAACAACTGAGGCATCTCAGATGAGAAGGTGACTTATCCATATTTAATAAATAACATCATTTTACTGCATATAAATTTTATGTGCGTTAACAAAATTTGGAGAAAGTCAGCCATGTTTAATGATGCAATGCCATTCTTCATTATGATGATGAGGATGATTATCATCATCATCATTACCACCACTGCTGCCAACAACCACCACCAACAACAACAATCATCACCACCAATAACAACCATCATCATCATCACCACCACCACCACCACCACCACCACAACCAACCAACCAACCACAACCATCATCAATAGCCTTAAGATTGCTCTTCATGAAAATGAATATCTTTAAGCATCCCAAGATGGCATAATATTGTTTTAAAAACTAAAAAAAAAAATAATTCAACTCACCTCTCCAAGGGGTGAATAAAAATGAATAAAGTTTGTTTCTCTGTCACTGCCTTGAATTGTAACTGAACCTGCTATGGCTATGGTAGAACCCAAGTGGTTCCATGCCACGTCTTCTATTCGCATTTGGGTATCAAAGACAACTGGTGCTAAAAGCAAATAAGAAAATCAAATAAAAAAGAGAAACAATTGAAAAAAAATATGAATAATGGTTTGCAGAACAACCAAAGGAAAATGGAGAGTTGAAGAACATAATGTTCTTGAAATGTTTACAATTTGAAAAGTGCAATTGTGAAACATAAATTTCCTTGCTCCTTTATAGCAAAATATGTCTAAAATTTAGCCAGTGTAAGATTTTAGCTTCACTTTTTAACTTCTACTTGTTCCTTCCAGCATATTATTCACTTTGGCAAACAAGTTTTAACTGAATTCATTTAAATGATTTATCTAACTTGTCTCTGTGACAGCACACACACTATAACAGGGCAAATTAACTGGATCACTATTTATTAGTGCGTGTGTTGACTGTAAGATCTAGTTGAGAACGGGAGACAGAAAAACTTGAGGAATATGAGCGGCATTTAATATATTGATAAGAACAAGGTAAAAATATGGATTTTAAACCTATAAAATGAGGGCTCTGAAATTATTGGAACCTCAGACCACTTAACCAAAAAGCATTAAGACATAGAGGTTCCAAGGCTTATACACCTGCAAAGAGACAAATTGATAACAGGTTTGTGTGTTCTCAAAATTTACCCAACTGGGATTGTTTTGAATAATCTTACCTGGGTTAATCCCATTCTTAAAAATTACATTATTTCATTATTAGAAGGTGGCCTAAATTTCAATTTTGTCTGGGCAAAGTCATTAGGTGGATGATTTTTTCCAACTAGAGGTCAGTGACTCATTGAACGTGGATTCTTAATAGAACTAGATAACCAAAAAGCTTTTGCTTAGTTTTGTTCTGATCTTATTGACTGCAGTGAAATTCCATGCCATTGCTGCAAAGCTTCTGACAAACACACAGACAAAGGGCTTTTAGCAACAAGACCTACAGAAAAAAGAGGGAACTTCTATTTATAGATTCCTACCTCGGACTACTATCTGAAGTATGGTATCAATGTAATATAACTGCCTCAAGTACACTTCAGTCAAGTAGAGGTTAATATCTACAAGCTAACATTACATAGTCATCCATATACATATATCATCATAATAGACCTGTAGTTGAGTTTGACAATGGTGTTAATGATTTCCTTGTAGTTTTCTCTCACATCTGTAATTTCCATCCTGGAGAAAAGATTTTCCATGGTTCCACAGTAGAATTGAATTCTGCTGTGAGAGAACATTTTTGAAAGAAAGTCCTACCACTGAGTAGCACTGTCAGGAATGCTATCATACTATAGGAAACATTGAGAACCTCAACATATTGTAATGTTTAGCAAGTTTGTCTTGCTAAAACAATTATGACTGAGTAGTGAGTTCAATCCTCACTGGGTGCTCCATACCTTCAGTCTTGTAGAAAATTACCATACTATAAGAAACCTATAGTGGTATATGAGAAGACAGCAGTGACGTCCAATCCCTCATGATCAGGCATCATAAACTGTTACAGGGTATGTTGGATTGCCACTGCCACAAATCTATGGATTAAGGAGGTAGTATAATACAACACACAATTACATCTGGCAGCAAGACATCTGATTAGAAGATTATAGATTTTGAGGAGCATGGAGCCACCTCCTAAATGCTGTTGTTTGCAGATCTGCCCTGACCCGGGGTGGTAGCACCTGTTAGTGTACCAGTTATGGGTAAATAGGGAACCCAAAAACAAAACACTATGAAAGTATAAAAATACATATTTATAGTAACATTACTAACATTTTTAAATCAAAACAACCAGCAATACATTTTATAGCAAAATGACCAACAATACATTTTATCTGGAGCTCTAGGCATTTAATTGCATTCAAAATATATTTAGTTGAGGCCATAAAATTGTGTTCAAAATATTTAGATTTTGGCATAGAAGTTGATATGCTACTAAACAAAATCAACTAACATAATACAATACACACTTGCTTACTGTTTGTTAACTTTGCATGAGACAAAGCCACACAAATGCAAATATCAGTTTGAAAAAAAAAAACTTTTAAAACATTGTAACTTGATTTAAACATAATATTATTAGTCAACATAAAAGCACCATTAGAATCCACACAATGTTGCTAACAACCTAGTATTGAATGTATTCCATCATGATAAAAATGAGAATCGAAGGAGTTGATAAACTGAAAGAAGACATTTTCAACCGAATGTCCATTGATGTATATGGTTGGTAGCTTGGAAAGATTTCAGCAATATAGCTATGTTTTCTTGTGTATTAAAAATGTCAGCAAATCTTTGTCCTTTCAAGGTAATTTTTAATTTTGCAAATAGCCACAAATCACAGTAGAGAGGTCTGAGGAATAAGGTGGATGGCCCATTTTTGTAATAGATTTCTCAAACCCTCAACACTTTCTTGTTCTCATTCCCAAATCTTCTGACAAAATCTTCCATACAGATTTCCTATTCCTACTCAGCTCTTCTGCTGTCAATGATATTCTTAATCTTTGATTTGAGTGTGCCAAGATTTGCACACTGTCCACATTTGCATCTGTTCTTTGTATTTTTTGGTCGCCCACTTTTTGTGTCATCATACACATCTTTTCACTCTTCAATTGCTAGCACTATTTCAAAACATTCAATTTCTTCATAGCATGTTCAACATAAACTATTTTTAATAAAGCTAATGATTTTTTTTTAGCAATGAACAAAAATTGATTCTAATCCATTGCACCATATTCCTGTCACTCATCTCTTAACAGTATAATGTGAACACATACAACTTCCTCTACAAGTTGTTCATTCTGCCTGAGCTTCTGTTCAGGCTAGCCAGCTGCCACATGGTGCAGCTTAGAAGCCTATAGAACCATATTCCTTTGGAAATATAACTTGACCAGCTACAGAAATTATCTCCAGCTCATAGTCCTCAATTTGGGAGAAACTTCTACTTATATAGAATAACTCACCATTTTCTGTTTGTGGAATATGTCCTTGCTAGTGACATAGAAGATGAATCCAGCCACTCAAATCAGAAACACAGAAAAATCTGGAGCAGCCCCAATTCCCATTGGGAATTATTACAAGTAAAACCTCTTTTCATTTTTTGTTTCATACTGCTTGTTGTGTAAACATGTGTTATGCATTCTTTGTATGGAACTAATCTAAATATGTGTATATAATTTTATGTATGACTTAGTGGTATAAAACTCTCTGAGAATAAAGTATGTTTGTCATTCTTTTTCTTCAAGTTATTCCATTCCATCCATGAAATAAGGTGTCATTATATCATGTATATAATGATGCCCATAATGATTGGAAATGAAAACTAGCAGAATATTCCTTTCTTCTATAGCTCACCTATTATTTGTTTATTGTTAAATTTGAAATCTCTTCATTCCTTCTGCCTTTGTTTCCTTGTCTTCAAAAATCAAAATGGTCATAGAATCCCCATCTAAATTGCAACTTGAACTCTATCACTATTATTATTTCCATATTAGCTTTAATCAATCTTATTTCAATTAGATTGTATCATAAAATTCTGGAACAATAAATTTTTGAATTGCTAGAGCAATGTGAAGAAAACTGAAAATTATGAAGTAGGTTCCAATAAATCTTGAATTTGCATCCTGCACCAATGAAATCTGTTCTTCTTGAACATTGTTTTCATCTTTTTGGCCATGGAAGCCTCAATGGCTAAGTGGAACACTGAAGATATTCTATATGATGTAATAGAATAACCAGTCACCCCCATGAATGATTACACTATAGGTAGTAAGTACCTATAAAGTCAAAGGAAGAGTGAGAGAGAGAAGACGCAAACACGTCCGACCTTCCAATTAGTGGCACTCACTACTAGATTGACTACTAGATTGACCTGTGTGTATAACTGTACCGTATTTCATATTGTACTGGTTGTGTACAATAAACCTTTCTTCTATTATCCACCTGGTGTTAAGTATTTATTCCCTTAGCACGGAATATAACACTATAATATTTCCTTTTCATTTTTTGCACCATATTTTACTATATTATATTGTATCCCTTGATCAATGCAACATAACAGCTATAATCATTGAAATGGCAATGGTAGGTAGAAAGTTTCTGTGCAAATTATATCTTTTTGTATATATTCTGGTCATGTGTTTGATTTACTTTGCTCAATAATATTGACCCTTCTAATAGTAAATAACAGGAGTTTGCCCCTTCTCTCTCCTACTCTTATCCTTTTCTCTCTTCCCTCCTCCAACCTCTTCTCTCTCCGTCTCCTCCTCCTCCTACCATTTCTCTCTCTTCCTTCAACCTCTTCTTCCTCCTCTGCCAACCCTTCTCTTACCTCCTACCTCGTATCTCTTCTACCCACTTTTCTCACCTTCCCCCACTTCACTTTCAAAAGAAAAATGTTTTTCAAAAACCAGGCAGAAAACATACCATTATCAATTTCTGACCGCATTATCTGGACTCGTCCATTTGTGTAACAGATTAAGAGACTAGGACAATTGGCTTCAATGTAACCAAAGCTACCGTTGTACCAATAAATGGATACTAATTTAAATGGAGCAGGCACATCATTCAAGCAATGGAGAACCACACGATTCTAAAAAAGAAAACAGTTTCATGACATATTAATATTTAATAATGGCATAAATAAACAACTTAACCATTCAAACTGCTATAAGGGAATCATTAGATGACTATAGATAATTCAGTTACTTGTAAGTTTAGAAATTATTTTTCAGACCAGTGCACTCATTTTTTATCATATTTTAATAGGCACAATGAGGTCTGCTTTTTGAGATATTCACTTCAAATCTTTCTTTTCAATTTTGGTAACCTGCCTACAAATTGAACTTAGTGCTATAATTTATAAAATATAATTTGTACTTTATAATAAACAACAACTTGGCAATACTCAGAATGAACCAAACCACAATAACCTTATAAAGATTTTGAAAAAATTAAAACACTTATGAAAAAAATATAAATTGTCAAGTCTTACTATGTAATTGCCCATGTTGTCATAAACATGCACTTCTCCATTTATCATACCAAAAAGCAGCATTTTGCTATCAGGCGACCACTGAAAATAAAACAAGAAAATAATAGTTTCTTAATATAAACGAATACAGCAATAATTATTAAATTACAATTTAAACTTAAAATTTTATTTTAGATTTTTATTTTCATTTTTATTGACTTTTCATTTAGAAATGACTGTCAAAATGCACAAGCAATTTTTGGCAATGTTTAACTTTGTGTCTGCAAAAAAATACTTTTACTGCATACACTATTGACTTTCTCAGCAATGTTTATTGTTTTAAAAAAGATGATTAGAATTTTAATAAAACCCAAACATACGAAAGTAGATTTATAAAAAGAGTAAAAAGAGTATACAGTAATAGCTGAATAACTGTCTTTTTGACACACTGTTTTTTTTTTCAGACATGAATGTTAAACATTGCCAAATTTTTTTTTATTGTATCAATCAATCTGTTTCTATATACTGGGAAGGTAAACTTTTGCTAATGGATAAGAGGATGCTGAAAAGTTCTCAGCCTGACCAAGAAAGGATTAAAAAATATATATATGATATTTGGCCATTGGCTCAGATTTTGGAAATTAGGAAGAGTCAATAACTTTTCAGCACCTACTCATTGGTTGTAACATCAAGAGTAATAATCAATCTGTTCATTTCTTACACAATAGTTTGAAATATCACTCATCTACAACAAACATGCCATAAATGTTTATAGCTTAATGATGGCCATACTTATGTATATATAAAACTGGTGATAGGCCCGGCCCCAATTACTCAGGGCACTCTTCACTGACAGCCCTACCACTGTTGTATTACATTTACCTGTAGCAAACTACAGTAGTCATCAGCAGAATGACAAGTTGCAAATGCTACCACACCAGTTGTAATCTGTTCCTTTTGTGTTGCAACTAGCCATGCGCTCTGCTATATTGCAACTGGTATTGTGTTTACCTGTCAAATTGGATACCAGAGAAGACCTTGCTAATCCTTTTAGCTGAAAACAAATTCAAACCACAAAACCATTCAGATGATAACAAACAACTATTTATTACTGGCAATTACTACACAATTCCTTATTCTTTTTGTTTGTAGCTGGAACAAACACAAAGGACTCCTTTTAGCATGAACAAACAAATAATAGTATTGACTTTGTTTTTCATGTCCTTTCTTTCTTTTAATTCAATTTGTTCCTTTTTAACTCAACTCCATTTTCTAACTCCAGTAAAATATAGCTCTGCATCTCTAATGGTCAGGGGACAAAATGGTCTTTATTATCTGATTGGAGCAGCTCTCTCCCAGTATCTTATATAATAATGATATTGGATGAAAGGAGGAGGAGAAAGTAAGAAAATGAAACTATCGGAGGAATCAGACATTGGAAATTGTCTATACATACTGGATATTCACAAATAAAGAGATTATTCACTGAAATATTCAGCTTAGACTTAGGCAGAAGTTAAAATTTTACCATCACAGCCTTAACACTTTCACTACTACATTGTTACCTGGCTGTGCTGGCCCATTTTTGGAAAAACAGAAAATTTCCATTTACTGGAAATAAATGAATATAAAAACACTGGTGACAATTTCTCAGGGGTACTGCCATTTTGGTTTTGATTAGATACTCTTTAATACAGACTAAACTAAACAGCATCGCCAACATACAATATAAAAGAATGTCAGAAAACTGGTATAGTACACTATTATTATGTCTACACTGGTTTGTAAATAACACTAAGTGCTAGTTAGTTTATAAGAAACATTAAGAATTGAATTGACATTTCAGATATATATATATATATATATATATATATATATATATATATATATATATATATATATATATATATATATACACACACACATGTATGTGCCTATATGTGTAAGCAGTTAATCTAAGTTTTGTAAAGATGTATAAGTAAGGCTCGAAAATGTATATATGTAAGCAGGCAATGTAAATTTTGTAAAGATTTATAAATACATCTTGAAGACATATATACACTATAAACCAAAAGTTTGAGCTCACCCTCAGGATTTAATAATTAGTAAGTTTCATAGCATCATTGGTTTAATTTACTCCTATTAAGCTAAGATTCTGAAACCCATTAGTGCATGGCATTCAATTTTTTAGAGAGAAGGTTGCCTAAAATTTTAAATCTGACTGATTTAAAATTTTAGTCCTAAGATTACTATTACCCAACAAAGTAGATTAGGCAAAAAGAGATAAAATTTCAAGGCAGTAATGGATTAATTTTGTTACTATTATTGAATATATGATAAAAGCTTTGAGAAAGAGAAAGTCCCTCTGGCCCAAAGTGGACTAGTAAATTAGTTTCGAAAAAGGTATACAAACTTCGATTTTTAGGCAACTATTCAAAATCCAGAGGGCGGTCCCAAACTTTTGGCCTATAGTGTATGTGTCAACAGCAGGCAGTGTAAGTTTTGTAAAGATGTATAAGGACATGCACAGCAGCGGAAGCAGATTTTGCCTGATGTTTAATAATTAATATATAATGCTAATCCTTTTAAAGTTATAAAGAAAATCTGCCACTTGCTGAAATAGTCTTTTAAAAGTAAAGAAAGAAAAGAAAAAATTATTAAACTCACCTCTACTTTTGAAAAGTTTCTTCCACCCAAATTTCTGCCCCAGATTCTCTCACCATCCACAGTACCAACAATAACAACACCTAAAACATAAGACATTCTAGAAATAGAAACATTAGATTAAGAGGAATTTTCAACAGTTAAAAGCCTAAAATTCTTTATAAAACAAGTCTTAAACAGAAAAAAGCTTATAAAGCAACAGTAAAAGGGAGGGACCTAGATGCCAATCTAGTAGCACGCTTAAATTCATGTAGTCAGGGCATCAGGGAATAAAGCTCATTAGAGCAGTTGCCATGAAAATTATTTGTAGAAAAGACAGAGGGAAACCACATCATGTCTGTGAGAAAGTGACCATAGTTGAGATACCAAGTCAGGATTGATTACAAAGCAGATCTTTTTTGGATTCTGTCAAAAACCTCAAGACGAATAGCAGGAGCACCAGACCAGATATGACAACTGTATTCAATACATGGCCAAATGGCAGATTTGTAAATGTGCAAAATGGGCTCTGACAAGAAAAACTTTCTGACATGACACAGTGACCCAACTTTCCTTGCAGTAGATGCAGCAATTGATTCAATGTAGTCATTCCACTTCAAGTCAGTTGAAAGCATGAGGCCAAGAAGACACAGTGTGTCACTCTCCAAGAGTCTAGCATCAGCCATGCTGATGACAGACAGGAAAGTTTCTCTATAGTGGTTAAATGAGAGCAGTTTTGTTTTGGAAGCATTAAAATTTACAAGCCATTTTCTGTCCCAGTTAACCATTGATTGGAGGTCCTTTTCAAGAGCAGCGATCAAGTTAACTTTGTCAGCTCTGATAGATTGGCTCTTGAGACAGGACTAAATGGTAGGATCATCTGTATAAATTCTGAACAATTTTAGAATGGATCAGTTGAAACAGTGTTTTAATAACACAAAAGAATGAGTTCAGTTCTCTAAACAAATCTTGCAAAGAATAATAATTATATCCTGTATATACTCACGTATCATAAGACTTTTGAAGACCTAATTTTGAAACTAATTTTAAGGGGGTTGTATCATACATGAGATGTAAAATTAGTATATGTACTGCTGGCCCCAGCTATGCTGTTGACCAAATTGTATTTAAAATAAACATGATTTTGATAAAACTGAAGTTTTACTTAACTGTATCCAATAATAATACATATAATATTCACATCTTATTATCATATTATAAAATACAAACAGCGAATATGCATCTTTTCCATTGTTTACATTTATATGTTGTTTAGCTGTTTCTCCTTCGGTTGTTTATGGCTGTACACGTCTATGCAACGAGAATAGCATTACTAGTAATACTGTTATCATTCTCTTTTACATATTTAACTAGAAGATAGGATAAAGAGATATAGGAAAAGGGGTTAGTCTATTGTAATTTGGTCTCTCAAAAATGGAACTCACACAATACATGAGATACATAATAAAATCATTTTTTATAATTGAAAATTTGGTAGTTGCACGATATGCAAGTTCACACATTACACAAGTATATATGGTTATATGCCCATCAACAAAACCAGTTTACCCACTAGATTTTTCTAATGAGTTCAAAGGGTGGATGAACCTTATTGTAAGGTCAACAACTATCTGGCCTCCATAGTTATGTATGCAACCAGTATGGTGCTGACACAGAATCATTGGGCAGAGAGCTTCCTAGACTGAAGTGGGTTTATTTTGTTTAATATATTGTTTACAATATTCTATTTTAAGTTTGATTTCTTGTTAAACCAACAGCCTATTTGAAAAATAATATTCAAAATACATTATTCTCTAATTGTTCTCTTTCAACTACAACAAATCAGAAATAAGGAGCTAACTTACCAAGCTTAATCAAAAGAAGCATCTGAATATTTTAATAAAAAAGTTTTATAGTCTCTCATCTTTCTTACAATAGATACAAATCAGCTATAAAATAAAATAAAACCCAAAGTTAAAATATTGTTTAAATGTGATTATTCTTGAATAGGTTTCAAGTCAAATGTGAAGGTATTCCTTTATTTTTATTTAACTTGGCAGATCTCTGGTCTTACCATCTTCAAAAACAATGCAAATCATTTTGCCATCAGCATTCCATTTCATATCTTGGATCACTGTGTGTCTGTTGTTAACCATCTCTTCAATCCATTTGTCTGAAGGAACAAAACACAAAACATTGTTATGGATAGTAATGAGCTTATAGTAAAGAGAGGCTGTAAGATTATAATGGACAAAGTTGTCTGTAGAGTAATTGACCATGGTTAAATATAATTGGTAGAAAGGCTCAGCAAACAGAATTGACAAAGTTTGCAATAAACAATAACACGAGAAAGAAAAGGGCAAGGCAAAAATAATAGTAAGCAAGCAAACAATGTATGTAAGACAAAAGTAGGCAAAACAACAGTAATATGGCAAAAAGTTCACAAACTAAGAATGGTGTTAACATACAAAAGGGATACAGACAAGCGATCACAGAGTTCTGGCTCCAAGACAAGAAAAGAAGAGCAGTCAAATGAGACTGAGAAGTGGCCTATCTTATTGGCTAGGAAGAAATCCAAGCATGTATCTGTGTGTTTTGTTTATAAGTTTAAAGAGGAGGACATTTTTTCAGTCATTCCAGTAGGATTGGAACCAACAGGAGTTACAACTTGTTGCTAATGAGAATTTTCAAAAGAAATGGATTCAACATTTTTAAAAAGAAATGGATTCCAACATGTGGAGGAATTCTACATATATATTTATATAACGAACAACATAGCTTAAAAAATTAAAGTGAAAATCATATTTACATGTGTACAAATAGCTAAAAAAGGAAAAGAAAACATTTATGGGATTAATGTGTGTGTGTGTGTGTGTGTCACATTATCAGATTGAAATGAAATAGTTGGCTGTATTATTAACAGAAGAGAAAGAAGAATCTGAAGAAGTGGAGACCTATCTTTCACTGTGAACACTGTAGTAGTTCATAGCAGTTTTTCACCAGGTGCAAGTTTTGAAGGATATGATTTGAGTCATACAACCCTTTATATGAAACTGTAGCAAAGAGATACTACATGACTGTAATGGATGAGCTTGTTGTTGGTTCCCAGTTTGTAACAGGAGAAGTTACAACTAGTTGTTGATGAGGACTTTAAAAAAAATGAACTCAACATTTTCAAAAGGAATGAATTTCAAAACATTGAGGAAATCTACATACATATTAATATAAAGAACAACATTATTTACAAAAGAAGAAAAAATGATGAGCTTTCCTCTTTGGTATCTAGACTTTATGAATTTAAGTGCAGTAATAGATTGACAGCTAGGTCTTGTCATTTTAATGATGAAATAGTTAGATGTAACTGTAAGTTCTATGCTAACAGTTTCTTCTATTGCGCTTCTTACTTGTGCAACTCTCTTCTGGCTTCTTGGTTTCTAATCAATTAAATGCACTGTTAATCATTATCTTATGTCTTCTTAATTCCTGTTCTTGTATTGTTCTCTCTCCTTAATGATGTTTTCCATTTTTATATTCTTTCACACTCAGTAACCCCTTGCATCTTAGTGGCATTATTATCTTGATTTTTATTACAATAGTACAAATAATCATAACAATGTAAAATACACAGATGACACTGTATACATGTGATGTAATGAATATGCATACACCTGATTCCCCCTCACAGTAATATGATTGGCTGGTGTCAGCCATAAATACAGACTGATGTGGAGGTACAGGATGATGCCTACTGGCTACGCCTATAGTCTTCGCCTATTGCCTACCACTACGATGAGAACCAGTCCATTACGGTTACCTGCTAGATTGTACTACTCGGTTACAGTAGTCCAAAACCACTTTGCTACTTCGAACAAATATATCCCTTTCCGGGACATATCAAAATGACAGACTAAGAAAGAAAGCTGAAAGAACAAAACAAGGTACTAATGGAATGCAAGAAGAAAGAACTATGATATGTAATAAGAAAGAATACATAGTTGTTAGCAAAAAATACAGCCAAAGGTGTGAGAACATCAAAATCAATCAAGTACAGAAATTTAACTATCTCAGGCGACAGGAAATGCAACAAAGAAATATAAAGGTGTACGCTATTAATGATAGATTTCTTCTAGATACTAAGAAAAGTATTAAAACATTGGAAAATGTCCTTAGAAACAAAGAAAAGGTGCTTTACAGCTATGTAATATCTAATCTCTTATATGGCAGTGAATGCTGGACAATTTAAAGATGGAGAGAGACTTGAATTGACAGAGATATTGTTTTTCTGACAAATGTAAAGAATACTATGGACAGGACAGAACATATGAGCAATGAGGAAGTCTTAAAGAAAAATAGAAACAAGGAAACTTACACTTACAATCAGAAAGAGACAGATAAAAGTTTTTTTTGTGCCTATGAGGAAAGAGGGCCTAGAGAATTTAACACTTACAGGACCTACTGAAATCAACAGAAGCAAGAGGAAAACAGCAAGTAACCTAGCTGATGTGGTAGTTACAAGATGCTGTCTCGTCTTTCTCCTGGGATACACTCTCCAATCTGTTATTGCTACATCCTGGAGTAAAAAAAGAGTGAGAAGGTTTATGTCCCTTCCTTTCATAGTCCTGAACAGAACACTACTTAGTGGACATCCTGGTAGACAAGGTGTGACAATTGCACACTATTTTTGCCCCATATAATATTCCTTGTCTGATTAGTGGCTCCAACAAGTTCAAGATATCAAAAATTCTCCAGAGGCATGCAGTGAACCAAAATCAAAATCGTTCTTTTATGATGGAATATACTGAAATTTAGCTGAAAATTAGATTATGGTCATAGACAACCAAGGAAAATACTTTTATAACTAAATAATGATGCTATGAATTTAGATATATGAAAGATTTTGGCACAAAAAATGCTGAGAAGCTTTTGTATCCACCAAATATAAACATTACTTACCTTTAGACAGGCCCCACACAATGATAAGTCCATTGATATCACTCGTTGTCAACTTCTTGTAATAGTCATTCCATCGAGCCATTTGCACAAAACCTTGAGAATGAACATAGAAACATTTTAAAGGATGATATATGAAACTTCTGAAAGAAATGAGATTATTGTTACTCATTTGTAGGTGTTTTTTTTATATATATATATATATATATATATATATATATATATATATATATATATATATATATATGAGGTCTTGGAGAGGATGCAAACAAGGAGGAGGCTTATACTTAACATCAGGAAGAGGCAGCTGAAATTTCTGGGACAGGTAATGAGAAAGGAGGGCTTGAAGAATCTAATACTCACAGGTCAAATAGAAAGAAAGAGAATATTCTATTTTTTAAGTCTTGTACAAATGTTGGTACAATTTTTGAGTTGTCTTCACAATATTAACCAGATAAGATTAATGATGTGCCAAAAACCATCACAGCTGGTGTACAATACAACTCATCTTTTAGAATGCTCCTGATGGATAAGATTACCAACAGTAAATTTCCTACCTAATCAGTTTTGTTTGGTCTCATAGCCAGTGCTGCTTTTAGCTGCCTGTAGACACATTTCACCATCCCATTTGCACAAGGATGAGAGACTATAATTCTAAGAAGTGATATTTTCATTCCCAGATTTGCTTGAACTATTGACCTTATTCTTATCTTCCTTTTCTTTTGGCCAACCCATTCTCCAAATTTCTTCAAGTGTACAATCCATAATCAAGGAAAGGAGCATTTTTTTTAATAAAGAAAATATAGCAAACAGAAAAAAAAAGAATGTCTCAGCTCATTCCCAGCACTGGGAACTACACAGGCAATACCATTTTCTGCAACCCATATGACATAAATGATTCCTTTTTGTACGTGGTGACACTTTCCAATTCCCACCCTGCTGATCACCACATATTGAAACTGACACTGTTTAACAGGATAAGGGGTGCTGTTATCTTGATTTTCATCAATCTCCAGAAATGTTTCCTATCTATTATTTAGATCTCATCCTAGAGAGGATAATGTGAACCATTCTCCCTGCAGATATGATCTGACATACCAGACTTTTCTACATCTCTTTTGGATAGTGTTTTTTTTTTATATTCCACAGGTCTGTTCTTAATGATACAGTTTGTTTCCACTTTATATCCTTTTCTCCATTTACATCACAGTTATGAGTTCTGCAACCCATCAGGTTTTGTACAGGCACCACATGTACTGTAGCCCATCTCTCTCTTCAGGCTGATTTTAAAGTCAGAATTGTTCTTCTCTTAGACTGATTAACCTACCAAAGCTAAAGGGTCCAGTCTACTCTGCTATTTCCCATAACTGGAGAAAAATGGATTATGCCTTTTGCAATGGTACCAGTGCTAAGTGAACAAAACAGACTCAATCAGAATTCAAAATTAGAATGTCAATTCTACTTTCCGCAGCAATAACTATTACCCTACCCATACAATTTTTAATATATTTGTTAAAAATTGCTGCTTCCTTCACACATAATATAGAACATCTACATACAGTTTTTTTTATCTAGAATGTTATAAATGCAACCTTTTTGTCAAATTCTTCTCTTGTAAGAGACCAACTCTAGTAAGGTCACCAAGCCTGGTTGTGCTATTGAAAACCACCCTGACATTATAATGTCTACAAATCTTTTGGATTTATTCAGTCAATCCGATTACATAAAGTATGTTTGTTGTAGTTGCATAATTGATATCTTTAGTGTTCATCCATGCATTACATAAATATATAATTTTTTATTTTATAAATTTTTTTTTCTTAATCAATCCACCCCAAGCAAGGCAATAATACCACTAAGATACAATCGGCTACTGGGAGTGAAACAGAATGAGAAGAGCTTAGAAAGAACCAGAAACCCAATCCTGAACAGGAAACAAGGAATAAACCTCTACTCCTGTTTGAAAGACTGAGGAGTAGTGTGAACTGGACGACAGGTGAACTAATCTACTCCTATTGGAGGAAAAAATAAATGGTAAATAAATTTCAGAGTTTAGGCAGAGACATTAGAAGTATAGAAGATTTTAGAAGGAAACCAGGAACCCAATCCTAAACAGGAAACAAGAGATATACCTATACTCCTGTTCAAAAGCCCAGGGAGGATTGCAAACCAGATGAATAAGAATTTTTATACAATATATTTTATACGTAGAAATAGGATGCATTACCTGTGTGCCCTGCAACGCCTTGGTTCATAGACAAGCTGCTCTGTCTACTTTTACCCTTTACATCTGTTAAGAAAAACAAGTAGTTCAAAATTGAAATAATAAAACCTTTATAAAAAATATTTAATGAAGCAATAATTAAATAGCCACCGAATTAATACATGTTGGTATTTTATAGTTGATATTATCCAGTTATGTTAATGTAAGTCCAAAAATCAAAATCAAAAATTAATTGGATTAACTTTGATTAAATCATTTCTAAAAAAAATTGGTGAGAACAAAATTAAGGTCAGCCATTACGAAACATAGAGACAAAAACTGAATAATATACTGTACATGTTATTTGGGTTTTGGAGATGTTTTTGTTTTGTTTTTTTAACTTGAAAACAAATAACAGAAACCAGTTGTTTGGACAAAAAGTGGGAAACAGGTGATGATAAAATTAGGTAAATTCATCCAGGACAAAATTACAGAAATGAGTAATTTTTTTTACTTGTAATACCAAAACAGAGGTCCAGAAATGAAAAACAAAATGTTTTTTTTTTAATATACATGAAAACAAACCTATCAGTTCTTTAGATGTACCCAGTGGCAGATCTACATTTTTGGGGCCCTAAATCTTGAACAGAGGTACTTTCACAACCAGCAACAACAGATTTGAAGATCCATCTGTTAAAATAGAGGCTATAAATAGATTCTGGCAAGCTGAATAAGTCCATACAGCTGAGGGTTAAGATGCTGCAAGCCCCCAAGCAAATTTTGAAATTTAACCAATTATGGGGGAATTTTGAGGCTATATGAAATGGGTATTAGTGCATATTCTAAGGCCAATGGCTTTTGATTCTATCACTGGTAAAATGGCCTTATTTTAATAACAAACACTTTAAAAAAAATATCATCAATTTTGTTGAAAAATCCACTCATTAAAAAAGTTGCTTCAAGGGTCCCCCTGGGATTAGGGGCCCTGAAGCTTATGCTTCATTAATTTCATAGTACATCCGCCACTTGATGTACCTCAATATTTTAAAATATTTAAACAGAAAAGCCTTTATAAATATATAAGACAATTTAGAAAACTCTTATTCTGACATGTTTCTCTGATCAAACAATATCATCAGAAAAATAGATTTTATCTCAATCAAATCTATATTGATGAGACAGAACATGATTCATATGAGTCATATGAATACTAGATATTTTTTTAATTCAACCCCATTATTTCTTAAATTGGATTTTACTAATTTCAACTTGGTTTTTATTTATGTCTCACCAATGTAGATTTGGTTGAAATAAAATCCATTTTTCTGATGAAGCTGTTTGATTAAAAAACATGTCAAAATAAGAGTTTTCCAAATTTGTCTTATTTACCATTCTGTCGGATTCTCATTCAAATTTAAATCAGAAAGAATTTTTTAAAGGTACCGATTTCATTATTAGTTTTGTTTTATCTGTATGAAGGTGTGCTGAAAAGTTATCAGCCTCACTTACTTCCTAAAATCTGATCAAATGACAAAACATCAGAATATTTTAAATCCTTTCTTGGTCAGGCTGAGAACTTTTCAGTACCCTTCACATGTTAAAATTATGCATGATCTATAAAAACTCAAATTTTATATAAAATTTTAAAACATATTTTCTACATCTTCCATGCATGAAATAAGTCAAAAAATAACAGACTGATTCAACAAAGTTTTCAATATGTATTCCTAAACAAAACATTATTATGTGCAATTTTCATACAAGATCTTTTTATATACAATGTTATGAATAATCAAGAGTGGTTTCCCCTTGTTTTGTTACTCTCCTCTTGAAAGAGCTATTTCTGTTTACTGGGACTGTAAAAGGTCACTATATGCAAACCTTGTATTCTCAGTTGAATAAAGCTTTCTTAAAGCCTACACCTGTGTACTTTTGTCATTACATACAAATTGATACATGATATTTTTATATTTTTGATAGATAAAAACATCAATATTAGATAATAAAAGATTTTCAACAGCAAATATATACTACAAGCATACCTGAGACTTCATCATTATGTTAATGAAGTGGTATGGATATCTACCAAGGAGGTATCAATACCACCAAAAATGTTTTCAATAAGATAATACAGAATAAAAGCAAGGTTAAAATTTTATAATGGTTCAAATTTTATAAAATATTTATTCCATAAAATAGGAATAAAATAATAAAAGCAAAATACACCTTTTGTTAACAACAGAGTTCAAGTCAAAAAGTTTACATTCATGAACGAGGAAGGAGTGCTTCCCATTAAGGCATATGACCCCATGCTTTAAAGCAAAGAGAAAAGAGAGTTTCTTTTTAAAAGTATGTTTTTTTTATGGGTGACTGTCAGCTACTGCAGTTACTGGACTACATATCTCTCCTACAGCCAGTCATCTGTATTTTAACCTAAACTTACACACTTGATAATAACTAATAGAAATAAAAAAAACATTTTGAATCTGTTTATCAGTATATATTTTTAAAATATCTATATTATATATTTATGAAGTGGTGTGTATATCCACAGTGAAGGTATCCATACCACCAAAAATGTTCCCAACAAAATGATACAGAATAAAAACAAATACATGACAAATTGATATTTTATGAAAACAGTTGTTCCATAAAATAGGAATAAAATAATAAAAGTCTGACTGTGGTAGAGGGTATGCTTTTCATTAATAACAAAGTTTAAGTCTAATTGTCTACATTTCTGAACAAAGAGGCACATAGGCAGGAAAAAGGGAAGAAAGATTTTCTTTTTGAAAGCATGGCTTTAGAAAAGTGTTCACCAGCTGCTGCTGCTACTAGACTCCTAGCTTCTGCTACTATGTATATTTTCTACAGCCAATAATCTATGTTATGGTGTAAACTTGATACATTATCACTCAATTTAAAAGAAAAAAGGGGACAAGAAAAAGAAAATACAAGTAAAACATTTACCTAGGGGAGATTCCAGTTGCATGATTCTAAGAAGTCCATTCTCTCCCCCACATGCAATATAGCCCTCACTTTTATTCCATGCTACACACAGTAGTTTGGAATTATTGGGCATAGCAATCTGAAAGAGAATATCATAATTGATGCATATTTAAAAAAAAAATATGGGTACAAATGAAAAGATTCAAAACTGACAAGGTTTTCCATGTCACTGAAGCAGACATTAAGTGTATTAGAGCATTATCACCTGCTCTTTCTTTCTTATTATTATGTATACTTTTTTTCTCACTACAATCAAACAGTGTTATGACATATTTTTTCTTCCATCTTTTTTGGCAATCAAAACTAAATTGCAAATGCTAACTTACTAATAAAAGAAACAAGTAGAATAATAAAATTATTATTATTTATGTAAGACTAAATAGGAAAAAAAGTCAATATAAACATAAAAACCCTTAAATTATCACAAATCTTAAGCATTTAAAAAGAATTAAAGTTAAATGTGGCACCCACTCGCATTAAGATCAGCATCCTCTCTCTCCCTATTCCCTTTCTCTCCCCAAATGGCGGTGGTGGAGATGACTGTGAATCAAAGACAGTTTGTCAATGGCATTGATGTGAATTTGATTTTGGTGGACAACCCTGCATGATGGAAAAACCCACACACTTGGCCAGAAGTGTCCCCTCAAAGGGAATTGATACAGGCAAGATCTGACAAACCTGGTTGCATCAGGCTGTCAGATGCTTGGTCTGTCAAGATCCACTTTGGTGCTGCTCTCTTCTACCAGTTTGGCCATTGTGATCATGTAGATCTTTGCCTATTCTGCTTCAGGGGTTGGTCATTTCCAGTCTGGTGCTTCTTTGACCTTACCCCCATGGGTGGCCCTACAGGAGTTGGAACATCAGATGGTTTCACTCTTTGGATCATTGGGACAAGTAAGCTCTCTACCATGACAAGGAACAACTATATATATTCTACACTGGATGTTGGAGTGAACAGTTTGTCATAAAATGTACAACATTGACTTATTATTACTTTAATGAGAATAATAGAAATTAATCAATAAATAAGAAAAGAATAAAACCAATAAAAGTATAAAATTATCATTAAATATACGAGAACATTTTTTATTATTGTTGTTGTTAAAAATAAATATTTGAGAGATAACTAATAAAGGAAGAAATTCACTAAATGTGCCACATTAATTCAAAAAAGCTGAATTAATAACCCTTCTTAAAAAGAAAATTATTTCTTATACAATTTTCTGATTTTGAAATTTAATCATCCCAAATTTAAAAGCAAAATATTGCTTATAAACTTTTTTTCCTTTTACCTGCAAAAAGCTCTTGATATATTCATATTTATATTTAAACATGCTACGTATAAGTAATATTATAAAAATAACCTTATTTACAAAAAATATCTGCCTAATTCCTATATCTGTCTTCTTACTCTTCTTAAACTCAAACTAAACAATACACTGGTTGAATGAAATTTTAAGATTTTTCACCATAATTAAGCTCTCTAAACAAATTATTTAATCTTTTGATAATATTAGTTAAGCAAAACAAATATAAACCTACATTAAAAAAATTGAAAATGATCCTAAAATACTTAATTAAATAGAAATTAACTCTGAATTAGTAATTAAAATCCGATTAAAATAGTAATTAAAATTATTTAACCAAAGTCCAAAATCAATAAAATATATTTTGTTTTGATTGATTTGAACAATATGACAATTATTAGGTGAAACTAAACTCAAATTATTAAATATGATTAATATGATATTACTAATCCAATCCTTCTGTATAATGCACGTTCGTGCGCGCATACACATGTGTGTGTGTGTAAAAATGTTAGCTGCCAAGGAAAGAGCTAACATTGAAGCATCATGTCACCCGAAGATGATCGGAGATTTTATCGATCAAATTGCCATAACTAAAGATCAGAACAAAAAAGATATGCCTTCAAATATCAATAATATATCTTTTAAAAAAATATTCCAACTGTTATTTTATGTTTACTCAAATTATCGTTATCCCAGTCCCATAGAAACCAATTCCATTATTTTTAGCTTCATTAGTTACCAAACAAACACGCAACAGCTTTCATTTAAACTGACTTTTTTTTTCTTTACTTCCAAAGCGAAGTGATGTTCAAGAAGAGAATTTTAAAATACCTTTTTGCTCAAATACACAAACATCTTGCGAGGAAAAAATGTGTAAGTTTTTTGTTTTGTTTTGTTTTGTTTTTTCTCCTCCAACTTTTCTACTTAACTTGTATGCGTTTGAAAGTTTTGTTTTTTGGTTGCTGCCGGAAACAACACCTTTTTAATTCTCGTATTGTCACGTGACCGAGATTTGAGGACACGCACGAGATTTCTCCTCTCGGCCTTTCACACGTGTGACTTTACGACGTTTAGGTAGGTTTTTTTCTTGACTCTAGCTAAAATCCAATTTTCATGAGCGTACTCATTATTTTTCGTGCTTCTGTAAGTTATTTTCTGTTATAACTGCTTCTAATATTGTCTGTTTATTTTTCAGACGCTTGAAGTCTATAATCTAAACTATGGCTCCTCAAAAGAAATCCGTAAGTACATTTCATTCTTGTGATTGGTCGCCATATTGGTTGGTTAATAAATTTCTGTGTCGGCCACATTCGTCGTTTTTTTTTATTCTCTTATTAAATTCTGAATATTAAACCATTTTTATCAAATTATTTATGCATAATTGTTTTCCTTACTAGTTTCCATCAGTGTACAATTTAAGATCTTTGTCCTTGTCATATCGTGACATGAAAATGCGCTCTACTTCGGTTTTTTTAGCTATTTCTTCCCATGTGCTTAAACTTTTTATTTATAATCCTAAATTAAAATAAAGGTTAATGCGTGTCCCATTTAAAATTACTATATAGATCTAGCTAAAACATATCTTGGATTTGTTCGGTTAAAATAAATTTTTTACAAAATTCTATCTAAAAATGTCAATACTTAAATTTTTTTTTTCTTTTTTGCATGTTGAAATTGAATAAAGTTCTGAGTACTTTTCGTATAAATGATTTTCCAAATAAACATGCGATTGGATAATTTTCCATTTAATATCAGAACGGCCGATGTAGTAAAATTGATAATTTTTATATTTTTTAAAACTTTTTGTACACCCGATTTTTTTTTTTTTTTTGTTTTAAGCAACTACTCGAATTTGACTAAAAAGGCAATTCCACTACTGACGTCAATGTGGCTAACGCTTGTTATAAAAAAAGGAAACCTATAATTAAATAGTTAATAGACTTTATTTATATTCTAGAACTATATTTTACTAATTTTACATTGAAATATCTTCTAATTATGCCAACAAGTCATTCAAAATTACCTACTTGAAAAAAATAAATGTAGTGTAAGCTAACAATCTACATAATCATCCGTTCTAGTTTTGTTTTGAGTATAAGATGATCCATCAAAAATACAGTATCCAAGTAAAAAGTGCCTATCGTCCGGTTCACACTCATCCTCTGTCTTTTGAACAGGAGTAAAGGTTTATCCTTTGTTTCCGGTTCCTTCTAAGACGTCTTCTCATTCTCTTTAGCTCCCAGTAGCCCCTCGCATCGTGGTTACATTCACTCCTTGTTTGGAAAAAAAAAAAAAAAAATGCTCTTCCTGAAGAGCAATTTTGTTTTTACTCAATTTAAACAGATTCCTTACTTGGTTGATTTATATGCACTATTGTCCACTCAATGCAAGTTCCACTCAGGTAGTGGGGTACTGAATAAGGGTGTGTAAGAGGTGTATGGTAATGTGTATGATTGATAACATTTGACACAGGTTTGCTGAAGTTGAGATGCTGGCGTATTTAATCAGTCAAAAAAAAAAGTATCAAATTTCTACTGTTACTAGCTAATGTCAAATTCTCAAATTTTGTTTAATGATGAGTAAAAAAAATATTGTTTCTACAGAATATTGATTATTTTCTTTCATTTCTTCTTTTTCCCCAACAAAGAAAGCTATTGAGAACATCAACTCCAGATTGGCGTTGGTGATGAAGAGTGGAAAATATGTGCTTGGCTACAAACAGGCATTGAAGACTCTAAGACAGGGTAAAGCCAAGTTGGTGATCATTGCCAATAACACGCCTCCTCTCAGGTAAGGTTCATTAAATATGATTATTTGGGGACCGTTATTTCAGACAAGAATCTATTTTCTTTACACTTTTAACTAACACAACCTAAATTTTGTTTTCTTTTTACCAAATTTTCAAGACATTAGTTTCTCTTAGATTAAAAGTATGTTTAATGTTGTGATATATGCCTATCATTGCAATAGTGATAAGTTATTTTTCATTTCATATTTTGCATGCTTAAATCTAAAAAGGGAATGGAGTGAATTGTTGTTTTCTGATGGTTTGGCCGTTTGAAGGCGTAAACAGCTTTGAGAAAAGATAAGCATTTCAGATTTGTAAATACTTCAACTATATAAAACTTAATCTGTTAATGCAAAATCAAAAGTACGATTATTTTCATGCTCATATTTACACTACAAAAGTGTTTCTGACTTCGGAGCTCTATTGAGTCACGATGAAGTCTTTCTATTATTATAGTGTTGATTTCTTTTTCAAGAGTCCAGATAATACAACAAGGCGTAATCCTCCGTTGATTCTTAATGCCTATCCTAGCTGTGTCAGCATTTCCTCAAATGCCATCAGAATTCCAACCCTGGGCAATGGCAGATTCAACTAAAAGGTGGATAAATCTTGTTAACTGTTCTGTAAAATTTGATTTTATACAATAGCTTTCTTTTAAGTGTTATAAAAAGTTGTTGGTGTTTATATTTATTCATTGTCTAATAATCCTTTTTTTTTTATTTTGTACATTTTTGTTGGCATATTAGATTTATTTCTTTTGTTTCTATCAAGAGCAATTGGACAAATCTGTGGCCCAAATGCTCTCATCACCTTTCAATAATTTTTATATATAAAATGTTTGCAAAGCAGTATTGATTAATGTTCAGTATAGGTCATTTATCTAAGTTGTTTTCTCCATACTGTCACTTTTTTATCATAATATTAATATAAATCAGCAATCTAAATAAAGAGGTAACATGGCAAAACTCAGATCCTGTAATATAATCTAAAAACTTGTGTGTAACAGGCTTTTCGATCATATGGGTTTTGTCATGTTACCTTTTATTTAAGTAACTGATTAAAAAAAAAAAAAAAAATGCTTCATGCAAGATTACTGGTGAGTGGTACCAAAGCAAAATACCCTTATTTGATTCTGTATAGTCTGCTTCTGGCTGGGATGGTATGTGTGACAGGTTACCTCATAATTCCAGTTTTTGTTTTGTCAGGGGTTCAACTTGAATGTTGCAGTAAAAAAAAAACAAGTGTTTTATCTAAGGATTGGATAATGGGGTTTCTGTTTCTTGTAAAGCAGTTTACCAGATTAGCTGATAAAAAATTCAATAGTTTCTGTAATTATTATCCCTTAAAAACTTCCAATATGTAATGGAAGTATTTAGCCATAAAATGGTCTGTAATGATTAGGGGATAATATCTAATTCTACTATAATTTTTAACATGTATCTTTTTTTTTTAATCTTTGTAGGAAGAGTGAAGTTGAATATTATGCCATGTTGGCCAAAACTGGTGTCCATCACTATAATGGCAACAACATTGATTTAGGAACAGCTTGTGGAAAATATTTCAGAGTGTGCACACTCAGTATCACTGATCCCGGTAAGTTTTCCTATTTATAATTGCATTTTTTCTTTTTCTCTCTCATTTTCTTGTTTGGTTCATTTATTTATTTTCATCTGCATGTTAAAATACAATTAATATTGACTCTTATCAATTCGTGTGCACACAGATTTTATGCTAATCAATGTTTTCCCAATGAAATATCTTTGATATATTTAAGTAATGCCATGAGCTTAGATCTGTCTTTATTAAAAAATATTGATAACTTGTTTTGGTGCTTATATGTTTTATGTTAAGTGCAACATTTTTTTTTTTTTTTTAACGAATTAAAAATCTAGACACTAGAATAAACCACAGCAAACATTTCTGTTGTATTAATATCTGGAGAGGCTGTGGGACAATTCTGTGAATTTGGTATCTTCGTGGAAGTAGTAAGCTATGCAGAATTGGGCATTGTTTTACATTATTTAGCTTAATATTTTTGGTTGTGACTTGTGCCACTCCGAAAGAAAGAAAGAAAGAAACCTTGTCTAAGAATTACACTAATTCTCTGTCTTTATTTTTACACCATTGACTTTTGAAAGGTTTTGTAATTTTACTTTTTACAAGACTAGCTTAAACTAACTTTTGACCATGTTGGCTAACTATATGCCAAACCTGACCTAGTTAATTCAATGTAGTTTTTCCATTCCTCACTAAAAATTACTGTTCAGAAATCACTTCATTGTGTTGTTTGGCTGCTATCAGGTTTTTAAATGTTCTCATAATTCTGCATTGAAATATTTCACATTTTCTCTTTTTAGGTGATTCTGACATTATCCGCAGCATGCCCACAGAACAGCAGGTTGCCTCTTAAATAATGTAATCTATCTCAAGTGAATTAAAAAAAAAATCATACCATAATTTAATCTTTGTCTTTCTTTGCCATGTCTAATGGCATGCAAAATGAGTTTTGGAGGTGCAAATCGAATGTCTAAACACCATGATTTAGCAAACATTGGTATCTGGACAGATTTTGCAAGATATTAAGTTTCATTTATAACCTTGTGGCTATATTGGTGTTTTTTCTCACTCCTAGCATGTGCACACACACAATATCAGTCTTTTGAAGGTTATTTAAAGTCAAAAAATATTTTGAATTATAAAAGGTTGCTTACAGAATCCAATAGCCTCTCTCTTCAGTAATCAACTGAGAACTGGTGTTTTCAGTTTGGTGTAACAAAAACAACACAAAAATGTTGGTTCTTTTAATCTTTTTATTCACGACATGTAAGTTTTGTATTTCTCCATTTAAAACAGATGAAAATATTTTGTTACAAATAATATACTGAATGGCATCTTCAGGCTGTAACCAAATTAGTCTGAATTCAAAAGACATTGGTCCAAAGTCTTGTCTGTTAAGTGCTTGAGGGAAGTATTTATTCCATTAGATGTTTGGTTGTATTTTATTGGTTTCTGTCTGCAAAAAAATCAAAATAGAGGGTGTGTTTTTTTTTTTTAAGAGTGGGGGAGTAAAAATTGTTTGAGAACAAAACTGATCCATGTCAACAATACTGAAAAATGTTTGTCTTCCTGTCAGTACTGAATAGTACAAAATCAATCTTGTAAAATTCTCAATTAGCTGCTATGCTATTACTTTATAAAACTTGCTTAGAGTTAATCATTAATTATTGTCACCAATTACACAAAACTGATTTAGTATTAAATTCTTGCCAATCATTGTTTATTTGAAGAAAATACATACCTCTTGGTAACTTCTTTGCTCTCTGATCTGTTAAGAGGGAGGGAGAAAAAAAAGTATTAGATGCAAATATTTGCTGTTTTTTTTTTTGTTTTTTTTAAATGAGAAGTATGCTTGTTATAGTTTCTTTGGCATTCTGCAGTTTGGGGTGTATTATTTAGAAGTAGAAACATGATTTCCTTTTTATACACAGCCTTCTCTCTCATTGAGGAAGATTATAACTACTAAAACGTTAAAGGCAATTTCATTTATTTTATGGCTTTTTTTGGAAGTTATTTCATCCCAAGCAAGGCAATAAAGACAAAAGGTGAGTGAGAGAAAACAAAGGCACAGGAATTAAGACAAAAGTTTCCTTTATTTTTGTGTTAAAATTCTTACTGATCAAATTGTAAATGCTCAAAGTTACTTTCATGAATAATTTATGAAACAAAAGGTACTAAAACATCTGTCTTAACTAAATGCCAAATGTATGTTTCCAATGTATTCTATAAGAGACATAAACAAGTGGAGAAACTTTTTTTTTTTTTTTTTTTTATAAGAAAGTTGCTTTTCTAACAACTTAATTCCATTTTTCTCAAGTTTGATGAAATAAAAATTGATAGCTTACGCGTGGAACGTGCCGATACAATGCTTCCATCAGAATCATCTGAAAATTCCCAACCATAACTTTCCGTTTTTAAGTCAACCAAGTTTTGACTATTAGTAACATCCTAGTTTTGCAAAAACAAAAATAATCAGTTCTGTATGATATACAATATCATCAGTTAGGCAAAATTATTTTCTTTCAAAGTGATAATTATTTTTACTCCATGATATATTAACATCACCAAAAACAAAAATGCAAAAGATTTAGATTTTTTTTTATATATATATAAAACAAATTTTTTAAAATTCTGATGTTTGATCAGATTTTGGGAAGTTTATTCTAACTTTTTATCTTGTATGAATGTCTTATACCTGTTCTTGGAGTGGCAAGCTGCTATTGATGGAGAAATTATCGCTGTTTGTGGATGTTCTCAAGGCTGGAATCTGGTTAGATAGTGGAGGGGCTGATGATCTTAGGCGGCCTGTGATTGGTGAATTAGCTCGAATGGGTTCTTGACTGGCCAAAAAAGAAAATTGATAAAAGTTAACAATTTCTTAATGTATTCAGTCTTTAAATGCTTTACTTGCTATTATCAAAATACTTTTATCATTTTTCAAAATATTGCTAAAATTTTATATTAAAACAGGGCATAGGTTATTACTTGAGATATCTGTCAAAGTGCAATGATGACTTTTGCTTGTGAATTTGGGCTCTGAGACAAGGAGGCACAGTGAAATAATGGGTAGCAGCTTGGGTTGAGGAATTGAAGAGTCGAGTTCAAATTCCAATCAAGTCCATTACATTCCGAAAAGGTATGAATCCTCTTCTCCCTCCAGCTATGGGTAAATAGCAGGACAGACCAGGTTCTATAGCCTTGGATGGCAACTGGTCTACTGCAGAAAGAAAAGGCAACCTACTGTGGGGGGGGGATCTGCCTTGTCAGTCATGTATTGAAAGATACATGATTGCCTAAGCATATACCATGCATGGCACATAACTGTCTGATTGGGACAGTTTAGTAAATAATTACATTCAAATTGATATAAATCGGAATATTGTATTAATAAATGTTCAGTTTGTCTATTCTTTTATTGTAGTTATATTTACTTTAGAAGAAATTGGCATACTCTAGAAAATTTAATCGGTTACCAGCACTGAGAATGTACAAGTTGTATGATGGTTGTCAGTGCTGAAATTGAAATCAACAGCACAAATTCAAATTCTGACAGAGAAGGGTTGCATTTACTTTTCTTGGGAAATGCATGAATCCATTTATTCTCCCCCGTGAGAAATGGGTTAAATAGTAGAGAAAACTTTGTTCCCACATTCAACCTGTCTACAAATTAAGACTAAAGACAGCATGAAAACACTGCACTACCTTTCCTTGAGAACTGTCATGGCAATTAGAAATAAAAAATCTCTGAAGAGACATGGCATTCAAAAAAAAATCTAATGAATATTTACATGTTCATTAGACCTATGCAGAGTGGAAAATATAATCTCATGAGTTCAATTCCTGTGCAGATTTAAAAACCAATATTCATAATTATTAAAGAAATGAGCCCTGATTATGCAAAAAGATACATGTTTTTGTCTAAGTGGCCCTTTCTCTGTCACAATATCTTTGATTCATTGTTATACATTATTAAAGTCTTGAATTATCAAAGAGAGGAATCGCAACCAAAATAGGCAATTATTAAAAAGTCATTTCTATATAGTTTGATACTGGATAGGACTTAGGGTTTGGTGTTTGTGTGTGCTTTGCATATTTTTTTTTTTTTTTTTTTTTTTTTTTTAGCAGTTGAGCTGAAATTTTGCATATAGAACTTACATTATATAAAAATTAAACCCATTCAACTGAAGGAACTCTTCTCCAGAGACCGTTGACCTTGGGCAATACCTCTCCTTTGGGTGAGGGCTAGGATTAATTGCTGGTGCCTGAGGTGTTCCCAGAAGGGAGAATGTTGAGTAATGAAGCTTATAAATATCTACGATGGACTCCCTAGTCCAATGTAGACATAGGAATCTCACTTTAAATTTTGCCTTGTGCTACATTACCTCCCAGAAAAAAAATCAGTCAAATCATAGAGCTGAAATATGACTATGGATAACTCTTAAAGAAACTAAACACTCCCAGATTGTTTGTATTTTTTGTTTTCTTTTACCTATCCACTAAAGACTACTTGTAAAGCATGACGTTGCACATACACCAAGATACACTGCTGTTGATAATACAATGTTCCAAGTTATACTGCCTTACAGAACTAAAGAGCTCTAATTGCCTCTACTCTTCATTTATATCTGGGGGGAGAAGTGGATTTATGCCTCTTCAAGCCAGTAGTGCAAAGTGAAAACAAACTGTCCCAACCAGAGTTTGAACTCTGAATTCTATTATCAGCACTGTTAACCATTAGGTCACACACTTCCAAATAGTAATTACCAATTATTAAAAATGGTCAGTGATGTGTGTATGAAAATGTATATCCATTAAATATAATATTTAAATTAATCTAGTATGTAGCCCAGAAGACAAAAATGTATCTACTAAAATGGATATCCACTAAAAATAAAGTTTGAAGTAATTGAAAAAAAAATGTCAGGTTAATTATAAAAATCTGTTAATTCTTTAGAAATTGCTTTGTTTATATTTTGAAAATGAAATCAAGTAAATATGGCCTTTCAAGAAAATCTGAATGGGGGGGTGCATTCCGTAAAAGGACAAATAGAAATTTGCTAGGCTGTGACACTGTGTCCTAAAGGCATGAATCGACTGTTTAAAAATGGAACATCTATTCAAACAGGTATCTGCTGAAAATAATGTTTGAAGTAATAACAATATAGTGTTTTGTTTGTTTTTTTTTTTTTTTTTTCTTCTGACAAGAATCGTTGCAGAAGTTGAAATTTCAAAGAAATCTCATGCTCAGAATATGAAGTTAAAAAGAAGATTAACAAAATTATTTTTAAATAACTCACATGGTAACAGATTTGCTGAGAAATGTATGGTTCTCTTGTAGTGGGGGTTGTGGACTAGGAGTCCTCCCAAGAGAATATGTTTCACCTGAAAGAAAATGTCAAACATTAACAGAACACAATACTTAACCATTTCAACACAAAAAATGTTCCATGATTTCTAAAATCATTAACAAAAATCACTAAACACCTCAGTCTAAGAAGAACGGCAAGATATAAAAATGATTAGATACTATACAAATATTACTAATTTTAAAGTTAATGGGCTCACTAAAAAGATGGTATTGTATAGGAAAAATAGATTTATAGAGAAGGGTCATATTTTTAGTAGGAAAGCATTATTAGAAGCTCTTTGAAATACTGAAGTTTTGTGTAAAACAGTGGTTCTCAACCTTTTTTTACCCATGGACCATTTTTATTTACTTTTTTTTTTTTTTGTTGACCCCCATAACCATTTGATGAAGAATAGCTTATTTTATTTTTACTATTAGATAAATTTAGGAATTGTATTATAGAAATAGTAAATGTATATATATATATATATATATATATATATGCATCCTTTATATATAATCCTTATTTAATTTATATATTAAATTAATTTTATTATTAATATTTAAAATTGATATTATTATTATTAATATATTAAATTAATTTATAAATAAATTATAATCTTTATATAATTTTCCTTTATATGTCAAATGTTGTAACAACCATTCTGAAGTGAAATTACTCTGGACCAGTAAAATATTACTCCCCACACACATCCAAAAAGAAAATTGCTATTTTTTTTTTTTTTTTTTTTTGTGTGGACCCCCAGTAATGTTACACAGACCCTGCCTGTTTGAGAAACACTGATGTAAAAAAAAAAATTAAACTTATCTAAAGAGAGTTCCATATAATATGCTTTCATTTAATTTCCTTTTTCACCTATTAACGTTTTTTTCTTTTCTATATATTAACCACTAAATACATATGGATACAAACAGAATAGCTAATTTTTGCCAAGTTTGTTTATATTTTTATTTCCAAGCTTGTAGTGGCTAGAGACTTGAAAAGAGAAATTAGCAAATCAAGTTCAAATACCAGATTAGTTTGTTACATTCACTTTTGCACAAATAAGGAAATGTATAAATCCATCTCTTCTCCCCTTAAATATGGGTTAAATAGCAAGGTTGACTAGGCTCTCTCAACTTGAGGTGGCAACCAGTCTAGGAGAAGAATATTGGTCAATCTTTAACTTTTGTACTCACAATAAAACTGTCAAAAGGATGGTTTTTCACTTGATGCTACTATTATTTTAATTACCTTCATTCCCTTGCCAATGTTTTGTTGTTTTAAAAAGCAATGATTGGAATTTTAATAAAACCCAAACATATAAAAGTGGTTTTATATATTTTCTTTGAGAATTTACAACAAAAATATTAAACACTATTAGATTGTTTATTTACAAGAAAATTTCATATTTACAACATTCTAAAAATTCAAAGCAAATAATACAATGTGATGTTTATTAATTTATAAAAAATGTCTGGACAAGAAAATTTAAATAAACATTATCTGTTTATATTTTCTTGACAAATAACTAATTTTGAAAAAAATGCATTTTCCAGATATTTCTTTCATGCAGCAATTCATTGATATTTTTATAAAATTAGGAATAAAAAATTTCGTTTTCATGATTATTTATAAAATGGTTAAATAATAAATATTACATTGTAGATGTTTTACATATTTTGATCATTTTTTTTAATAAAAAGATTTCTTTTCACATTTATTTCATTATAAAATTGTAAATGATAAATATCTCATTGTACTTGATACACATATTTTTATAATCTTGTAAATAAATAACTGCCAAGGGAGTGAAGGTAGTACAAAATAATAGCAGTGCCAAAGGAAAAATTGTCCTTTTGACACACCATTTTTTGCAGGCATGAAAGTTAAAGTTTGCTGAAAATTGAATTCCAAACCATTCAGAAAAGGGATAGGCTCTATCAGATTATCTTGCCCTAGACACACCACTACTGCCTGCCATACATGTGCATTTATGACTCTAATAGGTTGCTTATGGCATGATGATAATCTCAGGCAGCAAGAAAAAATTTTGACTGGATTAAACCAGTGATCAACAAACTACAGCCCACAACCTGGCCTAATGTGATATTTCATTCACCCAGCATATGTTATCTGAAATAGTAATTTTTTTTTTTAACATCTGACTATATTTCTGAGATGAGGTATTGTAGTTATTTACACAATTTACATCATTTGGACTGTTGTCCATCTTTATTGCCATATTCACAATGTTTCGCCGGTTGTATGCTCCAGCATTCTTCAGCTGATATATGTTGGAATTTCAAATCGAAGCCTTTATTCAGTCCACAGGGACAGATTTTTTTTTTGTTCCCTCTGCTCTTTGGGTCAAGTCACATTTTGGATTACTTCAACCAACACTTTTATCCAGTGGGCCAGTGGATAAAAACATTTGTTGAAGTAATAAAGGGGTTGGTTCAAAATTTCATCATATACCACCTGAAGAAGGCTGGAGCGTATGACAGTCTGAATGGTGTAAATAATCATTTTTTTTTTTTTTTTTTTCCTTTAATATTATTATTTATAAAAAACAAAAGTTTTTGATTATGTATCACTGTGGACCTCTCAATAGATGTACAATTAGAAGTGACCGACCTTGTAGTCTAATTGATATTTGCTGAAAGACAAATACAAAGGAAAAGTTACTTTTGGTAGCCTTCTAAAGAAAAGCAAGATAACAATTTTCTCTTTATGTTATAGCTTCATGAAAAAAAAGAGTTTATTTTACAATTCAGTCATTTACAGCTACTAAAGAATGAGTTTATATTCACTAATATACAGAACTTAAATAATGGATATTTTCTACAGACTTACCATCAAAATGTTTAGACTTCCAATTTGGCATTTTCTGAAATGGAAAATATGAAATAAATAACAATTATTCATGCTATAAGTTGCTAAATCTACCAACCTCAAATCCTAAGACTTAAATATCAATTATTAGGTTGTTTGAAAAATAATGTCTGAGCTTAGATTCAACTTCTACTCCTGAATTAATGTATTTAAATCAGTCAAAACACTGAACATCTACACATTTCTGCCATCAGGTTACAAGATTATTTATCACTTTACAATAAAACTCCAAAGCTTTGAACACCAAGAAATCTTTGAATGCTGTTTCTGGATCTTCTTTGCAATAGAATGTCTTTTGGCTTAAAAAATTATCAAGATACTTGAAAAGGTGGTAGTCAGTGGGCAAGAGATCAGGGGAATATGGTGACTGTGGTAAAGTCTTGTATATCAAGTTAGTGAGCTTCTGCAGTGTCATCCTGGAAACATGTGGCCAAGCATTATCATGAAGCAGAATTCAACCACATCAATTAACCAGTGCCAGCCTCATTTTACTTAACTGAATGTGCATTCCAAACAGATGCCAGCAGTGACACTCTAGTTAGATTCCAGGAAGTACTAATGGATAACACCAATGGTAGACCACCAAACTGCTGGTGCAATTTAGGTTTTGGAAAGTCTGAGTCTTTCATCATGATCAAGCCATTGAGCTGGATGCTTACGATTGTCATTAGGATCCATTTCCCATCACAAGTTACTATTCAATCAAGAAATGAATCATTCAAATTTCGCAGATGCAGTATCAAACAGACATTGAACACTTTGACTTTCACTGAGTGCATATGGAAGCCATTTATCAAGTTTCTTCACCTTGCCAATTTACTTGAAATGCTGACACCCATTATCCGAGACATTTCTCTGACACTTTGATGTGGGTTTTGTTTCACTATTGTTTACAGATGTTGATTGTCAATTGCAGATGGACAACCTCCACCATCTTGATTTTCAAGACTTGTATCTCCACTGTGAAATTTCAGAAACCAGTGCTGTAATGTTTAATCACAAGTGGATCCTTCAGCCCTTCCTCTCTTAATGTTGATTGTAGTTTGAGAAGCATATAGAAGGAAAAGAATGTGAGAAGCAAAGGAAAGAAATAATCTTCAAACAGCTCTACAAATTTAAATAATTTTATTATTAAGTATAAAAATAATTTTTGTTTTCTTTTAAGTTGAAAGAAACAAGTTATAAATTCCTCACAAAGTACATACAAAAAATGATTTTTTTTTTTTTACAGCACAAAAGAAATGAATTGTGTTTGTAGAGGATGAAACATATGTTATAAAATAAAATAAGACATATCTCAGCTGATTTGCAGACAAATAAACTAACATACTCAAGAGCGAGAGCCGGATGTGAACAGGACAAGACCCCGTCACAAAATGACCATTATCGTTGTTTACGCATTAGGCCTGATGCACGAGTTCCAGTCAAAACATAAAATAATATTTTAAAGTGTTTCTATTTTCAACCAATAAAAATTCTTCCCTCCTAATTATACTCGCGTCGTTTTACGAGCCTGTTAAGCCATAAAAGGGGTCACACGGGGAAGTACAAGAGGCCAAGGAAGAGACCTGTCACGGTCAGTCAGCAGGAGGAGCGCCAGGCGAACCAGTGTAATCTACTATGAGGGATCAACCCAGACCGGGAGCCGGCTTATGAACTATACCACAAGGTAGCTGTCCCAAACCCACATGTTCCTATTGAAATAAATCACATAAATCTATTTCTGCTGTTGTCGTATTTCCTTCTTGCAACCATATGCTTGTCTATAACACATATGAGTGAAATGTCATGGGAAAGCCAAAATCTACATTCTGTTATGTGTGTAGTGTAAATAATAGTAGCTGTCAGCCAGTTAATATCAGTGCAAGTACAGCTTTTACAACTACACCTTGTTTATGTGTTGCTTGGGTATTTTCATAATATAAACTGTGCAAATTGGTTTATGAAAATACTTTAAAAGCAAAAAATAATTTACAAAAAGGAACTTTAACACTCAATAAGTTTTTTTGAGGAGGCTAAAATTTGAGAAATCAGTACCATTTACATCCTGGAAAAAATCAGATCATAGGAAGTTAAGTTTTACTGGTGAATAAATATATTTCCCAATTTTTAAATCCACTTTTCCTTGAGTTCTGTCACTAGATATCTTGATGAAATATTTTACCACTGACATAACTCAATGGCTGCTGGAGAAAAAGTAAGAACTTGTGCAAACACCTTCCTATAACTATCTACCCATATAGTAGTAGGAAGAAAAACTCTTACACACATAGTTAACCTTGACTGATGAAAAATCAGATTAATCATGGAGCAAAATAAGCATGTGGTTCTTCTATGTGCTGTGTCCCTTGAAGACATGGGCAATCATGGTTCTCCACAATTTCCTATCCTTTGTAGCTCTTAGTAATTTTTTTCCTTTCACCGTCACTGTTCTGCCATCCATTTACAAAAGTTCATTAGGCAGGTTATTCACTGCTTTTCTTTGTCCCTCTTGTGTTCAATATGTCCTATGCATATCAAATTCTCCAACCACTATTTTCTATTGTGTCCTAAAAATTTGAATTGTGTCTTTCTTATTCTAAGTATAAGTGACATTTTGTTTCCATTTTCCTTAAAACTTACTCATGACTCACATGTTTAATTCAAAGTATTTTCAACATTCTTTGTAAAGCCACATTTCTGCTGTCTCAAGTCTCCTCATCTGTGAGTCACTGATATTATATAACAGTGAACCACTCTATTTTTATTTCTGTTTCAGCATATGATTAGAGTAATAAAAAAAGTGGGTACTACAGTTCGTTCATAAATAGTGTTTTTCTATTTTTGTTGTAAAATCTCAAGAGCAAAGAAAATATATAAATTCATTTTCATATGTTTAGGTTTTATTAAAATTCTAATCATTCCTTTTTAAAACAATAAACACTGCCAAGGAGTGAAGCTAGTTAAAATAATAGTGATGTTCAGGGAAAAACCATATTTTGGACACACCATTTTTTGTGGGCACAAAGGTTAAACATTGCCAAGTTAGATATTTTAATTACAGCTATATAAGGTGTTATTAATTTACCTGTATTAACTCTAATCCGAGTTGTTATGAGGAGAGATCCAAGGGAGATAATATTGCTGAGTTATGTTTACAGTATCAGTTGATCTAAATCTGACCTCAGGAAAATCAATTAAAAAATTTAACTCAGACAAATATAGGTACTACTTGAACAAGAAACATGTCCGTGTTCATATTCATTAACATGATGTATTTTTAGTTCCACCAGTTCAGACTTTTTACTACTGCCAGGACATGCCATGCCACTTCCGAGGAGTCATATAATTCTTATTTCCCCCATGTTCCAAATCTTAGAAGAAAGTTCTACTCAGACTGCTTTTTCTCAATAACTCCTACTTTGTGAAACAGACTCCTGCATGGGTGTTTCCCTGAACACTTTAATCTTACCTCTTCAAGTCAAAGGTTAATTGTTATCTGTCCTCCTTATCTTCATGATCTCTTCCTACCACTTTCTCTTTCATTTGCATCACACACCTCATTCATCATTACCATTTCAAAGCTTATGGATATATGTTGAATCACCAATTCTTGTATGATCACCAAAATTAAGTAACATAAAGCTGGATCAGTACCTAGATGGGTGACTGCTTGGGAATACCATGTGCTGTAAGCTTGGATGTGCAGGTGGTGTAATGGATAATGGCTTGGAATTAGAAATCAGAGAACCAAGTTCCAATTCCAGTTAAATTCATTATATTCATTTACAGATAAATACCCTTGGGTAAAAGTATGAATCCACCTCTTCTCCACCCCCAGCTATGAGTTAATTAGTAGGATTTGTATCAGCAAATCATTGTTATATCAAAAAAGATTTTTACAGTATAAAAAAAATATATTTCTGGCTTTAAATAACCTGGAAAAAGTTGATAAGCCATACAAAAACAAATCAATCATTTACCATTTTAACTGTAATTCTCTACCTTGAGTGGCTCTTGAGCCTTGTATTTGGTGAAATTAATTTTTAAAAAAGAATAAAACGAAAATGTTTTAAAACACAGCATTCATGCCAAGAGTAAAAAATAAATATTCTACATTGTTTGAATGCTCAAATCACTTCTTTGTCTATTTACTGTTGCCTTCAGATGGATATGTTAAGGGCAACATGAGAAAATTAGCACAAAATTGGAAGTTCAAGAATAAGAAGAAAATATACAAGTTAAATTTCTTACTTGTGTGCTTGATGCCACCTGAGAAGCACTATCAAAGTCATCATCACTATCATCAAATCTTACAAGTTGATTTGCAGCTAATAAAAAAACAAACAGCAAATTATAATTTTAAAAATATGTAAACAAACAGATAAATAAATATCTATTCTTCAGAGCTTTCCACAATTTTGAAAAGTTTATTTTTTTAGGTAAATTTCATAAAATTCACAAAATTAAAAATTATAATTTTTTTAATGAATTTTATTACAACACCATTGCTTCAATGGCTTATACCAACATATAGACTGAGATGAATTAGCTATTTTGGTTATCATTACTCTTAATTTTCTATGCATGTAAATTCTTATGGTAATTAAAGCTACAGAAAAACAAATTTTAACTGAAGGTTTTTAAGCTTTGTAAATGATTAATAATATATGTTGAAGTAAAATCTAATAACAAACTTTCCAAATGTTATTGTAAATATTGATCTAATTCTAATTATTGCTTTTGTTATTACCATAACATTTTAATTAATCACGTCTACAATATTCTTAAGGAGTACTTACTATATAAAAAGGAAGGATCTCTTTTTCCTTTTTAATGCAAACAGAAATAAATAATTAAATATATAGAAAATATAACTCTTTCAAAGCAACACATATAAGACATGTGATTCCATATTGTATTCATCAGATTGCTCTCCATTTCTTTGCTATGCACAGAAATCCACACTAACTTAATCTATATATTTACTCATATAGCTTATTTTAATTTTCTTATCCACTTCTTTCCATACAATTTCCATTTAAAGAAGGCTGTATAATAGCTCAGCCAACACTGTGTTAACAATAAAAGCAACAAAAAGAATGTGATTAATAGTCTGAATAAATCTTGAATGATATTGATCTATCTCAAAATGGCAGGTGTATATTGTAACAAAAATGTATAAAATCTTTTACTTTTTTTTTAAACTTAAATAAAAGCTCCAAGTTTATTTTATATTGTCTGCTACAAATTTTCTTTTTAGCTTTTCACTTAGTAATATTTTCTAGTTTATTTATTACCTGTTGTCCGTCTTCCAACACTTTCTTGGTCATACTCAGAAAAATCATCAAATTGAGATATTGCTGAAAAAATAAAACATAAGTCTTAAGTTTGTTCAAATTTCTTAGATTATCAACTTATTATTGGTCTTGTCGGATAGTCTCCTAAAGGTAAAGACACAAGTTCTTTATTTCCAATCTATGCTGCTTATTTAACAATCATAAAATGAAAGTAAATGCAAGCTGATATTTGCAATAAAAAGGAACATAAAGGATAAAAGAAATTACTACTAGGTGCAAACAAGCAAGAGAAATAAGATGAAAGAAATACCAGTAAAAAATTAATAATAACGACAATGCTTCATCAAAGAAATTCAGACAATTTAAGACTGTTGCATCTACTTACTACTAGGTGTAAACAAGCAAATGAAATAAAATGAAAGAGATACTAAACAAAAATTAATAATGATACGGCTTCATCTAAGAAATTCTGACTATTACATCTTGTTACTACATGTAATATGTCTTTTGTTTTTGTACGCAATCAAAATCTTATTTACTAGGTATTGGCAGGCAACGTTAAAGACTTCTGTCTTACCTTTTTTCTCTCTAGCCAAATCCCTGCCTTATAAACATCTCTCTTAATAATAACTAGCAGCATGGCCCGGCACTGCCTGTGCTTGATTCAAAAATCGTACGACTCTTACAGCAATGGCTATCACTTGACTTAAAATATTTTTGCCCTTCCTCGCCTTTAAAGAAGTGCCCTTTGCTGTGCTGATGTTGCTACATGCCTTACTTCTTGCCTATCTCACACTGCGAATTTTTTCTAAGCTCTATACTAAACATTAAATCTGTTACGAAAAAAGAACTAAACAAAATGAATACAAAACGATCAGCTTTAAAACAGGACTCGTAACTGGAAAAACCGAATGAAAAAAGAATGTTAACAACAAATACTTTTTCACACCCAACCCAGTTCTGCGGAATCAGAATCAATGTTGAGTTTAAGCAAGTGAATGAGCCAATTGGAGTAAAGTGCCATGCAGATTTAAATTTTTCCCACTTGTGACGAATGCAGCTATCGATTTTTTTTGCATGCTAGCATGCTAGGTAACATTCATGTCAGTCACGCTGGCCAATAGAATGTTCCTGCCTATTCGCGGCAGCCAGCTATTGGCTCTCACTCTGGCCAGTACAAAATGGCTGCAAAGTACATGAAAACTGCCATAGAAGCATGAAAAAATTGATTATTTCCACTATCGATGGAAGTTGGGAAATGCAAAGTTGGTCTTGGCCTTCCAGCTAACTTGGAACATGTGCATGTAAATTTTGGTGCAAATCTGTCGAAAATTGCGGCCGTGCATTCATTACACACACACACACATCCTGCCTTTTATAGATAGAGATTTTAAAATAATTCAGCAGACAATGTTATTTTATTTATGGTAACTGAATTTTTGGCAATTGCTTTACTTAGTTTCCATCATTCAATACTGTGCATCTGAAAAATGGTGATTTTATCCCAGTCACCATCTTTCTCAGCCTCCATTCTTATCAGCTTAATCTGATTCTCTCTCTCCACTTCTATCTTCCCTTTTTGCTTTCTTTCGTTTTCTCACAAAAACCAAGTAGTGTCTTTTCCCCTCTTTCCATGCAATCAAAATGGAATAGTTCTTTGTTTATGAGGTATTAGCAGAGTGTAATGGTTGTGTGAACTAATGAAGGGAGGGACAAGCACAATTATAATAGGATTTCTTCTCAATGCTGTTGTCCTTTCAAAATGTAAAAGTTAAAATTATTTTTACTTACCAGATCCAATCTCACTTGGAGCAGCTCCCGAGTACAAACTGAATAAAAATCAATATACATTTGGCATTAGTACAACAAAAAGTTGCAAAAAAATATCATGTGTGTCTATAACATATAAGTTATATACAGAGTCCACCAAAAAAATGTATATACACTTCTAGAAAGGAAAAACTTGTACAAATATTGTAATACTAAATTTATTCACACATCGTAAGTTACCTTTGGACTCTACACAATCACAAGAGATGCTCAAAATGGTGGCCTTTAGCTTCCAGATATTTATTAGTATGGCAAACTACTGCTTGGGCAATGTTAGCCAAAGTGTCCAGTGGGATTGCAGCATATGCATTTTCAATTTCTTGTCTAAGGACTGCCAATGTAATGCCATTTGTTGAGAAAATATCATACCACAGTAAACAGTGTTATTGCAATTTGATAAAATTACAAAAGACAGGATTTTCCTTTCCTGAAGTGTGCATACATTTCTTTGACCAACTCTGTATATATCAAATCTCCAATAGAAAAAAACTTACTTGTAATTAGTATTTCATAAGGAAACTATAATTTAGATTAATTTCATTCTTAGTCTATTTAACAAATAATGATCTGAGGATATTAGAATAAGGATGAAAACATTAACAAAGTTAAGCATAATTCTTGTTTGTTAATCAAATGCTCAGTAATGTGACATCACTGGATGTACAACAAAACTCAGATAAAAGAATGACTGAAGAAATGTCATAAATGTGTTAAATAACTTTTTGGTTCTTCTGACTCTATTGACAAACTGAAAACAAATATTTTATCTTTAATTTTAGTAATATAAATAATTATTTGCAAGAAAGTTAACTTTATCCATTGTTTTTTTTTAAAGTTTTCTGATGAAAAAGGCTTTTAAACAAATCTGGAACTATATTATATATCTTTATATAAGACAAAGTTAAAAGAATTTTGTTATCACTGAACAATATAAAAGTAACTCACTTGATATTGAGCTTTACTTGAGCATCTTCTTCTCTATGACGCAATGTCTGAAAATAAACGAAACAAAACATGAATAAAAAGCAGAGTTAATACTTTCCCTTAAAATAAAATATTACATTTCAAAATAATAATCATAATATGATCACTTCATACTAATATCATACATCCAATGATATATTTACTTGATACGTATCTTATTTTTTTCCTTACATATCTAAGCTATAATAATAAACTATGATTTTGGAAAGTGAAAATTTCACTAAAATATGTTTGGAAATTTCCAAGTTTCCATCTGAAATCAAGAAAATACAAACTTTAAGTAAAATGGTCATAATATACAGGTTGCATCAAAAATACCACCCATATATACATCCCACATAATGGTAAGACATTAGTTAGATGAAGACATCATTACCATTATGTGGAGGTATTTCTACCATACCCTGTATATAAAAAAAGTTGTCAGTTTAAACGGATACCAGGAGAATATGGATTGTCTTTCTTAAATAACACATTTTCATTATTGATTTTGACAATTTTTTTCTTTTCATCTGTATTATCCTAATGATCAAGTCCTTTTACACTTTACAATAATTAAGTAAGCAGCAAAGATCAGAAATAATTTTTTTTTAATTTTTCCATTTCTCTGGGGTAAGGCTAATTTGACTGACTATTACTACTGCGTAGTGAGTTCAATCTTCACTGGGTGACCCCATACAAAATTTAAGAATGAAATAACAAAAGTTGACATATTGCAAAATGAATCAACGAGTCAACAATCATTTTTCTATTTATATATTACAAGGTTACAAGAGCATAGTTACAAAAAGAGTTGAACTTACTACAATGGTAAGGTACCGGACAGGGTGATTGTACCATTGAAAGTAATAACAAGTTGACTTTTAAAACTGATCGCTATCATCCTCTCAGCATAATTTGATATTTCTGTTTGGGGTTGGACATTATTTATTATCACCTCCTTTCAATTACCAATTATCAAATTAATGGTAAAGGTATTTTTCTTTTAAGGTTTATTTCTTAATCATTTACTATCCATTTATTTGTCTCAAGAAATATTTGACTCACTTTTTGCATTATACTATTAAAATATCAGTTTTGCCTTCTTAATGCCCAACATAAAATCTGATAATTACAAAATAAAAGTTTGGTATTAATTATAGGTTTCTATCTATAACCAATTAATATGTTAATAACATTCATAATAAAAAGTAAAAGAAAAACAACTTACCTTACTTAGCTTATAACCAACTGAAGGCAGCTTATTAACACCTTCTGATATCAAGTCAGCAGGATTTTCTATAGAAATATAGAAAATAAAATATCAAGTAAAAAATATCTGTAGGTCTTTTGGTGGAAGGACAAACTGAAAGAACAAAGACAAACATGAAATTAAAATTGTTCTAATAACAAATCCTTAACTGACTTATGCATTCTTTGGAGATGAGTTGGATGTTCAGCTGGTACAATGGTTATTGGCACTAAAAATGAAATCAGCAGACCAAGATCAGCTTTAGTTTGTTGTGTTCACTTCAAACTAATCCTTACAGGAAATGCATGAATCCATCTCTCCCCTTTGCCCACCAGCTATGACTAAATAGTAGGATAGACTGGGTTCTATGTCTTGGTAGGCAACCAGTCTAAATGAACAAGAAAAGGAAGCTGAGAACTAGAGACAAAAATTACTCAAGCCTCCTCAATACTTCCTTTTTCTGAGGACACCTCAAGCACCATATAATTAAAGACCCTAGTTCTCTCCTGAATGAGAGATATTGCCTGGGTGTACAGTACACTGAGGCTTGAGTATCTATTATTATTAAATTTTAATGCCCGTCTGGGTCCTTTATTTACAAAATAGGCTATTTTGCCAGTCCCAGTAAAACAGACACCAAGGTTATTTTGCCAGTAAATATAATTAGTGTTTTAAAACTTAGAATATATTATATTTGAGATTGTCAGTGCAGTGGTTGCGTGAGCTGTGCAGGCAGTACTTGAACAACATGGATTCTGTGGTTTGTGACTGTTGTCTTCAGTGGGTGCATCTGAAGTGCATTGGCAACAGAACCATGCCCAAAGCAAGTTTTGGGTTTGCAGCAACTGTTATTCCTGAAATGCTTAAAATATTCAGAGACTTCTAAATTTCTTTTAATAATTGATGATGAATAAATGATTTTAACTTGCGTTTTAACAATTGATAGTGGAAAAGATTTTAAATTGTCTTAAGACAATGATGGTGAAAATAAACTTTTCTGTTCAAACCGTGTATTGTTATTTTTAACATTACCTACCTTCATAATAATAAAAATATTTACTGGCAAAATAGCTTGGGGCCTATTTTACCGAGACAGGTAAAATAAGCTTAAAAGCATGTTTGATTATTTTAACAGGACCGATAAAATAGCCTCTTCCTTTATTTTCACTAGTAGCATTAGCTGCAACAGTTTTCATTACTATTATAAATTGTCTCCCTTGGTATTACAATGTATTATTAAAATAAATATGGAACAATATTTGAACTTAATTACAGTTTAGAATAGAGCGTTCCTGGCAATTTTCTCCCGGTGCAGATTTAATAAACAACCAAAGGTATCATCTTTTTACTTGTTATTAAAATATCAGTGCTAATGAGTAAAATATATTATCAGTAAAGCTTCCTAAAGTTTTTAAGACTAACAGTAGACTATGAAAAATATATGAATGCTTGCAACAGCTGATTCTGTTTGGCCAATTAAGAGCAGAAATATAATAAGAACATGTATATGTAAACAGTTATGAAAATAAAGCAGCAGCCATTGCAGATATTGGTTTTCCCTATTTTGTAGAGTCTATCAAGAGTAATATTGATATACCAAGCAGTTCAACTGCACTATCTGCATCTTCATAACCACTTTCTATTGCTGTCTTGGATGACATTGTAGCATGGTTTCCATTTTCTTTCAAAATTTTCTCAAGATTTTTTTTATGATTCTCTGCAATGGCCTGTTTGTTGCTGATACGCCTGAAAATTAAAAAAAGATAAAAGAGATATTTAAGAAAGAGTGTCTGTTACAAAGAATTCAAGAATACAGAGATACAGATATATACTTGGTTAAGCTATTTTAATATACTTTGCAAAGATATTCTGGGGTGCATCATCAGTGAGGTTAATACTGGGTTCATTGATAGTTTTGGGTTTCAATATCATCACATCTGCCATCATTGATCATGTGACATGTAATTTCTTCTTTTTTTTAGTCACATGGATAAAAGATTGTGAACCAAAATCATAATAAAGATATTCTCACTGAATTAAAAATTCTTTTGTCTTCTTTCTTGGAATTGCTCTGTTACTCTTAGTTAATTTTTTGTGAAGCATATGACCCCAACCACACCAAAAGATACTGTTTTGGAGTCAGTAGAATTTTTAAGGGGTTGGGTTACTAAGCCTGTAAGCCAAAATGGATTACTTTATAGGACTACTTTCCCATACCTTAATAAGTCAGCAGCAGTTAGAAATTTCTCTCAAATTCTTGTTTTTGACGAAGAGTGGTGGTGGAACATCAAAATAAATGATGCTTTTAACACATAAGTTAAGGGGGACACATTAAATTGATGTAAGTGAAATATTTACAGTACTTATATTTGAAATCACATACAAAAAAGATATTTGCTATTTATTATGTTATAATGAATCAAATGTATAAATTCAAATAAAATAGAATTTATGAATTGAATGCACAAGTTTGAAATGCAAGCAAATCTGTGAAGGTTTCTAGCAGTCTTATAATCTTTAAGAAGGAAATGTAGTTTAAAGTTGAAAAAGAACTACCTTTATTTGAACAGAAAAAATTGGAGAAATTGGATTTGGTGAAATGAAGGTAAAAATTCAGGACACTGTCTAAATTTGTGTACAGGACTGATTTAAGAAGTTACAAAACTGAGTTGCTTCCCTTTGTAATTAGAGTTAGTCTTTTTTTGCTTTAAGCTATTAAAAGTATGTGCCATGCCTTGACATTTGGTTAAATACTAGTGACTTTTAACCAGTAAAATTATTATTGTGGTAATGCCTCATTCAGGTGTATAACAAGCAAAAGTGGGCAGAAAAAACAAAGGAACCTGGATGGAATAAAAACCAAGTGTGCTATTTTTACTTAAATATTTGTGTTCACTTTTACTTACCTATTTCTGTTTAGCGACATCAAGCTTTTCTGGTGAGGAGGGTGGCTAGACACCCAGCAGAATTAAAAACTAGACCTATCAAAGGCTGGATGAGCCTTGTTGTAGAGTCAATAGCCATCTAGTAAAATGGGGTGGACTGATGATGACACATCATTGCTAGGCAGTAGGCTTCCTAGACTGAAATCAATGGAGAGTTCCTCCAATGGAATCAACAACAATGTGTCCATGACCAAAGTGAGCATTCAAGTTGGAGAACATCAGCTGTGGTTTGAGCTGAAGGGGGATACTTCCTCAAGATACACTACACATGAATCACTATCTTCCAGGCTTTCAAATAAAATATGTAAAGGAAACAGTGACACTACAACCAGACCCAGTCATAGGACTGACTGATGATGATGATTGTTAATATTATTATTTTTTTCTTTTAAAAATTTCTGTATGTAGTATAAAACAACTTTTAAGTTGCAGGCATCTTAATAAGTGGACATATTTGGTGAAAAAATTAAAAAAAATGTAAGTTAACTTCTGCTGATTTATTAAGCACAGGAGAGCAAGGGATTCTAGCTGTGCTACTCTTTATTTACCCCTAGCCAGGGGAGAAATGGATTCATGTTTTCCCAATGGGCATTAGTGTAAAGTGAATGCAACATTTTTTAACTCTTAACATCCTGTACAGCACAGATATTTACAGCATTGCTTTGGCCAGCCAGACCTAAAACACGCAATACTGCACAAATAAAAACTAACCTTATTTACAAGTGATAGCCTCTCTAAAGTGAGGGTGAAAATTAATCCTTTCTTTCATTGTTCATTTTTCCATTCTATAATGTGCATTCAACATCATTTATGAATTTTCATCATCATCAGAACCTATAGTCCTGTGTTACAAAATCACAAATGAAGAGTTTTACCAAATAGTAAAAAGCACATCACATGAAGACTTCCAACAGCAACAACAACTAAAATGGATAACACATGTAACTAAAAGAGAAAATAATGATATAATCGAGATGTTAATTTTATGCACTATCATAAACAGAAAATTTGGAAGGAAACTCATTGGTATTAGAAAGAGCTATAACATGGACTTGAAAAGTATAATTTACTGAAAAAGTTTTGATAGAAAGATTTTATAAATTATTATATTATTATAAATAAGTGATGGTAACACTAAATGCCAAGTACTTCCTGTATGGAAACAATTAAATTTACAATTACCATTATCATTAATAGTTTCAATTAACTGATAATAATTTTTAAAAACTGATTATTTTATTAAAATTATATTAAGAAATCAGTTTTCATACATTTCACATTACAAGCTATCAGCAGACATAAATTTGCTATTGATGTCTTTACTGAGACAGCCTTATGCAGTGAGAAAGAAATATTTTTTTTCTTTGTATTAAAAATTTAAATATAAATTACCCAGTATACATTGGAGGTTTTATTGCTGGTTCTTCTTTGTAATATTTGTGTCGACTGGACATGACTGTTTCTTCTGACAGAATATCATCGTCTTTAATCTTTATTCTGTGAGTCACCTTTGGACCAGTGTAGCAGCCATCTTGAAATGAATCAACAGCTGTATCCTATAAAAAGAAACAATTCCTGTTTTTCTAATATATAAAACTAATTTTCTATATTTGTCTGTATGTAAAGTGTGTCACAAAATAAGACTTTCTTTTTTTCGGCAACTGAAATTTTGTGCTCAAAGAAACATGCATACTAGTCTTGATGGAACCATACTAACAATTGGAGACATGGTTATCTCAGATTTTACAGACGTTTCTTATGTGAAGTAGAAAGATTATATGAATTATGCATAGACATAAATATTTGCCTTTTTTTTGGAGTTCAATAATTGATTCAATGTTGAAGAAGTGGATCATGTGTGCTGCATTCAGAATTGTGCACAAGATGGCAAAGTTTGATTCTTTTCCTGAAAATATGGATTTGGTAGGTGTCCAAAAATTCTCCTGATTGCAATCCTACCAAAAATTTTGGAACCATGAAAGAGTGTATTGTAAATGTCATTCTGGACCTGTCTAAACAACATCATCATCATTATTGACTATATTTAACGTGGATGATTGGCAAAATTTTGAGAAATTAAAAGATAAACAACAAATGTTCAAACACTTCCTTGTTTTTTTGATGAGAAATCACTTAAAAATATTGATATTATGTTAAAGCTGATGTTGCTTGCAAAAAAATGGTTTTATTATGAGACACACTTTAATATTGAATTATTGGAAACAACTGATTTATTTTAATTAAATTTTATGTGTAGAGATTTTAAAACCTTTGTAGAAATAAGTTTTTGGAGGGATGTTTTAACAACTTCAGCACCAATGTTTTTTTCATTGATAAATGTAAGCCAAGAATAATGCAACAAGGATTTCCCCAGAAACTAAATAGTATCACTGGAAAGGAAGTATTACTCACAGTAATATATGAAGGACAAAATGAAGACAAGGTATACATTTAAAAAAGAGGGACATTATACAATTATTGATGCATCTTTAAATTCTTGCAAATCTATTCCATTATCTGATATGAATGAAAGAAATTCACTAAGTTTTTGAATCAATACTTAATTTCCACACTTATAGATTTTATCTGCTATTCTATCATTTTTGTGACTTTGTCATCAGAAAGTTGTTTGGGAGGCACGATGAGGTAATGGATAGCAGCTCGGATTGAGGAATCGGAAAGACGAGTTCAAATTCCCATCAAATCCATTACATTCACTTACGTGCTAATACCCTTGGGAAAGGTATGAATCTTCTTCTTCTCATCCTCCAGCTATGGGTAAATAGCAGGACAGACCAAGAGCTATAGCTTGGGATGGCAAGTGGTCTACCACAGAAAGAAATGGCAACCTACCACAGGAAAAAAAACAATAAAAAATCTGCCTCATCAGTCATGTAACAAAAGATACATGATCACCTAAGCATGCATCATGTATGGCACTTAAGAGAGATTGACTTGGCAGAAGAATTTTCACAATGGTAGACTTTCTCTAGTAGACTGGTTGCCAACCAAGGATATAGCACTCAGTCTGTCCTGCTATTTAACTCATAACTGGGGGGGGTATTCACATGTAAGCAAATATGATAAACTCAACTGGAATTCAAACTCAGCTCCCTGTTTTCTCATTCCAAGTCATTATCCATCACCTCACCCATACATCCAAGTTTACAGAACCTGGTATTCCAAAGTAACCACCCATCTAGGTACTGACCAGGTTCAATGTTGCTTAACTGATGATCAAATGAGAAACTGTGTTTCAGCATGATATGGCCATAATCTTGTTTGGTATTTAACAAGTAGCAAAAAAAGTTAACATCTTTTGATACTGAATGTGTTAAAATGATGTAATTGAAAATAAAATGGATCCAACTCATACTCCATTGAAGTAAAAAGAATAATTATAATACTTTTATTCCAAGCCAAGAGATAGAAGGAAAGCTTTTGTATCGTACAAGTAAAATAACATACCTCTCTCCTTTTCTTAAGTTTATTTGTAAGTTCTTATTAGCTAAATGCTGTAAATTTAAACAAAATAAAATTAACAACCAGATAATTTTAATTAATGAGTATATATATATATATATATATATACACAAGGCTAATGAAATTAATATATATACACTAGGCTAATGAAATTAAGCACCCACCAATCAAGCTACCCTCTAACTCACTTACACCTGTCTTGAATATTTTTTACTTGTGATATATTTTAGCAATATTGACATAGCTTAAAGTAAACTTATTACAAATTCTTTAAATAAACTGTCAATAAAAATATTTAAGAAATACCATTATTTTACTATTTATTGCAAATAAAATTAGCACATATTTCAACACAACCACAGTATAAAATAGATTTTTATAACCAGCTTTGTAACAATAAAACAATCAAAATAAATGAGTTTGTCAGATTGATATCATTTCAGTTTATGAACATCTAGAAAATTATATCACTGCTTTATAAAAATTTCTTAGATTTAAATGTGCTGAACTAAAATCAAAGATGTTAACTGCTTGAAACACAATGACACAAATTAAAACATACTTTTCCTTGCTTTGCTTCCTGCAAAGTCAAATAAATATAAATGTATCATATTGATATCATTTCAGTTTTGTCAATCTATTGAGAAGTTATAAGTTTTTTTATTAAATTATTTTTTATGATAAAAAAATTATAAAATATAAAATAAGTTTTTGAAAATAACTGTTTTTCTTGCCCAATGACTTTGCATAGAAAACAAGAAATAAGTTAAAGGCAATGCAAGCTGCTGGATTAGCTACAGAAGATGTACATAGTATCAGAAGTATCCAAATGGTTCCTTTATAAAACCATGTTTTCAAAAAGAAATGCTTTTCTTTTCCTTTGCTAAGATCACAAACCGAACAGGAACATTCCTCTCCAAGCTGGTCAGTAATATTTTTCTTGGTTCAGAAACACAGACATTCAGATTTGAATTCCATTCTTAATGAAAGACATACTTTTTTTCAGTTAAACTTCTATTTATTCTAATCCTAGTTTATGGATAAATATTTTCATAAAATTTCAACTTGTCATATATTTGGTTTTGTTCTGTATCATTATGTTGAAAGAATAGGATGAAAAATGCATCAGTTTTGTGAAGCTTAATTTATATTAATTAATCTTTTAATATTTTATAAAAATGTAAAACATCACTAAGTTAATTTTGGATTAAATACTGAATTTTGCTATTTTGAATTCAAATTTCTTTTGGCAACTTTCAGTACTCTATCTACATACTGTACATGGTAAATTAGGAAAAAAAAGGCGGGGTTCAGTATACAGGAATTATGGCAAATTTTACTTTGGTATTACTTGCTTTGAATATTGCTGCCACATCTGGTCTAGTGTTCCTGCTATATATTTAGAAATTCTTGATAAAATCCAAAGAAGAATCTGCATGTTGGCTTCAGTCCATTTCCCACTGCCATAATATAGGCCCCCCTGTGACTTTTCTATAAATACTTTCATGGTAATTGTTCTGAACTTTCCTCTGTGGTACCTAGACTTTATGAATTTAAACACAGTACTAGATTGGCAGTAAGGTCTCATCAATTTATTGTTGAAATGGCTAGATTTAACCATAAGTTCTATGCTTACAGTTTCTTCTATCTCATTTCTTGCATATGAAACTCTCTTTTGTCTTTTTGCTTCTCAGTCAACTTTGATCATCAAAAATTTAAATGCAATCAATATCTTCTGTCTTCTTATTTTTTATTGTCCTCTCTCCTACTCCCTTTGTAGTTTTTCTCATAATCTCTAACACTCAGTAACCTCTTACATCCTAGTGGCTTTATTGCATTGCTTGGGGTGAAATGATAAAAATAAAATACTGACAGAATAAAGCTATAAGATTATTCCTGGTGATTTTTCTATAGAAATGTTTTATATATAATTTTCACATAAAAATACATTGTAAATAATTTTACTATATAAATTTATATAATAAATGATTTTATTGTATGACTGTACTATAAAGTTTTTCATGCAGAAATGCATTATGAATAATTTTACTATAGAATTGCAAATAATTTTGCAATAGAAATTCATTAAAAATCAGGGAAAAAAAGGGATTGTCATTGGTCAGGAATCCAAGCAAGCATTACTATCATAATAGAGCTGTTATACATATGTGTGCAAACACACCCACATGCCCACACAGACAAAAAAAAAACACAAATATTTATTCAATAAGCACATTCCAAAAGCAAAATCAAGAATTAACTATAAAATTGCTTAAAACTAATAATGTCAAAATTATAATAAAGTATTATCATACATGAATAATGCCATACATCTATGTATAGATGAAAAAAACATGCATACACAGAAAACATGCCAACCTGAAACATATACAATACAATCTCTTGGCTTCAGTCACTTTCTCACTGCCATAATGTAGTTTCCCTGTGCATTTCTATGAATATTTTCATAGTAATTATTCTAACGAGCTTTCTTGTTTGGTCTCTCAACTTTACAAATTTAAGTACAATATTAGAGTGACAGCTAGCTCTCATCATTATACAGTTGATATTGCTAGATATAACTGTAAGTTCTATGCTAACAGTTTCTTCTCTCCCACTTCTCTATTGTGGAACTGTGGAAACATTAAATGAAAATCAATGAATAAAACAATAATAATGAATAATAAAAAAAAGAAAAAGAAATACATTTTTCCATGATGCTAAGTGTGAAAAAACTGGAAATATGATTACCCAACTTGGTTTCAAAAAATATTGTTATGTGGAAGCCTATAAAAAAAAGCAAACATAAAAACCTATAAAAAAAGCAAACATTTCCTGCTTTACTCTCTTTTTCCTCTTTGCTCCAAGATGTGAACCATGTGGTAATTACGTTCACACTGTTAGTTTCCGCAGTCTACTGACAACTGAACTCTCTTTCCACTTTCCAATGCATATTACTTGTGAGTTTCTTCCAAAAAATTCAACCTTTGAAGTAAGTCAAACTTTCTCTTTGGTTGTTCCAACTCTGCACCAGGCTGACTTGTGAGCAACTATATTAACAATGCTTATACTGACTTAGCTTAACTTCTGAACTAAGAAAAAAAAATGGACATCCCATAACCATGTTTAAATCTCCCAGTGATAAAGTAAGTAGAAACTTTCCTTTGGTTGTTCCAACTCTGTGCAAGGCTGACTTAACCTCAACCATGAATATAATACTTACCTACCCCAACTTCTGGACCAGAAAGTGAACGGACATACCCAAAAGACACAGAGAACTTTGTTCCACTACTGTCACGTAAAAGGAATAAATGTCTGTAGGAGAAACACAAGTTTTTGTATGCTTCTTCTATCTTAATTGTTTACATATGAATATGTGCCTTCACCTAAAATACATGCAAACCTTACAACCTTTTAACTTCTATAGAACTCTCTTCCAGTTTCTTGCTTTCCAGTAAACTTTGATCTTCAAAAATTTAAATGAAATGTCAATAATTATGTTAATTCCTATTCTTTTATTATTCTCTCTTTAATGTTTTCCTTTTTCTCATATTCTTTCACATTCAGTAACCCCTTGCGTTTTAGTAGCTTTATTACCTTGCTTCAGGTGAAATGAATAAAAACAAAAAAAAGGAGGATAGTATATAATAAATATTTTTTATATGGTAAAAATCAGACTAAATTATTCACTTACATTTAGGCCTATCATTGCCCAAGATTTTCTTGAATCTTGTATCTGAGAAGATTTTGATCCATTTGCCTTCCTATCAGCTGCATAATCATCAAATGAAGCAGATTTTATCTTTGTGTCTCCATTCCAACCTGGCCTTTCTTTGTGATCTGCAGAAATTGTAGCAAAAATTGACTGATTTATTGATTTGTTTTTTTACAACTTATCAACCTTTTGCAGGTTATTTAAAATCAGAAAATATTTTTAGATTGTAAGAATTCCTTTGGAGATAATGATGATTTTTACTGATACAAGTTCTACTAATTAACTCATAGCTGAAGAGGGAAGAGGTGGATTTATACATTTTCCCAATGGGTATTTGTGTATAAGAGAATACAATGAACCCAACTGGAATTGGAACTCGGATCTCTGAATTACGATTCCATGTCATTATCTATTACCCCACCTGCACATCCAAGATTACAGCACCTGTTATTCTCAAGTAGTCACACATCTTAGTACTGATCAAGTTCAACATTGCTTTACCTCAGTGATCCTACAAGAATCAGTATTTCAATGTGATATGGCTGTAAGCCCAATTATATCAAAAAATGAAAAAAAAAACAAGCAAAAATGATTTTTTAAAGATTTCTTTCATTTTCTAATTACTTTAAGTATATTAAATTAAAATAAGTTTAGCTTTTATTGGTTCTGGTTTAATTTCACAAAAAAAGGAACAGAGTAATTATGAAAGTGACTATACCAATACCATTCATAAATTTACAGCCATGATGGTATGCTTCAATTAGACAATAAGATATAAGTTTTTAGTTTTTGGGAGAAACCTATGACTACATAAGAAAATAAATGAGAAAATTAATTAACAAAATTTATTTTAGTTGGTACATAAAAATGAATAGCAGATCTGCCACTGGAGCATTGTAAATTCATTTGCCAAATGTCAGAGTTCACTTTACATGTGAACCACTGAGAAATAAACAGCTATTTGTAGTATAGCTACTGAATATAAATTACAAATAAAGAGTCTGCAAGAAGCATATGACTTCCATCAAAAGAAATTATATACCTAATATCCCTACCAATATTTGCACCTCAAAACAGGGCAACTAAGCACTTAATATGTCCAAGGAAAGTTTCAATTAATAAAGTACTCCTTTTTAAAAGAATTTATCCTTTATCTTAGAATTTATTTTTCATGAAAATGGCAGTTCAGAAAATCTCATAAATTAAAAATAATGAAAATAACAATGATAATATTAAAAATGCTTCATCTAAAAAACAACAATAATAACATGGAATAAAACTAGTAATAAAATAATAATAATAGTGAAAGCACTTTTTTTAAAAATTAATAAATTAATTTAAGATGATATTATCAGCAGCCACTGCTGATAATATCATGTCCTGAAAAATAATGCTGGGACAAGCAAATAACACTGTTATGATCCTTAGCCAAAATGAATAATTTTTATTTACATATTAATAATAAGTATTAACATAAAATATTATTTTAATTTGGCATATCAAACAATTCATTTAATTGATATTGGATTACAAGCAAAATGATTAAGTTGTTGGTAAACATCTGGCTACCACCAATTGAGTAGTAGCTGCTAATAACTGCTGGACAATAGAAATCAAAAAATAAAAAATGAAACATTTATTTATAAAAATTAATATTTATTCTGCCACAATCCCAAAAATTTCTGATGAAGCTGAATAGTGAAACATGTCAAATTTCTAAAAGTTTTCCTATTTGCTCCTTATTCAATCATATATATATATATATATATATATATATATATATATATATATATCCTTTAATTTGGGATTATATAACTTTGCAGCAGAAACCACAAGAATGCATGTCATCATAGAAAATGTAATCGAACAGAACTAAAATACCAGACTGTGTTGGAGAGACAAAAAATCATCATGAATAAATGTGGGTGCATTGAAAATCAAACTAAAGGCACTGAAGTGCATTGGAGAAAGAAAATCTGTCATGCATACTGAACAAATAAATAGATGCTGAGGCTCATATGGATGTAGTGGCATAGCTGCCATCCAGTGCAGATCCTAGATTTCACATACTATCTCTCTCTCTCTCCCTATATATATATATATATATATATATATTAGAATATTAAAACAACATGTAAAAATCACTACACAATTGCAGTCATATTTCACCACATACTAATACATGTCCTTCACCAATAATACATGACTTTCTAAATATTCTTGGAGTTTAAAAGATGATAATAAAACTCCTAAGGTGAAATGGAAATTTTTTAAAATGACAAGAATATGTAGATCTTTATATGAACCATGTTTTTTGTATTCACATGAAAAATGTGAAATTATCAGATTTTATGATAAAAACACCTTATTAAATTAAAGGAGTGAATTAGAAGTAAATTGTAGACATAGTCTACAATTTACCTTACAATTTAACTAAACTTTGGAATTTGATAATGGTTTTTCTTATATTTTAGTTGATCTGTGTTGCACCATATATGGCTTACTTTTCTATTTGTAAGATTAATTTGGATTTAATATAGTTCTGTAGTAATCTCCTGTTATTATTATTAACATCTTATATGATGTATTGGTAGTTAGTATTTTTGACATCTTACATTGATTGGTTGGTATTATTAACATCTTATGTAGATAATCTTTAATGGTTGCATATTAATTTACCAAATAATTTTATACATTTGAATTATTTACTAGTTTCTTAGAAGCCTCTTATTTATCAACTACAAAAAACATTTTATGTAGGAAATCCACAAAATGTATAAAAATTTTGCATTAGGTTAAATTACCTCTCTACTTCTCCACTTTTATTTCTTAGAAAATTTGACTATGTATACACTTTACATAAGCATCTGTATCAGTCTTTAATTTATGTCTGGCTGCTGTTGGCAGATAACTCTGGATTATGCTCCATTTCTAAGAAACTTTTAATTTTTTCTTTTTTGCTTAGTTTGAATTGAACATAGGTCATATTTGGTTGGTTGATCAGGGTGAAGCCCTCAAGCCTTATAAATTTTTTTTTTCCAAAAAAGAGGATGTATTTTACTTTTGAAACCAAATTAATCATTCCCTTGCCAGTAATTTATAATTGCCTGAGGAGACAAATTGGCATGCATTGAAAAATGACTGCAATTGTGTAATGATTTTTACATATTGTTTTAATATCCTAAAATAAATAATATTGCTCTACTCTGTATTTAGCCCTCTTTTAAATTAAATGTATGAACATTGGAATTGTACTCTATTTGTTCACATCTTACCTGGATATATATATATATATATATATATATATATATATATATATATATAGAGAGAGAGAGAGAGAGAGAAAGACAGAGAGGGAGAGAAAGACAGAGAGAGAAGGATTAAGCATGGACTTTCCTGTCAATTTTAATATATGAGGATCCAACAACCTCATTCAGTTTTCATGTTTGTGTTGTATGTGACACTTCAGTCCTGCTAGTGACCTACATACAAGTCCACATATTCTGCAACAGTGAACATCTCAGGACATAACAACGGGTATATTGGCTAACACTTTCACCATTGTCTTTTGTCTCTTAGCCAATCAATATGACTGATTTCAAGATTTTTGATACCACTCTGGCACAAATATCTCCAGTTATTTCTATTCAGGGCAACTTGCTCAAATTTATCATGAGGCATATTGATAGCTGAGAGGCTATTCTTTAGGCTATTCTTCTTTATACCTGAGCCATGGCTGTCCAACACACTTTTGTTCACTGTATAGCTGATTATACATTAGGACCTTGGGTATTCTGTCATCACTCATCCTTGAAACATGACCAGCCCAGCAAAGTTGTGACTGCATCAGGAAAGTCTCAATTCCACTAATGTTGAATTTTGTGAGATCAGCATTGGACACCTTATTTCTGTATCTCTCTCTCCCTCTCTCTCTCTCTCTCTCTCTCTCTCTTATATATATATATATATATATATATTTGGTTGGCTCACATCTATCCAACCAAATATGTTAGCTCTATCTCTGATATTGAGCGCTTTCTAATAAGTACCGCACATATAATATATAAATAATTATACATATATATATATTTATTTATATTTATATTCACTTTTCATTATATATATATATATATATATATATATATGTCATTAGCTCAAAATATAGTTTAAGAAAGTTTTTTAAACTTACATTAGTTCTGTGTGGTTATATTCTTAATAAGCTTTTTAGATTAATAATGATGTCAAATATCTTCTAAAAATTAATATGATAATAGCCAAATATTATCATATTTTTAAGATTCATTCTCATATTTTATGCAATCAAAGAAAATAGCATTTATCACATTATTTTTTAATTTTTACCTATTTTGTAACCAAATCAATAAAAGCTTAGATTAGAATTTAGTCTAAGTGAAGGGAAATTTATCAACTGAAAAAAGCAAAGCTTGATTAAAGCAAAGCATATGTGAAAAAAGTGTATTTGTCTCTGAGCCTCATGATTATGTAAACAATGAATAAATTTAAGACACATTAAACTATATTATCTTTGATAAGTAATATGATTTAACGTGTTTGTTTTTCATCATGAAGAGTAATCTTTAAGCAAGACAAACATTAAACATCAAAGAGAAAATACAGCAATGATTGAAAACATAAACATAAAATTAAGACATAAATTTCTTAAAAATAGATGAAGACACGAAAAAGAAACAATTGCGAATGTCATCTGAACTTCTTTTTCCATATGCAGTGTCACTTCAGGACAATCATAGCTCTCCACAACATCCTGTCCTTTGTAACACTTAGTAAGGTTTGTCTTTTTGCTATCCCACCTAATCCCTGTTCTGACAATCATTTACACAAGCTCGTTAGCTAGGCTATTCAATGCATTTCACTGTCCCTCTTGCTGTCAATATGTCCTGTGTGTGTTAAAATCTTCAAGCCCTCTTTCCTCATTATGTACCCTAGAAATTTCAATTGTCTCTTTCTGATATTAAGTATAAGCTCCTTCTGGTTTCCATTTTCCTTAAAACTTCATAGTTGCTTACATTTTTAGTCTATGGTATTCTCAACATCCCCCTGTAGAACCACATTTCTGTTGTTTCTTCTTCTGGGAAGAAATTGTCCAGTATCCACTGCCATATAGGAGAATTGATATTGCATAGCATTATTTAAATTTTAGCCCAAAACCTCATGACATTAGTTTAAACTGACACTGTATTTTTTTTATGTATATTTTGACTATTTAATATAAAGTTCATATTTTTATTTCAGATGAAAATTTTTCAACATATTTCATTGAAACGTTCACTTTCCAAATTTTAGTTTATAGTTTAGAAATATCAACAAAAAGGTGTCAGTTTAAACTGAGGAGAATATATATATATATATATATATATATATATATATATATATATATATACATTGTTAAATATAACAGACAATGAATATCTATTATGTTTGATCATGAGCTGTTCTAAACTTCATATGGTTGCTTTAATTTCAAGTGAAAATAAAGACAAAAATTGTCCAACATTTGGATATTTTTTTATTAAGCTGTTCCTTGATCTAAGCTTTTGGCCATCTTCAAAGTGGTCATACAGACATTTGAACAAAGATATTAACCATCAAAGATGATATTCTGTTATGTTGACATTTGTTCAAATGTCCATATAACCACTCTGAAGATGTATCAGAAATGTCCACATGAAATATATCCTAATGTCTGCACGAAACTTTAAGTAGTGGCCAGCCAATAGAGACACCTGTTTAGTAAATAATATTTGCTCTACTATAAAGTATTGAGCACTTTTTGCTTCCCCAATGTCATTTTTCTACCCCTAAATGAGTATTTTACTTGTTAAATGAGGCATATATATATATATATATATATATATATATATATATATATATGACATGATAAAATATACTTTTAAGGTATACTATATTCATTCATTTATAGGTTAAGGTTATCAGAAACAGAGCATATATAAATATAAATAGTGTACACTGACATCAACACCAAGCAACTGTGAAAGAAGACTGTTCATCCTGTCAGTCAAAAAGTCATCAACAGTAGATACAATGTCATCATCACAGCAATACTGGTTCCCAGCCAAGTGTTTTTTCATGTTGGGGAACAGATGATAGTCAAATCAGAAGACTAATAAGAGTGATCAACCAGTTCAAAGTCACAGTTATACACAGCAGTCACTGAAGCTAAGGACCGATGTCCTGATGAAACAAGACCCCTTTTGTCAGTTCTCCTGTGTGTTTAGTCTTGATAGCCTTTTGTAACTGCCTCAACAAGTTGGCATAGTACTTGCCATTGATGGTGTGGCCCTTTTGAAGGTATTCAATTAACACAATACCTTTTGCATCCCAGAAAAACTGAGGTCATCACCTTCCCTGGAGATGAAATGACCATGACCTACTTTGGAGCAAGTGAAGAGGAGTGTTTCCACTGCATGGATTCTCACTTTGTTTCTGGTGAAAAGTGCTGAACCAAACACTCAACTTGGGTCAGGAAATGCTCAAGGAAACCAGCTTGATCTGCTTTAATGTCATAATTTTACATGATGTGATCACTGGTGCATTTTTGGTCAGGTGTCAGAAACCTTCATCCTGTCAAGTTCATTGTGCAGAATATTTTCAACTCTTTCATGGTATATGCTAATAGCATTGGCTATTTGATTTATAGTCAGTCACCTGTCATCTATCACTATGTGTAGAATACAATCAAGGTTTTCCTCAGTAGTGGCAGTTGTTGCAGGACATCCAGACCTTGGTTAATCTTCAAGACTCTCTCTCTTCTCCTAAATTCAGCTGCCCATTTTTGCACTGTTGATAAAGCTGGGGCATCATCACCTAATGTAGCAACCCTGTCAGCATGAATGTCCTTGAAGGCTAAACCCTTTTTCTGCACCACAAAATTTTATCCATTTTCAAGAGAGATCACTACTAGTTACTTTTGAAGTCTTCTTGGAACAGTCAGATGTCAGCTTACCTGGAAAAAAACAATGCAGTTATTAATAAGAAGAATTGAAATTAATGCATGCAAGATTTCACAGCTCTAGCATTACTCCTTCCTAGTCAGCCTATGAACTTTTCAGCCCACTCTCATATAATGTAGCTGTCCACATCTTGTGCCTGGTTATTAGATATTTTGAGCTCTCAACTCACATTCAATCTCAACAAATGAAAATTAACCCATTAATTAGAGGGAAATATTTAGAAATATATTGGACACAAAATGTTTCTTTCATTCAATAAAACAAATTTAAATGAAAATTTGCTGCTCAAATACAACGAACATATATATTTATTGAATAATTTCTATTTTGTATCATTTAAACAGAAATTATGGTAATCATAATAACAATAAGTCATATATATATATATATATATATAGGTAACAACAAAGATTCTTTACACTTAACAAAACCTGTCAACCATAAATTACTGGAGGATACAGTGTTTCAGGTGAGCAAATTCTGTAAATACAATGCTCAATATTAAGAAATAGAGCATTAATAGTGAATAAATAATTTAAAAGTTTGATGGCTTGTCTCCATAAAATGTACAATGAATTATCATTGAACATTCTATTTATTTATTCACTATCTCTCTCTCTCTCTATATATATATATATATATATATATATATATATATATATATATAATATATAGATAGATACACAAACACTTACACATACATAAAAACACACATAAGAAGGTATGCTGAAAAGTTCTTGGCTTGAACCACTTTCCAAAATCTGATAAAATGACCAAATTTTTAGAGAGATAGGCTTCTTGGGCAATCAATAATTTTTCACCAACCCTCATGCATACATACATATATATATATATACAAACACTATAGACCAAACGTTTAGAACCACCATCTGGATTTTATAATTAGGAAATTTTATACCTTCTTAGGTTTAGTTAACTTTTACTAAACTTGGATGCTGAAACTATTTAACCCATTAGTATATGGTACCCAATAGTTTTAGAGAGGGGTTACCATAAAATTTAAAATCAACCAGCCCTAAAGTTATCATTAGCCAGCAAGGTAGATTAAACAAAAAAAGCTAAAACTTTAAGGAAAGTTTATGCAATAAAGTGTTAATTTCATTATTACTTTGGAATAGATGATAAAACACTTCAGAAAGAGAAAGTCCCTCTGGCCCAAGCTGTGCTAGTAAATTAGTTTTGAAGAAGACACACAACTATCAATTTCTAGGCAATTATTCAAAAATCCAGAGAGTAGCTCTATAGTGTACATGTATATTGTGTATATATATATATATATATATATATATATATATATATATATATTCTAGATTGTCTGTGTGTGTGTTTATATATATATATATATATATATATATATATTATTTATTATATGAGATTAAAACAAAAACATATTAAAATCGCTACACATGTTAAAATCACTACACAGTAGCTTTCATGTTTTAGCACTATAATTGTGCCTCCTCAGGCGATGGTAAATAACTCACCAATTAATAACCATTGCCTGAGGAGGCACAATTTGACTGATGAAACACTAAAGCTATTGTGTAGCGATTTTTAACATGTTTAATATTAAGCTCTATTCTGTATTGAGCCCTTTTTAAAAATTAAACGCTACATACTCCATTTGTTCTTATCCCATACCTATACATATATATATATATATATATATATATATATATATATATATATATTCTTTTCCTTTTCAGCTAAGTTATCATCTCATTATTATTATCTGGTCAGTTAATTCAAATTCATTGGACTCAGAAAAACTGACTGGAAAGTTATGAATCCAAAAATTAAATATATAACACAGTTTCTTTTTCATTTGACATTTTCACAGTGTGACAGAAAAATTAACAAACTCTGTTGATATCATAAGGTACCATGAGGGAAGCTTTGGATCAGTGGTAATAAAGCATTAATTCTTAAAATTACAGCTAACTCAAGGTCATCATCTAAAGCTTTCTTGGTGGCACAAATATTGTTTTTATGGCAGCATATGTAAGAAATTATATGTACCTATACACGTATAAATAAATGCATGCAGATGCACTTAGTTACATGCAAACAGTGATACTGGAAGAAAATTGCAATATAACAAAAATGATCAAGATGTTAGGTTTCAATGTATTAGTAAGCAATGATGAGAACTAATTTAGTAAGTAGAGAAATATACTAGGGAAATTTTTTAGCTATAAGATTGGTTAGGACAAGTTAGACATACTTCAAGTGATCAGGATAGCAACTGATGACTTTTATCATGAAAGGTAAGTGGATATAAGAATAATAAATAAGTATATAAAAAAACTAAAAAAAACCTGCAGTTGTTTTATTCGTTTGCAAGAAATCATCCAATGAAGCATGACGTGGATAGATGAGGGCTGAAGTTCTTGCTGAAGTCTTTTTCATAAAACGGGGAGTGGGGGAAACTGAAAATAAAGCTGGTCATTTTCTCATTTCAGTCAATCAGGCACACATTCATAATTTTAAAGCAATAAAATATTTAACTTTTTTTTTCTATGGATAATTAACTCATATCCTCCTGGTATTAGTTTAAATAGATGCTTTCTTTTTTTCTATACATCTAAATTGTAATGATAAACTATGATTTTAAACTGAAAATTTCACTGAAATATGTTATAAAATTTTCAAGTTTTCATTTGAAATTAAGAAAATATTAACTTTAAGCAAAATGGTTACAATATAAGGAAAAAAGAAGTTTCTATTCTCAAACATATCTATGCACTCTAGACCAATGGTTCCCAAATGGTGCTGTGCACCACATAGGTGCAGCAGAAGAGGATAACAGATTAGGTGGAGTGATTGAAAGACAATCAAAGATTTAAAAACAGTTTCAAAAAATTCATATGCCAAAAATAAATATGATTTCAAAATTTAATATATTATTATAGATTACTTGTAATTGCATGCATGAGTCCCAGTATAAATAGTTATAAATAATTATTGACTGATTATATCATTGTAATATTTTTGCATTATACCAAGTATTAAGAATATAGTAACTAGTGTCTGCAAATTGAAGGAGAGAGTTATCAATGATAACATTCTAACTTCGAATTCTCGGTTATTTCCCTTTAACCCTCTCTCTGTTTTTTATTTTTAAATATACTTTTTATCACATTAAATTTGGTGAGGTGTGAGCAAATTTTCATTTTGAAAATGCAACCCAGAGAAGAAAAAAATGTTTTGGAACCACTGCTCTAGACACTTGTAGTTACACAACATCTCGACTTCCAACTAACAGTTTTGAGTTGTGTCAGTTGATATGGATTTACATTTTTCTTCAATATCTCAAAATCAGTTACATTATCTTTTACTGTAGCCAAGACAGTTTAACAGGGTTAAGTAATTCTACATTATATTGCTTGAAGATATTTAGAATTGGTTCATTTAAACATTGGGACAAATAAAAAACAAGAATAATTTATATCACAAATACAGAAACGAATGACTATAGATAAGAAGCAAAAACATTTTCAACAAAAAGTACAGAAATTAAAAATAAAATTTCAGCAATTAGTTTTCCTTTTGCTTTACAAGAATTGAGACAAACAAAATACTGAATTCAAATATTACAAGAAATCAAACATAACACAAGAAAAATTCTGTTAGACAAACAAACAATTAAACACTGATTTATCTACAAGAGGCTAAATGACAGTTTTTTATCATAAAATTTTATGTTAAAAGAAAATATAATTTTCAGAATTTAAGACAAAATCAGTTAACAATTATCATCTGAATTTTGTTTGACTCAGTGTTTTAATCATTTAATGTGATTTTGTTTGGGCTAAATTCTTTGTCTTTGTTGCTTATTTGTTTTTTTCCAACATTCTAGAAAAGAACAAACAATTGAGGAAGGCCACAGGGGATGATTAAAACATTGTGAAAAATAAACATGAAGAAATTAGTCCAAAGAAAATCACATGCAATTCTCAGTTAACAAATTTTAAAGTTTCATTGGATCTGTATATAAACTTCCAAGAGATAAAATAGATTTAGTGGAGAAATGATTCTATTTAGGACAAGTTTTATGTAAAAAAAAAAAACTTTATTTAATTTATGACTTGGAAAAGCATTTTTACACAAACTTAAAGTTATTTGCAGTAGGCATGTAAAATGTGAACCTCTTGTTGTTTTGTATAAGTCTTTCTTTCTAACATAAGACTTTTACAAATTTAATATTTCTGACTGAGACTTTTGTAGTTCTAAACTTTTCTGGAATAAATGTGTCCTTAATCTTTTACCAATGGCAACATATTATTTATGTTAATATATTCACTGAACACAATTTGTTTTCTAGTAAAGTTTAATAAATAAATAAAAATTTAATATAAAATTTGATACTGCTTGCTTGTTATAAGTTTTTCAATCCTGATGCCTTATAGAAATGAAGCCAAGACTCAAAGTTGAACATAGATTTGTAGTAGAAATGTAATTTCATTATTGTTTTTGAATATATAATAATCAAGTATCCAAATTCATAAAGAAAGTAAATTGTGAAAAATTTGAATATACTGACTTAAGCTCAACCATTAATATGATATATTCAAATGATATATTAATATTATTTAACTTAACTTCTGGACCGAAAAGAAAATGAACATATCCAAGAGATTAAAAACTTTGTTTCTCTACAGTTCATATATATAAAAAAAAAAAAAAAGAGAGCAAATAGTTTGTAATAGAAACCCAAGATTTTGTATACTTTTTCTTTAAGTGTTTACATGAGAACATGCACACACCTAAAATAGAAACCAACTACAATGCCATAATATTCTTATTAACCAGTGGATACTGTTTGGTGACTTTCAACTAAAATTATGCTAATTCTAATTATCTAAATAAATTTTTCCAAGTGACATCTTCAGATATTTCCATCAGGTGATTCATTTGATTAAGAACTTTTCATCAAATTTTTTATCAAAGGCCAAATGTTAGCTGCCAAGGTTCTGTGTGTCACTTCCTTGTAGATGTAATTGACCCATTAATAGGAAAGTCACATTCATATGTCTGAAACTCCACCCACTTTGCTCCAATCCAATCCAACTAGGTGATGAACCTGAGCATGGTGAGTTTGTTCACCAAGGTACCCATTGGAGAGGCACTATCAGTAGTCAGGGACAGACTAGGACTCATCCCTAGGAGAATAGACCAGAATACCAATAGATAACCTGATGATGATGACTTTCTGTACACAAACAACACATTTCAGAATGGGATCAGACATATATCAACAGGATGAAGGCTTAGCAATATGGTCGCCATTATCACTAGCAACAGCAAGCATATACATGGAATATGTTAAAGAAATTGCATTAGAATCCACATCACTAAAACCAACCCTATGGCTGAGGTAGGAAGAGGTCCAGCTACTACTGAACCATGTGAACTCAATAAGATCATCGATACAGTTCACAATGGAGAGAGAAAATGGCAACAAACTCGCATTCCTGATCCATATACTGCAAGCCAACAAGTGGTTTGACACTTTGCAGACACCTCTTCTGAGTAAGACCCTCCCCATAGAGGAGAACATGACTAAGGACTGTGTGTACACCATCCTGTGCAGCTGTGGTAAGAAATATAAAGGAGAAACAAGTAGCCCCCTTAAGATAAGACTGTAAGAACATTATAAAGCCATAACACAAGGGGAAATAGAAAAATCAGGCGTAGCTGGCCACATATGGAGGAAAAAGGGATATCACCATCCCTTATGAGAGAAGGTTGAAATAATAGACAAAGAACATTATTTGAAAATATGGAAACGTAAGGAATCAGCACATATGCTAGGCCACAAAAATCTCCTAAGCTGGCCAAGTATAGAAATGAATACAATATGGGAACCAGTAATAAGGAGTGCTAGAGAAATAATAATAACAAAAATTGCAATATGAGCTCTGGTAAAAAAATGGACTGAGACATTAGGTTTATAAGTCCAAAAAATTCATACACTGATGCCCTCATGGACACATGGCCTAGTGAATAAAAGCATTGATTGAATCTAGTGATTTGTATCCAAAGAGTTGTGAGTTCAATACCTGGCTACTACTAGGTAGTAGCCAGGTATTAAGTAGTAGTACCTCAATACCTAGTAGCAAAAACTTGGAGAGTTGAGTTAAAGGGAGAAACGAAAGAGGCATGACACGTGGAACTAGAACAATCTGCCCGGTGGACAAAATAAAGGGTTTAGTTTGAAATTCCAATCACCTGAAGAAGGCCAGAGCATACAACAGCCAAAACATTGTGAATATGATAATAAAAATGAGGACAACAGTTTGAACAATGTAAATAATTAAAATAGCTCATCTCAGAAATATAGAGAGAAACATTCAAAGGGTTATAAAAATTGTTGTTTCACTAAGTAAAATATACAACAGAATAAAATAAATTTCAGGATGTATTGCAACTTTTTCTGTTTAACCAATTGTAAGTACAAAATTTTTTCTTCCATCCTAAAATTGGGTTGTAATTAATGCTGGTTTCAACTATAAAAACTAAACTATATTTTCCAATCTCCCTTTGTTGCCAGTTAATGTTTCAAGATATTTATTTGATGTATAAAAATGCTGAATATTAAATTCTTTTGCCACAGTTGCTTTCTTTTTCAGTTTTAACCTCCATTCTAATTCTTTTATTTTTTATTTCTTTTAGCAAGTTTATAATAATTCATATAAGTCCTCATTGAGTTACATGTATTCCTTTTATACAACTTACCCTGGGGCGTCTTTGGTTTTACTGCTTCAGTAAAGTCCATAGAATCGGCTTCCATAGGCTTCTTCGGATGCAGTGAAGCTTTGGGCCTTTCCTTTTGTTGCCATGGTTTCACGTAGGATTTGTCCTTACTGACAGGAGCACTGACTGCACGGAATTCATCTGATTTTTGAAATGACAAAAGCAATTTGAAAAGCAAGCTATTTTAGTAATCCAATTTTTAAAAGAATTTCTACCACTACAGCATTTTTTCTTTCATCCTAAAATACGGTTTTTGTTTGTATATGAAGTTAAATGCTTTGACCATTTAAAATTAAAATTAAGTCTTAACTATAAAAATTATGTATTAAGCACACTTCAAGAAAATTTTAAAAAATGATCCCATCTTATACCCAGTCATTGGTTCATCAATAATGGACTAACACCTAAATGCCTCTGTTTGAAACTCTAATCTCATGATGATCCCAGAATGAAATACATTTGATTAAAAAGGATTAAATTTTGATTACAAATTAAAATAATAACAAATTTCAGAATGCAACTTTTTCTGCTTAACCAATTTCTCCGAATCTGACCAAATGATCAGACACTAAAATTTGTTTTGGATTCTCTTACTGGTCAGGCTAAGAATTTTTTCACACATTGTCATAAAAAGTCTTGATTAATCATCAATAGATTATTAGTTTTCTTGCAAATATTTATAGGTATGTTTTATATACTGACACATGTTATATGGTAGGAAATATAAAGCAAATTTTAACTTTCATGTCCACAAAAAAAACAGTGTGACAAAAGGATGGTTTTTTCCTTGACATCACTATTATTTTGTACTAACTTCACTTCCTTAGAAAAATTTATTTACAAGATTATAAAAATATGTGAACCAAGTACAATGTGATATAAATTATTTACCTTTTAGAAAGATTTATTATTTACCATTTTATAAAGAAATAAATGTGAAAAAAAATCTTTTTATTCAAATTTTTTTTCAAATTATCAAAATATGTAAACAATCTACAATGCAATATTTATTATTTACCATTTTATAAACACCTATGAAAATAAGTTTTTATTCATAATTTTATAAAAACATTAATGAATTGCAGCATGAAAGAAATGTCTGGAAAATGTATTTTCTCAAAATTATTATTACAGTTATTTGTCATCTGTTTATTTAAATTTTCTTGTTCACAGACATTTTTTATAAATTCATGAATAAAAAAGATTATTTTCATATTTATTTCATCATAAATTGCTAAATGATAAACATTGCATTGTATTAGTTGGTTCACATTTTTAGAATGTTGAAAATATAAAATTATTCTGGTAAATAAACAATCTAATAAATAAAAAGTTTTAAATATAAATATGGCGACAAAGATGAGGACAATAGTCCGAATAATGTAAATAATGTACATAATACCTCATCTCAGAAACATAGACAGATACTAAAAAGTTTTAGTATTTTTGTTGTAAATTCTCAAAGAACAAAGAAAATGTATACATTCAATTTAATATGTTTTGGTTTTATTAAAATTCTAATCGTCACTTTTAAAAACAACAAACATTGCTGAGGGAATGAAGATAGTTAAAATATCATAATGGTGTCAAAGGAAAAATCTTCTTTTGACACAGTTTTTGCACGAAAGTTAAAGATTGCCAAATATAGATTCTAGAATAGGATATATAGATAGAAATATGGTTATTTTACTTAATTTTTCCTTATTAAAAGTAGAAGAAAAATAAGAAACAACTATAATTGATGAGGATAAGTTCTATAAATAAAATAATAATAAGGGTGCATAATTCACTAACTCATTAATGAACTATGAATAAAATATAACAGCACAGTATCAGTGATAAAAATAAAATATATAAACAAAAATAAAAGGACTCAGATTAAAATAAGACATTTGCGCTTTCCTTTAAAATCCTTATCTCTTTCTTTCACTTTAAACCTCTCTTTTTATACTTTTTTCAACTAACAAGAAGGCAACCTGCAAATAAAAAGAGGAAGAAGAAAAGATTGAACCCAGCTGAAAACATAGAAAGTTTGTAGGAACAGTACCTAACAATTTATGACTGAAAACTAACAAAAATCAGGGTGGCTTCATGCATAACTTCAATTATGATAAAATGAAAAAGAAAGAATACCAGAAAATAAAATAATTTTTGCCAATCAAAAAAAATTGATACAAATAGACCTTTGATGTTAGCCAAAAACAATGTTTACAACAGAATCTTGCAGGCTGACACCTCTGAGCTAGAAGGAGGGATGGTAGGAATGACAACAAAAGATGTTACTGCAGTGAAACCAGTCATGCATGATACATAAAGAAGTGGTTAAGAACTCATCTGCAAATAATATTTCTGCCTTGCTTAGGACCAAGATACACACAGTAGATTGACACTGACCTAATTCTAATATTACTACTACCCCTAACATGGTCTGACTTCAAAATTACACTACTGGACCATCTTCAAGCTACTATCAATATCTGCCTTATAAAAGAAACTTTTTGCTACACCAAATACCAAAGGTCTCACTCTAAAGCAAATAAATTAAATTATATATTATATACACTTGAATCAGTTCATTTTATTCCCAAAGTTCTGATAAATAAATATCAAGAACCCTCCTGGCATTCCAAACCTTACCACACTGGTGACCTCCTGACATGAACACAATCACCCATAGAATCATAAATGATGTTGTTAGTTTAGTTTTAATATCAACTCTTCTTGCTCAAAGAAAATCAATTATTAGATAGTTCAAAAGATAATAAAATTGTGTACTTGAAGAACCAATATATTTATTTAATTATTTTTATCAATGGATTTTCTTACCTGATTTTTTTGCCCAGGAAGTTAATAAAGTTGACTTACTAACAATTTCTGTGCTTTGACCATGGATAGCTGAAATAATTCCATATATAAAATGTTAAATTAAATTCATATATTATTAACTTGCAATGGCTTATTTCCACAATTCACCAAAATAAATCTAATACTTTTACTTTTTAAAACAAATCAAATCAAACTGCCTGAAGATTGCATTGAAACATGAAAAAACTATTAACATTATTCTGACTATTGTCTTCATCTTTGTCGCCATATTTATTACAACATTTCAGCTGTTGTATGCTCCAGCCTTCTTCAGGTGGTTGGAATGTCAAACTGAACCCTTTATTTCACTCACTGGGGTAGACTGTTTTAGTTCCACATGCCATGTTTAATGGATGTCAGTTATCAGTTATCTCCTGTTAATTCCCCTCTCCAAGTTCTCCAATGACTTAACCAGGTATTGAACTGACACTCTTTGGGTCTTGTCACTGGATCTAACTACCTTTATCCACTGTGCCATGTGTCTTTGGGTGTGAGTTCAATACCCAGTTAAGGCAGTGGAGAATTTGAAGAGGGAGATAACTGATAACTGACATCCATTAAACATTGAACTTGAAACTAGAACAGTCTATCCCAGTGAGCGAAATAAAGGGTTCAGTTCGACATTCCAACCACCTGAAGAAGGCTAGAGCATACAACGGGCAAAACATTGTAATAAATATGGTGACAAAGATGAGGACAATAGTCTGAATAATGTAAATAGTGTACATAATACCTGATCTCAGAAATATAGACAGATAATGAAAAAAACTGTCACCAATTGATGTTGACCTCAGTGTCCACTTTCATATATATATATATATATATATAAATATAAAAAAAGAGAGAAATAGATAAATTTCAATTACATATATATACATATATGTTGGTGAGAGGAAGATGTAGTAAAAAGAGATAACAACACTTAATAACCATTTATATAGGTTTTAATAGCAAACAAATATACACATTACATTTGAATGAATATGGCAGTTTCTTAACTGGAAAAGGGAGGTAACTTTGTGTCCTTAGGATATAGTAGAGTATCTGCTGGGGTACAACTAATCTAGAGGAGGTCAGGATTTACACTACAACATTTTCCCTTTCAAAAAAATATTATGAAGGTGGGGGGGAGTTATTATTCCTCCATCCAGTTACAAAGTCTCTGTATTTGTTGGGAATTCTTCATATTCTGAAAGTTTTTTGCCCATATTCAATGGGATCTTCATCCTCAGTATTAAATTCCACAGGGTGTGTTGGTTGCTTTAGGTTCAGAAGATGGAGTCTCCTCATTTTTGATGTCAGAACTTTCATGAACACTAACAGATGATTTGCAGGCATCTACAGGGTTTGCAGAGTTGTCATTAGTGCAAGTGTCCTCTCCATTAGTAGATTTGGGAGCTATGTCTCACACATTGACTGTAGTTTTCAATGCCAGAAGGTAGAAGCAAAGTGAGGATTGATTTCCGAAGTGTAGCAGGAGTAATGGGAGGATCATGCATACTTAATTTGATGTGGTTTCTGACATATATCGGTCCTTGTTTTGTCCAAGATGTGGATTTGTGGCTGTATTTAAATAATCATATGTCAAGGGGAGTTACATTTTAATTGTTGTGCAGAGTAAGGATTTAATTGAATGGATTGCATCAGGTAGGACATTTTTCCAATAGGATAGTTTCATGTTACAAGAATTAATAGCCTTCTATAGGGTGCCATTAAGTTTTTCAACTTGTCCATTGCTTTCTGGGTGGTATCTACTTGTTTTCAATGTAGCAATGCCTTTTTTATGCAAGTAGTTTTTGGTTTTCTCTGAGTCAGCAGCTCTATCAATGTGTATCATAGCAAGCATACAAAAAATTGAAAATAGTTGGTTCAGGCAATAGTTCTGCTAGTCATATCTTTGCAGGGAAAAGCAAACAGAAAAAAGGAGAATTTGTTGATTACAGTAAGTAGGTATTTGCTAGCATTTACAGATGAGGGTAAGGGTCCTTTAAAATCAATATTTAATCATTGGAATGGTGATATTGCTTTTATGAGTGTACCCCTTACAATGGTTATGAATTTTGGTTTCAGATATTGACAGGATGTGCTGGAGTTGGTTACACTTTATTTGGTCTAAAAAGAATGGGAGGTTTCTTGCTCTGGTAAAGTGAAAAAGGTGTGTAATGACAGGGTGATATAATTGAATATGCAAATCACAAAGGTCTGGCAATGTGTGGGTGAGGGCAGAGATGTGAGAAAAAGTATTGGCAACAGTATTCTCAGTTCCTGGATGATAAATAATAATTAATTTAGGACATCCCAAAATAGTATGACAAAGTAACTTTGAAATTTAATGGACCTGATATCAATGAACAGATGTTTAATCACTTCCACTGTCATACCAGAACGTGTCCTATTATTCAGGGTGACATCAACTATCGCTTCACCAACAATTTTTTTGTCTTGGCTAGGGTCTCTCAGGGCTATTGGTTTTTTCTTCAGTGTGATGAAGGGACTCAATTTTTTTGCAGTGCTTTTGCTAATAAAAGTTTTCATGCTACCAGAATCTATCATGGCATCAACCATGTACCCATTTATTTTGCACTTGGTCAAGGTGTTTTGTTTTTGTTCCTAGACAAGCAAGGCTGGGAGGGTCAGGATCATATAATGCAGCAGTTACAGAGGATCTACATAGCTTGTCTCAATGTTCTTTTTTTAAATGTTTTTTGCAGTCAGCATTATGGGCATAGATAACGTGAGTTTCCACAGAAGAAGAAAATCTCTTTAAGTCTAGCATCTTCTTGTAACATAGCTAGATTGCAATTTTCTTCTGAAGAAATTATATGAACGGTAATTATATTATTTTGCTTGTAGCATGCAGATTGTTTTTTTCCTTGCTCCAGTCATCTGACCATCTCATACACTTCTTGGAGGATTTTTCAAGCAAGCATTGTCAAATTGACAGGTAGGTGATGCCACTGATAAACACATCTTGCATGCAGGGGTTTTGGGTCATTTGCCATACTCTTACCACAGTTGACACAATCATTACTGCTGAAATCCTAATCCACCACCCCACTATTGGATACCATTTCATACACCTCCATTTCCAATTTGGCGGCTTAATTTATGTTTCAGTTATGTTATCACCAATACCCTTCAGGCATTTATCCATCAGTTAAACAGTGTCAATCCCATTCAGTACTGAAATGGGAGACTGCTTGGGAACACTGTGTACTGCAAGTGACCTCCTACCATCCTAAATTATATCCCAGCTTTAAATAACCTAGAAAGGGTTGATAAGTGATAAAAACAACAAATCTATCATTCAGCCAGTGATCAACTGCCCTATATTTAATTCTAACTAAGCTGTTACTTTGATTTTGTGGCTTTTTTCACAGAACAATCTGATGAAGTCTCTAATAAGTTGAATTTTCTACTTGTTTGTCTGGGGGAATTATCTAATTTTTATTTTCCATTATTCTTATCAGTGTCAAAGAAAAAAATGAAAATGATGAAAACTATGTACACCATTATACAGTCACTTTGTTTTTGGCTTTTGAGACCACTTTTCAAATGCCTGAAGCATGATATAATGTCAGCTAATGTGCCGAGCCGAGTGTAAATTTTAAAATTTTTGATTAAACCTGTTAAAACAGGACCTTCCTCAATAAACTGAATGACAGCACTTCACCAAACACTAGAAAAATGTTCCCTGAGGAGAAATTTAAGTAAACTTAAATAATGCCTAAAGGTTAAATCTACTCTGGCAGTGACTGCTACTGCTTAGAACACACCCATTAAGCTGAGGAGTGGGAGTCTAACCTTGTCAGAAATTTGTTAGCCAAGGATGGTGAGTAAATCGTGGATAGGACCACAAGAGTCAGCATAGTTAACAAAACCTTTATGGAAGATGAATCTGCAATCAGATATTAGTTAGGAGATAAGTTAGCATATAATTGCATTTTTTTTTTTTTTGGCTTAATACTTACTTAAATCAGGAGTCGTTTTACTTAGGCTCATATTACTTTTCAATTCCTGTAAATGCAAAGCAAAAACAAAAGAATGTTAAGCAAGTAGTAGTAGTAAAAGCAATAAAAATAAAAATAATAATAATAATTATTATTATTATTTATTTTATTAGATTGACCACAGTTGGGATCATAAAGTCATTATGAACCCCAGAATCCTTTTATTAGTTCACTCTGTCAGCTGGGGCAGTAGAATATGCCGACCACACCTTTGTAGAGGGATAAGAGTTCCCATCAATTAGTAGTCCTTCATATGTTGATAAACTACATCCCACAACAAGGCCTCTGATCAGGAAATTGGAAGTTTTGAGGAGCATGGAACCATCTCTTAATTGCTGTTGTTTTCTGAGGTGGTAGTACCTGTTAGGGGTCCCAGCTATGGGAAAATAGTGAACACCCAAAAAGAAATCCAAATACTAGGAAAGTATAAAAATACATTTATAAAAATGCATTTTAAAAAAGCATTTTTATAAAAAAATATACCAACAATATATTTTTATAGTAAAATTGCCAACAATACATTTATAGCAAAATGACCAGCAATACATTTTAATTAAATGAAATAATTAGCAATACATTTTATAGCAAAATGACCAACAATACTTTTTTTTTATAGTAGAACTACCAACAATACATTTAATAATAAAATGACCTACAATACATTTTTATAGCAAAATGATAATCAATTCATTTTATAGTAAAATTGAAGACATGGCATACATTGTAAAAAAATAATTTGCTCTGATTAATCTCATTTCTTGTAAGGAAAAACAAGTTTTTACACCTAATTTGATTTTGTAAGATTATTTGGTAAAAAAAAATGTAGCTAAGTAATTATAATTTGATCAGAAAATAATGAAGTAATTATGAACTTCGAACTTTCATATTTAGATTTTGGCATTAAATAACCCATACAGGTTGATATGCCACTAGACAAAAACATCCAAACCAACCAACCTTTCATTAGCTGGATATAGTATGTGCTTTGCCAGGGTAACATACAGTTTTTGAATTCAATGTTATCCTTCTCCTAAACTGGTTGCCAACCAAAAATAAAGAGCCCAGTCTGCTCTAGATAGAGAGAGAGATGGTATGTGCATGTAATTAACTCAACTTGAATTTGAACTCAGCTCTCTGATTTCTCATTCCAAGCCGCCATCCGTTACACCACCTGCACATCCAAGCTTACAGCACTGGTATTCCCAAGGAGTCACCCATCTAAGTACTGATCAAGCTTGGCTTGCTTAACTTCAGTAATTGGGTGAGAACCAGTGTTTCAAAATGATATAGCCTTAAGCTTTTTATAAGTTAATAATAATAATTAAAAATAAGAAATAAATAAATAAAAGATCTGTCAAAAATAGTGAATGATACTGTCCCAGCAGAATAATAAGAAAATGTTGTAAAACCACAGACCTTGTTAGAGAAGTGACAAAAATTGTGAAATAAGATGATAATTGCACCCGTCATTATTGGAGCACTTGAAGCAGGGCAAAAATACTTTGCAAGGAAGGCTATAAGAATTTGCATTCTGAGGGAGAAGTGAAACCATTCAAATGATAGCATTATTAAAATCAGGTAGAATAATGAAGCAATACTTGTTGTATTGAGGAAACATGCTCTCACTTTGTAATGTTATTCTCATACAGACTAATAAAAATACAAAACTAAATCTATAAATGTATAACACTACATTTTATTTGACTCCAAATTCTGTCAATTAATATCAGTAAGTAGGTGTGACTTTGGGTTATTTTCTGAACATGAATTATACAATCTCAAAAAGAATATATGCACTTTGGCAGGATTTGAACCCGCATCTCCTAATTCCTGTCAGAGGATGCATATTTTTCTTTAAAAGATTTCTTGAATATTCAGACTGCTAGACAAAAACAATAAATATACTATTTAATAAATAAACAGATTGTTTACTCAAATATGAGTATCTACTAAAAATAACATTTAAGTGATAATATATATATATATATATATATATATATATATATAATATTTATTTGTTTAAAAATATGATTCCTTCGCTACATAAGAGTTCTCATGTTTCAAAAACGAGAGCCGAAGCCATCCAAATAATTATTAAAATTAAGTTGAATTGAGGTGCTTAGTCCCGTTTCATCTTCAAGCGAAATTTTAGGAATAAGCTATCTCTCGGTTTACGTGTGTTTTTAGGCATGGTCCGTTACCAAATTCGTTGTTGTGGGAGTGGCTAGACTATTTTTCTTCATTAAGTGGTCAGAGAGTTAATTCTTATCAATAGATTCATCATCTTCTGAGAGGTTTTGCTAAGGTTGGGTAGGATATCTATTTCAAGGCTAATGTTTGCGGTCGCCCTTTTGTTGGTTCCCAGTGAGGGATATTTTTATGGCACGCCTACAAGTCGTTGTGTCGGGAGGATTGTGTTTTATTATTGTCCATCTGATTATCTATTTATTTATTTGTTTATTCAAGTGGGTGTTTTATATACAAATCGTATTGCACTGAATTTCAATTTGTTTTTTTTTTTGGTTTTTTGACGACTACAGAAAGGGTTTTTCCTCTTTAATGATTTTGCTAAGCTTTTGAGACTTTTATTTAGCTATGGGATTTTTTTTTTTATGCTAATTATTTAATGCGAAAGTTTGTTGGTGTCGGCAAAAAAACGTTAACTCCTGCCTATGGTTTAATAATTTTTCATTATTTAGAAATTTAATGATGTGTAGTTTTTCCTGTAGGCATAAAGAGCATGGGTCATCCCAGGTGTTACAAGATCTTGTTTTATTTACTATTTTCCATTTTACATTTGGTGTTTTATTCGTTTCTTTTAGATGCCAGAAATATTGGGATAGAGATGTCTGATTTCTATTTTGAATATTGTTGAAGGAGCTCTTGTGTTGCCTCCATCTAATTTTAAAAATTATTCTTCGTTGAGCCTATGTATATCCTATCAGTGTTAGGACTCTCAATGGATGAGATAGTGCATTGGTATACCACGGTTTTTTGTGAGGCATTTATTTTCCAACGGGCAGTTTTTTAGGGTTTCTACAATCACATAATTTTTTCGTTATTTTTATCTAATTTTAGTTTATGAGTTTTATTACTGCTTTGGTATGCGTGTTTTTCTAGGATTTTCTTATTATGTCTTTTTATGATTCTTTCTAGATTTTCAGTGCAGCTGTAACTCAATTTTAAGGTGTTTTTAAAGATGTCGCTAAGTTTGCTATTAGTGGGAAAGTGCTTTTCAATTAAAGCTAGGAACTTAAGGCCTAGTTTGGTGCTGACCATTTGGTTGTACGGGGGGGGGTATACCAGATGATCTTTCTTTTCCTGTTTTTCTTATTATTGGTACTATCATTTCTATAGGTTATGTCAGCGTTTTTGTATCCGCTATTTTTCAGGGCTGTGTTATAAAAACTACTGTGTTGTCAGAATATTTCCTTATTTGCTGAGTTCATACTTATTCTTTTCTCTATTGATGTGGGTATATGTAATTATAGATGGAGGTGGTTTGACTTAGGGGTGTACATACAGGGATTAATATTAGGTTTTCTGTAAGGTAGGTGAATGTTGTTCGTTAAGTCTAGGGTTAAGTCTAGGAAGTTTACTCTTTTTAATTTAGTGTTGACTATTGTTTTTAAATTTAGTTTCCCGAATTCTTTATAAATTATCTTTCTAATTTTCTCTATTTTAAAATTTGTGGAGCTCCTCACTACCATGAGTCCATCATCTCTGTATAGCCCGATGTCCCCAATGTCTAGTTCATGGTGGGCGGTTAGATTGTACAGTATAAATAGACTGACAAGGTCCAAAGATTCTGCAGAGTCTAGAGATCCCATGGTGATGTCAAAGTTGTCATTGGTGTTTTTAATCCACTGGTCCATATTATGGATGAGGACAGATTTCTTTGCACTGAGAATTATGTTTCTTTCTTCCTTAGTTAAGTCAGATGCACCCAACGTGTTATTTTCTATTTTCTGCATACCTGCGCACTTTTATATATATATATATATATATATATATATTAAAGCTTAAAATATAAAACAAACTGAGGGTTCAATGCCAAAATCAACAGAGCCTAAATATAATATAATAATCATCAAACCATCATCAGGAGGAACTAGAGTAACACATGATGATTCTTGCTACATAAAACTCTGAGTAGCACATTTTGATGCTGATAATATTATATATATCGATATATATCGATATATATATATATATATATATATATATATATATATATTGATAATATTAGTGGTCATTATTTCCAAGAGGATAGAATCCAGGTAGAGCTCAATGTCCAGGACAGAGCAAGAATATAATATAAAAGGCCCAAACACTAATATTCCATGGTTATAAATTATTACACTGGAATCATAATCACGATCCAATTATAGGTCTGATGAATTGGATTGTGATTATGGAATATTAGTGTTTGAGCCTTATCTTATATTATATTATAAATATATATATATATATAATATTTTTACCACTTTAAATGTTATTTCTATTAGATATATAATATATATATATATGTAAAATATATGTATATATATATGATATTTTATCACTTTAAATGTTATTTTGTATTGGTTATATAATATATATGATATTTTTAACACTTTAAATGTTATTTCTATTGGTTATATAATATATATATATATATATGATATTTTTAACACTTTAAATGTTATTTTGTATTGGTTATATAATATATATGATATTTTTAACACATTAAATGTTATTTCTATTGGTTATATAATATATATATATATATGATATTTTAACACTTTAAATGTTATTTCTTTTGGATATATATATATAATATATATAAAAATATATATATATATATATATATATATGATATTTTTATCACTTTAAATGTTATTTCCATTGGATATATATTATATAATATATATAAATATATGTATATATATATATATGATATTTTTATCACTTTAAATGTTATTTCCATTGGATATATATATATATATATATATAAATATATGTATATATATATATATATGATATTTTATCACTTTAAATATTATTTCCATTGGATATATAATATATATATATATATATATATATATATATATATGATATTTTATCACTTTAAATGTTATTTCCATTGGATATATAATATATATAAATATATGTATATATATATATATATATATGATATTTTATCACTTTAAATGTTATTTCCATTGGATATATAATATATATAAAATAATATATATATATATATATATATATATATATATATATATATATGATATTTTTATCACTTTAAATGTTATTTCCATTGGATATATAATATATATAAATATATGTATATATATATATATGATATTTTTATCACTTTAAATGTTATTTCCATTGGATATATAATATATATAAATATATATATATATATATATATATATATATATATATTTTTATCACTTTAAATGTTATTTCCATTGGATATATATATATATAAATATATATATATATATATATATATATATATATATATATATATTTATTTTCACTTTAAATGTTATTTCCATTGGATATATAATATATATAAATATATGTATATATATATATATATATATATTTTTTATCACTTTAAATGTTATTTCCATTGGATATATAATATATATAAATATATGTGTATATATATATATATATATGATATTTTATCACTTTAAATGTTATTTCCATTGGATATATAATATATATAAAAATATATATATATATATATATATATGATATTTTATCACTTTAAATGTTATTTCCATTGGATATATAATATATAAATATATATATATATATATATATATATATATTTTATCACTTTAAATGTTATTTCCATTGGATATATAATATATATAAATATATATATATATATATATATATGATATTTTATCACTTTAAATGTTATTTCCATTGGATATATAATATATATATATATATATATATATATATATGATATTTTATACTTTAAATGTTATTTCCATTGGATATATAATTATATAAATATATTATATATATATATATATATATATGATATTTTATCACTTTAAATGTTATTTATTGGATATATATATAAATATATATATATATATATATATATATATATATGATATTTTATCACTTTAAATGTTATTTCCATTGGATATATAATATATATAAATATATGTATATATATATATATATATGATATTTTATCACTTTAAATGTTTTTTCCATTGGATATATAATATATATAAATATATGTATATATATATATATATATATATATGATATTTTATCACTTTAAATGTTATTTCCATTGGATATATAATATATATAAATATATGTATATATATATATATGATATTTTATCACTTTAAATGTTATTTCCATTGGATATATAATATATATAAATATATATATATATATATATATATGATATTTTATCACTTTAAATGTTATTTCCATTGGATATATATATATATAAATATATATATATATATATATATATATGATATTTTATCACTTTAAATGTTATTTCCATTGGATATATAATATATATAAATATATATATATATATATATATATATGATATTTTATCACTTTAAATGTTATTTCCATTGGATATATAATATAAATAAATATATGTATATATATATATATATATATATTTTATCACTTTAAATGTTATTTCCATTGGATATATAATATAAATAAATATCTGTATATATATATATATATATGATATTTTTATCACTTTAAATGTTATTTCCATTGGATATATATATATATAAATATAAATATATATATATATATATATATATATATATATATATATATATATATATATATATATATATATATATATATATATATATTATATATATATCTATCTATATATATATATATATATATATATATATATATATATATATATATATATATATATATATATATATATATATATCTATATATATATATATATATATATATATATATATATTATCTATCTATATATATATATATATATATATTATATTATATATCTACCTATCTATATATATATATATATATTATATCTATCTATCTATCTATATATATATATATATTATATCTATCGATCTATCTATATATATATATATTATATATCTATCTATATATATATATATTATCTATCTATCTATATATATATATATTATATCTATCGATCTATCTATATATATATATATATATATATATATATATATATATATATATATTATATATATATCTATCTATCTATCTATCTATCTATATATATATATATATATATATTATATATATATCTATCTATATATATATATATATATAATTTTATATAATATATAATATATATATATATATAATTTTATATAATATATAATATATATGTGTGTGTGTGTGTATGTATATATGGATGTATATGTGTGTGCATGTATGTGTATACAAATTCCTTATAATAAGACAGTATGTGTGTATGGCGAAGGAGTGCGCATGTACATGCATGTACTGGTATATGTATACACATATTGACAAAAACAAAACTGCTCACGGGCACGCACACAAACTCTACACAACAAAGGATGTGTGTATGTGTGTTTGTGTGTATGTATGTATGTGTGTGTGTATGTGTATGTACATATGTGTATACTAATTCCTTATAATAAGACAGTATGTATATATATGGAGAGGGAATATATGTATGCCTACGCATGCTAACTAAAAACACAAAAAATGGAAATAGATCTAGGAACACACAGCAGTCATTAAAAGATTAGAATATAGATATCTTTCCACCCTTTCTCAGACCAGTCTTAATATTTTTATTACCCTTCACGCAGAATTCTTTTACTGCCAGTTTAAGAAAGACATCTGGGTCACTAACACACAAAAAAGAGAATTTCTAATATCAAAAACATTTAACATCATCAAACATAAGAAAATTTAATTCTTTTTAATAATATATGGAAATATCCACTCTTTACCTGATGAAGGTTGCAAGACTGGAAATACATGTAGCAAAATTATGGAAAATAAAGCATAATATATTTTTTTTTTAAATCCATACTACAACCAAAAACATTTGTGGTTTCACTCTTCTTTTTATTATATACACTTTTCTCTCATTGGAACTGCTATAAACTCTTCCTTTTTATATATATATATATATATATATATATATATATATATATATATATACTTTTTTATTCTTTTATATATATATATATATATATATATATATTTTTTTATTCTTATATATATATATATATATATTCTTTTTTATTCTTTTATATATATATATATATATATATATATATATATATAAAGAATAAAAGCTAAAGCTTAAAATAAGCTAAAAACTTAAAATATAAAATAAAGCAAAATTCAACAGACCCCAAATATCATATTGTCAATACCAAAATACAATACTCAGAGTTTCATGTAGCAACAATCATAAGGTGGAATTCCCCTCTTTCTCACTGCAACTATCCCATCTTTGTTTTTATATTTTTTACAAGGGTTCCCTTTCATTCTTTCTTTCTGTCTTTCTTTCTCATACACTCTATCCCTTTAATAACAATTTCTCTCTCTTTCTCTCTCTCCCTCTTTGTGTACACACACACACACATATATATATATATATATATATATATATATACACAAAGACATGCTCCACCTGATGATTGTTATTACATAAAACTCTGAGTAGATTTTTGATTACAATATATATATATATATATATATATTTATATATATATATATATATATATATATATATATATATATATATATATATAAATGTATTTATAGAAACAGAACATGAACTTACCAATGGAATACTGAGACCAGCTTTCCTGTAAAGCTGTTTGATAAGGTAAATGATGGGATTATCAGGTGAATCTCGAATTATTTTGTTCATCAGCTCCTATACAAACATAGAAATAAACCTTTACTCAAGTTACAGCTTGTTACAACATCATGATTAATCAATACTAAAACAGATATGGTAAAAATTGAGAAATGAAGCTTTTGACAGAATGTTGGGGTATCTTCCTTTTTAACATCTGAAATGATTTTAACATACCAAATACTAAATTATTTTCCTTAGATAGATTTACCTAGCCTCATATTTTCAGCACATTCTTTTTCCTCCATAATTAACTAAAAAAAAGGAAATATAATTCAACATTTTATGACTAATAAAACTTATTTGTGAACTTTACATAAGCTCAGTTTCTTCTTGAGCTCTTCAGATTGTATTTTTTTAAAGTAGCATGAAAACTAAAACTAAAATGAAGCATGTTCAGATTTTGGAAAACCAATGTCAAACTGATATAAATATATCTATTAAATTTTTATAGGAACTAAATAGGGAGGAGGAGGTTGCAAAGTAAACGTACAGTATTATACCAGTATTATAATAGTGGTTTTGTGCACACATTTTTGTTTTTCATTGCTGTATACCTACTTTTGCATCCCCTGTAATTGTTTTAACATAAAGTTAAGATAAGTTATGTTGTATTTTGAACAGAAGTTTTTGTTTCATTTTTAATGTAAAACTTTTCATCCATAAAGGTCTGATTTTTTCATTTTAATTATTCATTTTCATTTTACAAATTCTTTTTTTTATCTATGGGAGTAATGTCTGCTCAAAATATGAGGCTGTGTAAAACAATCTAAAGAAAGAAATTCAGTATTTGTTATATGTAATAGACAAACAGAAGATCTCAAAAAGCTGTAAGGTTTGCTCATTCCACTCACAATCACCCATTTACTACCAACATGGCAGAAAATGTAGTAGTTTTTAAAGAGGTCAACTTGACTCATGATGTTTAACATTGGCCAGGACTGAAATGGATTTGCATGTTTACTGACCTATATAATACTGGCCTTATCCAGTAGATGGCCTTTTTTTTCTTTTACAAAACACCATCACAAAATGGTAAGTCACTCTTTTCTGTAGTACAGTTTGTGAAAAGCTTTTTAGACTCTAAAATGGAAGATACCCAAATTTGGTAAAAAAAAATATTAAAGTATATCTGTTTTATTGTTGTCTTTTAATCCAGCTCACTTGCTTCCAGAATTTGCTGAAATACATGCCATGATATTATGCCAAGATACAATCCCAAGTTTATGTAGGGTAAGTCTTTGAGTGCTCAAATGAACTGGGTGATAGCTTTCAAAGAAATAGAAACATAACAACCTGTACTATTTAAAATATATATTTAATATACAAATAGAAAAAATAGAAGTGGTTTCAGACAATGTGCATCTGTGGACTTAGCTGAAAGGCATTCTGTTATCTTGTGAAAAATCTTGGCTGAAGGATAAGTTCCTTTCAGCCCTCAGCTCTTAGGTAGTAGTAGTTTCTCTTGAAGTTACTTGCTCTATTCCTTTGTAACTTGATACCACTGATTGGGTTTGTGGTGAGGGAACAACATTGCTTTGTGTCATCTGATTAATGGGGTGGAAGAAAAAGATGATGAGTATTTGAATTTGGTGCTCATCCAGCCAGGGTCATATGACCCATACGGGTGGTTGGTTCTTTCTTTAGCCATTCAACATGCTTGTTTTATTCTGTGCTTGATTAGTCTTATTTTGGGGATTTATTATTTTAAATTCCAATAGAAAAGTTATCAGCTTGACTAAGAAGGCCTTTGCAAAAAGTTCTGATGTTTGGTTAAAGAACATCTTGGCACTCCTTTGTCCTAGGCTGAAGGGACATATGCACTTTTATGAAGAACTCTTACAGCGGAAGGATAAATTATATCTGTTAATTAAATAGAGAGGATACAAATGTTGTCCATATTTATATTCATAAGAGACTAAATCTATTGACAAATTTCCCCTTTCTGCTCTTGCTCTTATTTTCCTACTCTTTACGCATCAATCAGGGCCGGCACATACCACCCCCAAACTGGGAGGCGCAAGCCTGATTTGAGGGTACTGGATAGTGCTTTGTGACCTTCATTATTTTATCTAAATTTGATTTTTTCTACTTATATTTATATATATTACAAATTAAACCAAGCACAATTGACTATTACAGGATAAAAATTTCACAGATTTTGATATCATTCTGAGAGTCTTTTTTTGTCCAAATCCGCGAATTTGTTTTGCTCAAACTAAGTCTCAAAAAAACACTATATAAAATTCGCTATTTTTTATCCATAATGTTGAATGTATTGAAATTATTCAACTTTTTAACAAGAAAAATCTCAAGTTAATGTTAAAAATTGATGCAAAATATTGTTGATTTAAGATGGAATGATCTATTATGACATGTCTCTAATTTATATTTAGATACATTTTATTTATTTTCAATTTTTCTAGTTAAATTGTTCACTTATATTGCATATGATCCATTATTCTACATAATTAGATTGCAATAAAATTTGTATTTTATATGAATACTCTCTTATGAAAATTGAGATGTAGTAGAGTGGGGTCTCCATATCATAGATTCAGTGGGTGGGGCATGAGACCCTTGCACTGGTCCTAGGATTAATAAATAATAAATAAATAATAATGCTAAAATCAAAAGACTTAAAAAAAATTTAATATTCATTGTCAAATCATGCCATATAGAATGAAAATCATTAAAAATATTTCAAAAGAAAACAAAACCAAGAAAATCTATGATAATACCTGACCAAATAGACATAGTCAGATATTGAGGAAGTGTCAGATTTAACTCAGATGGAAAGGTGCACCTCCAAACATCTTGACAACCAGAGAATGGGAGAAAAACCGGCTTATAAGTTTCAATACCACAAAAAAACAAGTTTTTCATATACTTTTATTCATTACCAAACTGAGCCTAAATTCTCACCAGTCACGATGAATGATTGCACTTTCAAAAGTGGCACCATTCTTTTAATGACTATTCAAACTCAGGTTAACTTCAGACTACAAGAAGAACTCAGATATATGATCCATCAGATGCCAGAAAAATGGTTACTTCCCTGTGCCATGCCAGAAAGTAGCTGACTCTTTGTGCCATCTGCTATCTTTACAAGACTCAGATCAGACCAAAAATAGAGTATTTCTGCCATATCTGGGCTGGAGCTGTCTAATCCTCTCTTTTCAACTTTGACAGAGTTCAAAAGACTTTATGCAGCCTTGTAGATGATGAATTATTTTCCACTCTACAACCACTTTCCAACAGACACAATACCTCAAGCCGATTGCTTTATTGCTCACTATTTCCATGGAAAATGTCCTAATGACCTATATTCCCTAGTTCCACCAGTCTAGACCTTTACAATTAAGGCCCATCATGCCATGTACATTAGGACAAACCATCTACAATGGAATATGAAGAACATTCCATTGTTTCTCTCACCAATACAAACCTCAAGTCTAGAGTTAATAGTTATCTATTCTATATGTTCTCATAATCTACAATTCTTACATCCATAAAACAACACCATTCAGTAACCCTCTACCTTGAGTAGCTCTTTGGACTTGTATTGGAGGAACAATAGCGTAAAAAAGAAAAGAAAAAGATAACTAAATCTGTCTACTCATATTGAAGTGGAAAGAGTATATTGAATCAATTGCTAAGTCTGCTGCTAAGAAAGTTGGTTCACTATGTCATGCTAGACAATTTTTCTTGCCAGAATTTATCTTACATATTTATAAGTCTACCATTTATCCTTGCTTTGAATATTGCTGTCACATCTAGTCTGGTACGCCTATTTAGAGATTCTTGATGAAATTCAAAGAAGAATCTGCAATGTTATTGGTCCTGAGCTGGCATCTCAACTTCACTCCCTTTGCCACCTCCATAACATAGCTTCCCTGCACCTTTTCTATAAATATTTTCATGGTAATTGTTTTGAACATTTCACTATGGTACCTAGACTTTATGAATTTATTGGGTCTGTAAAATTCATCTGCTCCTATATATATAGAGATAGGTCACATGATATGAGGCAGTCTCTTATTGGTTAATTAAACCATGTGGATTTGGAAAAAGCTGACCACCAGGAGAAGAGATTCGGACCTGCTCTGAAGCGACAAGCAAGGAATTCTCTCTGCTACCATGGTACCAGTAACCAAGGTTTTAAAAATACAAGTTGTCTGACCCTATTTCACTTTACCAGATGGGTAAGTCCGCCTGATATATTCTCTATATTAGGAAAGAACATTGTGTTTATGTTACTCATGGTATTCATATTTTTAAACATAAATAAATAACTTTATTAAATGTTGATAAAGTTTTCATTCTTATTCATGTTAGTCCCAAAGTAACATGGGATGAGCACAATAAATTTAAGTGCAATACTAGATTGGCAGCAAGGTCTCATCATTTTTAGTTGAAATGGCTAGATGTAACCATAAGTTTTATGCTAAGAGTTTCTTCTATTGCACTTCTCGCTTGTGGAATTCTTTTCCAGCTTCTTGCTTCCCAGTCATCTTTGATCTTCAAAAATTTAAATGCAGTGTCAATCGTCATCTTCTGTCTCTTTAATTCCTGATCTTTTATTGTCCTCTCTCCTTGATAGTAGTTTTTCTCATATTCTCTAACACTCCTTGCGTCTATGCGTCTTTATTGCCTTGCTTGGAGTGAAATGATTAAAAAAAATATGCAAAACTTTTTTTGAGCAGGAGAACAAACAATGTGAAATCAGAAGTTACTGATGGGACTTAATGGACATTGTCTTAAACACTTTGCCCACAGAAGTTTTGATAACAACGGAACACAAGTCTGTAGTTACTTGAGTTGATTCTACAGAATAAAAAATTGGCAGGGGTAGGTAAATTAGATGCTAAAAGATATAAAAGTTTAAAAAATTCTTGATTTTTTATGTTTTATCTGATCCTTTCATTAAATGAATATTTTTTAGATCTGTTATCCCACTGTAAACATTTGTAGAGTAAAGACGGAAATAAACACCAAGACAGTCAAACACCAAATGACAAGAAAAATACTTTCTGAGTCAGAGGATTGCACATTGTTAGGGGTAAAAGATGAATGCTTCAAAAATAAATATTGAACATTTTTTAACCAACAGGTCGCATTCCTGCCAACAATAAAAAAAACATACTTCGTGATCCCATTAAAAGGTATTTAAGCAAAGTTTCTAAACAGACAAACCAGAACTAGAGACAACCGACAACAGGTCATGATGCTCAAATTCCCTTTTACATTCACCCATCTTCCTCACCAAGCTACGGGACGCTTACACTTTCCTCCACACTTTCTCCCTCTCTTCTTCTTTCTCACACATACACTTGAAGAAATCATATTTATTTCTTATTTCTTTTTTTCTTGGAAAACAACTAAAAGGAAAGGACAGTATCCTGACAAATAGAATAACTTTAACACTCACACATGTTAAGAAAAATTTAATTGTAAAATAACATGAAAATAAAAATATCTTACATTTTTATTTAAACACCTTTTTGCCTTTTTCTTTGTTGTGAGCTGGTTCAACAAAAATCCATTTACTACTTGTTTTAATTTTAAAGACACATTTCTTTCGTTTAAAAAGCTGTACCATTTTATGGACCTATAGACTTAAGATTTTATGCATAGAAGTTTTAAAAGCTAATGTTTTGAGAAAAAAAAAACGAAAAATGAAAATTTCTGATTTATTTTTAAAATTAATGACAGTGTAGTAAAATAATATAAATGATTAGACAAATGACATAGCATTTTTTTTTTAATTTTCAGCCAAGATGACAAATTTAGTCTCCTGATTAGTTGTCAGTTTCAGCAAAAAAAAAAAAAGCAAAGTGAATATAACTGAATTTTCTCTGGCTGAAATGATTAGGAAAGCGTTGCCCATAAAAGACTAGTTTCGGAGCTGTAGGATGCGAGTTCGATTTCAGCAGGTCTCGTTGAAAGTTATATTTCCGATTTGCCTCAATTAGAATGAGCAACCCTCTAAGATTAAATAAATTTTTATTTAAACAAGATAATCCGCACTCCATATTCAGTTTAATTTAATAAATTTAGCTTTTTCTTTTCCCTACAATTTTTTTTAAGAAGTAAGTTTGAGTTTGACGAAACTATTATTTTCTACAAGTTTATCTCAAACAATAAAACAAACTATTACTTTCTTTGTTTGTACTTTGAAAAGTTTAATCATTCAATTTTTGGTTTAAAAAAGTATTAAGAAAAACAAACAAACAGCTTTTTCACCTTTTTTTTTTTACGTAAATAACGTTTTCTTTGGCGGAAAAGATTTAAAAATTCAAAATGTGAGCAGACGAAAAAAGTGCTTACCTCAAAAAGTGAAGTGATTTTATGCTTTTCTAGATACATTTGAACTCGAGAAGACATTCTGCAAACTAATAAAAGTAAATAAAACTCGACTAAATATAGTTTTGCTTTTTCTAATAATAAAAAACAAAATAATTCATGGATGTTGTTTACACAAAACGAGAATTTCCCCCCCACGCTTCTTCTTCGCACCTACAAGCTACGGGTGCTATGACAACGTTAAAATTTAAATGAATGTATTTTTTAGTTTGACTATGAAATTTATTTATTTTATAAAAACAGATATCGAAACCTAAATATTATATTAAAAGTATTATTATATCAAAAAACTTAAATTATTATTGCTACCCAAGCAACCTTAGGTCACGTGCCCTCTTTAACTTCCTCTTTCAGCCATCATCGCTTGGAAAGTGTGCTGTTCTCTTTGAGCTAAGGCCTTAATCGGCGACGTACACTGTTTTAATTGTACATCCATCTAATTTTTATCTAAAAACTTAAATATGTCTTCAAGCAATGAACTTGCGTGCGTTTATGCCGCTCTCATTCTCGCTGATGACCAAGTTGCAGTTACAGTAAGTACCTGTTTTATTTTAATGTATTTTCCATGTCGGCCATGTGCTTTATGGAGTTGGGCTCGTGTAAAGGAAATAAAGTAAACTTAAGTTTCGACAACGTTGGATATAATTTGTTAGACGATATGACGTCTAGATTTTAAAAAAAATGTGTATGTGAATTCTTTAGACTAAGATTTTTTTTCTAAAAATTCATTAATAAAATAAAACATTTTAATTTCTGGTCACGATTTGTGGCGCGATTTCCTTCTCTAGACGAGTACCAGTAATTTTAACATCATTAGTGTCTCATTTTCTAACCCAGGCTTCAAACTGATCTTACAATTATATTGACTACTTAAATCCTAGTTTTGATGGTCAAATGTTATTAGAATAAACTGAACTAGTAGGGATTGTATCAAAAACAATTATTTGCAACTTTCTTAAAGATAAAACTTGAATATCGGAAATCGTATGAAATTAGTTCGTGATTTGAATTCTATAAACGAAAAATGTTAATTTCTGGGTCTATCCGATTTTATCCACGTATAGAATTTTGGATGTTTAATTGTATGTTTTAAAGTAATATAAAGCGTGAATTTTAAAACTACAATTTTTACCGTTTAATGAAATGAGTTTCTTTTTGCAAAAGGGAGATAACTCGTGATAAAAAACTTGAATTGTCTGCACATTTAAGTGAGATGTGGTTGATGGATGCCTTTTTTTTTTTTTTTTTTGCGATGGTATCTGTATTACGGGCAGTAAGGTGTGGCTTTTGCCACGAGTTTTGCATGTTTACTCTAAATAAAATAACGAAACTTCATTAGCTTAATCCAATCGACTACTTGTTAACTGTCATGGCCCCGAGAGGAATTGGCTGATTTAACACTGGAAGTGGAATATGCTGTCGGCGAACACCAATCTTTTGGTTTTCGCATTTTGTTTGCAATTTATTTTCGACTAGAAAATCATACACTAAGAAACTATTCGGTTGACATTTTCTTGTTCTTGAGAGATGGTCAGCGCGACATAATCTTTTCTAGATTAAAAATAATGCATTATTCCTGGTGTTAAAAAATCTTATAAAAAAAATAAAATAGCAATAAAAATGAGTAAACTCCTACGGTTTAGGAGACATTGCCAATTTTAGTTGGGTCCCAAGTACAGCCTTGGCCTCCCGTTTATCTGAAGCAATATTGAATGTTACTCGATTTATGTTCCTGGGGTCAACTTTTCACCATACCGAGCGCATTCACAGATTCCTGACTGAGGCGGCCAGGCTGTACCTGAGACTCAACTCACATTGGCAATATTGCCTAACAGTAGAGTCCCCACCATTTTTTTTTTTTTTTTTTTTTTTAATAATAGACCTTTTTGCACCAGGAATAATGCATTTTTTCTTTCTTTTTAAATTAGTTACTGGGATATTATCTGCAAACTTATCCTTTTCTACGTTCAGTCTCCCACGTGGTCTGTGCAACGGCCGCTTACACCTTTGGTCATTAACAGAATCTAGCTCTCTGGATATTTTCTGTTAATCACCCTAAAAAATTATAATTTTTTTAAATCTATTTGTTTTTATTAAATTTTTCGCACTCTTGTTTGAAATTTTAAATCAAAATTTGTTTAGTTTACCTCGCAATAATTCTAATCCTCAAAATAAAAAAATTATCAAAAAATCGGAGTTATTCACAATTCTTAAGTGCGGATGATACTCGAGGTACTTACAAGAAACTTTTTTACAATAATAAAAAGAATGTATTTGGATTGTTTATCGGGGTGAGCGTGAATGCTCACTTAAATAGCGCACTCGAGTCGTCCACCTTTTGGGCGATCGCAAAGGTTAAAAACCCAACCCGAGAGCAATGGAAGGACCTCGCTCTGGGAGAATTTGGGGTGAATTAACAGAAAATGTCTTGTTTATAATCGCATAATAATTGATCAATTATTATGCGATTATAATCTAACGACCCGATGACAAATAATTTAACATACAAAAAATTTTTATCAATGGGCTTTTAAGTTACGTTATCTTTTTGGTACCAGTTAGAGGCAGTTAAAAATGAAGAGTTTTTTCAGTTAATGACTAAATTTGATGTTGCTCAAAGAAATACGATCAAAATCAAACAATGGATCTTCAATTCCGTCCAGCTTTAAGGGAGATAAATCAGTGTAAAAACATTGAAATGCTAAAGCGAAGTATAGTTGGAATTGAAGTTTTAAACGTTTTCAGAGGGTATTTTATTGGGGGGATTTGTAATTATTGTAGACTAGCATTAAATTTTTTTGGTGGGGGTTTAGTTCGTAGTGTAAATTAATACAATGTCCTCAATAAATCTATCACTTTTTTAACAATGCTTAACTGATAACTGCGTACTTGTCCTTTTTAATCGATCCCGCGAGCTGGCTATTCATACCTTTTTTTTTTCTTCTCCAGGCTGACAAACTTCAGACGATCTTGAAAGCCGCAAATGTCTCTGTCGAGCCTTATTGGCCGAGTAAGTATTACTTTTATCATTTCAGATCTTATATAAACTGTAGAAATTAACTTTTTACAATATCAAGTAGAACTAATTCTTCCTGAACAACTGTTAAAAAGAAATGTGTAATGCATCCATGCAGATGAGTTATAACTTTTTCAATAAATTTCAAGGTTCAAGCTTTTAATAAATATATTGGAAAAATCGATCTGCATAATGCTTCTAATTTTAAGATTTCTCAAGGTTGGCTGAATATGGATATCAATTATTATACTCCTTTTGAGTGCCTATGGCTTAAAGTAATGATAGTACCAGATTTCACTATTGAAGTCTGCAACTTTCATTACATTTAAATACAATCTATTGATTTGTGCATATCTTAGGGTCAGATGAAAATGGGATGCTGAAAGGATTGTGGGTGGGTGCTAACACAGGTAATGGGATAACTGATAACTTTGATGTAGCTGACATTAAAAAAAAAAAAATTGATTAAAATGGAATTTCTAATGATGCAAATTGCCACAGATTCATTACACAAATGAAAATCATTTCATTGTTTTTTTTTTTTTTTTTTTTTTTTTTTTCTCCACATTCTTAAAAGTAGAATTTTATTTAATTGCTTGCAATCAATAATTCTGATTTATGGCCCAACTGAATTGATAGAGAATATAAACTTTATGTAAGTGTGTGAGGCTAGATACTTTTACTAGTAAAAATTATATTTGGGTTAGTCTCGATCAGGATAAATTATCTAAAATAGATCTCACTTGCTTGCCCACACAAATTGGAAGAGTAGAGACTTCATGAAAAGTTGTTCTTGGAAATAAAGCTTATAAAGTAAGTCTCTTTTTCTTCGGCTTGATAAAAGTGATTGTCAATAGCACTGATTAATGGAAATCCCATGCATTTCTCTCATTCAGCTTCAAATTTTATTGAACAATGTTTTGTCTTAATTTCATGCAAGTTAAAGCGGTGTTTGGTGATAGTACTTTGCTACCTCCTGAGGCTTGCTACATAAACTGACAATGGATGTTTCATTGATGTTTTCTCTTGTATGAAAACCTTACCACCATTTTTGTCATACAACTATAATAGCTGCATTCAGTATTATTTCTTTACTTTTTGCTTTCAAGCTAAATTTTATAAAAATTTGTTAGTCTTCATGAGAGCTGAAATAATATTGAATGTTTTTTATTTTAGATATATATAATCTCACAGCTGTTTGAGGTTTCCTATAGCTCCAATAAATAAAGTCAATTCAGGTTTGCTCTGGGAAAAAATGGATTTTTATTCTTTTATAGGGGTAAAATATTGAAAAATGACATGTCTTCAGCTGAACAAATACCGATGAACTTTTGATCTGAACCCCATGAAACTAGGTGTTTTCTGAAAGCAAAAGATATATTCTTTCATTTACAAGTTAAATTGGCTGGTGTAAATGACTCAAAAAAAAAAAAAAAAAAAAAAAAATTGTTTCCTCTTCTCTCACAGGGTAAAATAGTGAAAAAAAATAGTGAAAATTTTGCATTCTTTCTAGTTCTAAAAAATTTTCCCCATTAAGGGAGTGGGGAATCAGAAAGCCTATTTCATAATCAAGTAAAAAAAATTGATAGTTTTGAAGGGAATCAACATTCTTAGGGGGCCAAAATGCGACGGTCCATTGATAACTGACTTCCAGGGGTTAAAATAATTGACACACGGCCACAGAAATCTTTAAGCCTTAAAGATTTCACCTTTTACCAAAGATTGCCTTAAAGTTTAATTGGGTGGGGGTCAACATTGATAGGGCTTGACATAAAGTTTTTCTGTTTTTTTTTTTTTTTTGTCACCACATGTCTTTCACATTTCTCATCGCTGGGCCATTTAGCTGTTCCTTTTATTCGATGATGTTCACGCCAACTTAAGGAGAAATGAATGAAGTTTGAACAATATTTTGAAGTGAAAATGTTTTTTTTTTTTTTTTTTTTTCTGAGAAATTGGGCATAATTACTTAATGCTAGCACACCCCTCC